CCTGTGAAGTTTCAGATATCAGCAAGCATGCGCACATATTATCATCTTTTGCAACTTGAAACTTTGTCAGGTCTCATGCGATGAAATGCTTTTGCTTTGAGCTCATTATCTACCTTTATATTATTCAATAACAAAGTTTGTCCTAAAGTCTGTGATCGTTTGCCCGACGATCCCTTCTCCGGGTTTGCATCACATTGTTTGCGATGACGCCATAAGTTCTTGGCAAAATAGTAACCCATATAGTGGATGCATGATTCCGTTTTTCCACACCTTTTCTAACAGGTTTTACCCCCTCGACCTCCGAAGGCGATAAAATTATGATTTTTCCTTAGAGCAAAAAGCAGTTGTTGCCTTTTACGGATCAAAACAGGTAAATGTAGATATTCAAAAAAACGTTCAAAAAACTTCGTATTTGACGTTTCAGAGAATCCCGATCATTTTCAAAAACATTTTTGGAGGGATTAAAAACTCTTTCGTCTCTGGCCTTCTCTCACTTGCCAAACAACAAGCGACAAAGCTTATCTCTGAGCGAAGTTTTTACTGTAAAAATAGATTTTATTATACCTATTTGAAAAAATGGTGTCAAGTAGGTTGACTCTATACGTCCTACCCCTTAGAGACAGCTTTTAGTGCAATTTTCAATATAGTGCAATCGAGTCTATAAATTTGCTTTCAAAAATGACGGTTACAATCTGAATTTGAAGTTCAGTATAAAGGAGTGATTTTGATGCCCTTAAATATCACCTAAACCTTAGATATCATCTATAAGTAAAAACTTTGAATTCAAATTGTAACCACTATTTTTGACAGCAGATTAATAGATTCAATTGCACTATATTGGAAATTGCACTAAGAGCCATCTTGAAGGCGTAGGAAGTATAGAGTCAGCCTGCTTGATGCCATTTTTCCAAATAGGTATAATAAAATCTATTTTTACTGGAACAACTTTGCTCAGGATAAGGTTCTCCGCTTATTGCTTGGCAAGTGAGAGAAGGCCAGAGACGAAAGAGGGAAATGTGGTTGAAAAACAATGGTCATTCCTTAGCATAGACGGCATGATATTTTATGAATTGATCAATGAAACAACATACAAAATTGAACGTCAATACTAACACTATTCACTGAACATTTCATTTGATACGCCTCCAATGATAAGTATAAGTACTGTCCACCTGTCGCGATGCTTATGCATTTATTGTATTTATATTTATTTTTCTTTTGAAAGGACGAGGAACTGGACAGGAGCGATGAGGCCAGAGACAACTTACATTCGGCAAGTGTCAAGAAGAATGTTACTATACATGCAAAAGCTGAATCAATTCCCACCGCAGAATGTGATCAGTCTGCACCCAGTCAGTCTGGTTCTTCATCAGTGAATACTGGACTGTCAGGAAAGAAGAAAAAAGTTACAGTTTTCTGTTGTTTTTGTGAATGTGAGGTTTTTCATTTTCCACGTCATTTGAAAAGAAACCATACGAATGAAATTGAGGTACAAGAATTTCTAGCTTTACCTGTTTTAAGCCGTAAAAGGCAACAACTGCTTTTTGCTCTAAGGAAAAAGGGTAAATTTATCAACTCTACGCCTTTGAGGGGAGAGGGGATAAAACCTGTTAGAAAAGGTGCGGAAAAAACGGAATATCTTCCATGCATCCACTGTATGGGTTACTATTCTGCAAAGAACTTATGGCGTCATCGCAAACAATGTGATGCAAACCCGGAGAAGGGATCGTCGGGCAAACGATCACAGGCTTTAGGACAAACTCTGTTATTGGGTAATATAAAGGTAGATATTGAGCTCAAAGTAAAAGTATTTCCTCGCATGAGACCTGACAAAGTTTCATTGGTTGCGAAAAATGATAAATTAATATGTGCGTTTGCTTCCCGATATCTGAAACTCCATAGGGAGCTACATTTTGTCCAAGTCGTTTCTAGGAAAATGAGAGAATTGGCTCGACTTCTAATGGAGATAAAAAAATTAGATTTGTCTGTGGTTACCCTATTTGATGCTCTAAAACCACACAAATATGACATACTTGTGAAAGCAACTAAATTAACATCAGGATATGATGACGAAAGCCAAACTTATAAATCCCCCACATATGCTATGAACATGGGTACAACCTTAAAACAATGTTGCGATGTGGCTCTTTTACACGTTCTAAAAAAATCTAAGTCACTGCCAACAGTAGATAATGCAAACGTTGAGGCAGATATAAAAACATGCATCCAACTCATAGAGGCAAATTGGCGATTCGATATTTCAACCAATGCTGCTAATGACCTCAACCTAAAAAAATGGAATAAGGTCACTTTGGTACCGTTAGCTACTGATCTCAAACTATTGAAGGATTACCTCATGAAAGTAGCTGCAAATCAGGTATCAATGCTACAAAAAAATCCAAGCAATGAAAAAGCATACACGTCTTTACTCGAGACAGTTTATTGTAGGTTGCTTTTATTAAATAGGAGGCGGCCTGGAGAACTACAACGACTTCCCATACATGTTTACAAATCCGCTATATCTGAGGAACACAATCAAGCCTATGAGGAGTTTTCAGAAGCAATAACAGAAACCGAGAGAATTCTAATGAGATCTTTCAAACGAATAGTAATCCGTGGAAAAAGAGGCAGAGGTGTTCCAGTTCTTATAAGCAAGGATGTACAGGATCACTTGAATCTAATACTAGAGTGTAGAGATAATATTCAGACGGTGTCGAACATATATCTTTTCGGTAAACCTAACTCCCAAGAACCCATTATTGGTTACAAGGTAATCAAAAAGTATGCGTCGTTATGTCAAGCGAAAAATCCGCATGCTCTGACTAGCACCCGTCTGAGAAAGCACTTGGCAACCTTGACTCAATTGTTCAACATGTCAGAAAATGACATGGAACAACTCGCATCTTTTATGGGACATACACTAGGTATCCACCGTGCATCATACCGATTACCAGATGACGTCTACCAAACGGCTAGACTCTCCAAGATTTTGACGTTGATGGAGAAGGGCGAGGCAGGTCATTTCAAAGGAAAATCCCTGGACGAAATTAATTTGAATCTAGACGAGAATTTGATATCAGAAGCGCAGCAGGATGATAACCACCCAGAGCCTCTATGCCAATATGAAGATATCCAAGAACCGCATCCAGATCCGGAATCTCAGCAAGTGGATATAACGTTACCAAAGAAAAAGTCCAGGGTTCTAGTTCCTTGGACTGAAGATCAGAAAAATTTAGTCTTGGTTCACTTTGGAAATCACATTAAATCTAAGAGGGCCCCAAAAAAGGCTGAATGCGATAACCTCATCGCAAGTCATACTGAATTATTACATAATAAGGACTGGCTAAAAATCAAAGTTTTCATCCAGAACCAGTACCGAAAGAAAAAATGAATACCATCTCAATTTATGAGCGAACCCGTTTTTTTAATAAAGTAGAAATTAAGTATGAACATATGTATCACAAACTAAGTATAAGCATTTTTTAGTAGTTTCATTTTGTCAATGTATAAATTCAGTTTTCTTCTTATGTATTTTCGTAAATAAAATTCATACCGATATTATTTGCGTTTATCCTTCGCTCCTATAACCGCGTGGTTGTCAAAGCACAAAATGTTGAAAAATGTAGGTCATTGTCCGAAAGCGAAGTTTATGCAATTTTCTCTTCGTTTGTTGACCACTCTGCAACCACTGCAGCTAAAGCGAATTTTTTGTGATTACATTAATTCCCTGCCAATAGGCGCGGTAAGTAAAAGCATATTTTTTAAATTGTAAAACTAGGATTAGCATATTTGTTTTTATTTTATTCTATAGGAAATTGGATTTGAGCATCACCTTTATCATATTTGAGAGTGTTTTTTTGTGAACATTTTTCCTTAATACTACACCATCCTTGATTTTCTATTCATGTGGTTGTATTTGCATAATGGTCTATCTATATTACCCTTTTTAATTTAGCTTGAGTAGCTTTACGCTAAACTTTGCTCTTTGTTCATATAATCATGTATTGTACACATCGTGACCCAATATTCCATGGACGTGAGATTACTAGTTATTTTCAGACTGAGAACAAGTCGATTGCACATAAGTTATCTGTATTCGAAGGTGCTTCGTTAGGGGGCATCAAAGTTTTCTTTTAAAAACACGTTTTCCAAGATATTTCAAAAGCCGGTAGGTCGATTTTAATGAAATTTGGAACACATATGCTCTGCTCAGCGTTCTAATATTTGCCTTTTACGAAAAACTCCAGAGCTTTTTGGAAGGGTGAAAACTACCCCCACACCTACATAAATTGTAGCAGAATTTTTCCCAACTTTCCTCATGACCGATTTTTTTATTTATTCCATCCTTTGTCTCTCATTAAAACGAGATATCTTTCATAGTTTTCGAGAAAAAAAAACCTTTTTTGGGGCTGGTTTCTAAAAAAATGTTTTAACACATCAAGCGTAAAAATCTAGTTGGCAAATAAACGAAGCACTTTTGCATAGAGGTGACTTATGTCAAATCGACTTGTTATGAGTCTAAAACCTGATTGGAAAAACATTTTTTTCCGAAAACTAGTAATAATAATCGTAATCATAATCATAATCACAACCATAATCGTAATCATAATTATATTAATAATGATAGTAATCGAACAAATATATTATTGCTGCATTACGGTACTCTCGGTCACGGACGCCCCTATTATAATGCCTGACGGCGAACTGGGCCGCACCAGACATAGAAAGGTGAAAAGCCGATCCTCTAACACAGCAAATATAATAAAATACCTAATACAGCGATGCCAATATTAAGGAGGATCTAAAAGCGATAATCTGGATACTGAATACCCGGCAGATGACCGATCCACTGTAGACCTGACTGGTAATATTTGATAATATACGGGCTGAATACCCAAGCGATCGTGAGTCCACCAAATCGGCGCGGCAAAACCCTGAACTACGGTACCCAAATTCGGCGAAAAACATGATCTAGGTCATCCCTCTGAAATTTTGCCAGGTGACAGAGGGGGGCCTGAGGGGCCGATAGGTGGAATTTGCGATAGGTCCTCCTTATACGGAGGACCTATCAGAGCGGAGGACCTATCGACTCTAAAAAGCCCATGAGTGGAGGACCGATCCATCAGAATCTACATATATATATATACATATATATATATATATATATATATATATATATATCTTCCTGAGACCCAGTGTCCATTTAATTGGACACTCACGTTTTATTGTATATTTTCGCAAAGAACAGAATTACAGCGCCTAGTCCTCGGTACATTTTAGTGGACATACACGCCTACGTGGCAACATCGCTGCAGCTTGGTTCAGGCACATTTACTAGTGATCATCGGGACTATGAGCACGTGGTAAAATGGCATCACATTGGAGCTCCAAAATTGATGGTAAGTACTTAAAATTATGGAGTTAATACTGCATTGCTTGTAACTATCATGTAGCCTAATGTGTAATGCATGCATCTGAGTGTTTGAAATATTTCAATTTTTTTTTGTCTTTGTATTAGGTGCCGAAAAGGTCTATGTCCATTTCAATGGACGTTGGGTCAATAAGCCTACACTATTTTACCATTTTTGATTTTTTGCTTCAGCTATTTTCGGAAACAAGACTCATTTAATTCCTGGCCAAGATGATGAAAAATTGCTACAGTGTCTGGAACTGTCTGACCTGTCGGAATCTTACTCAGAAAACGAATATGAAGACATTGCGTCAGATGAAGATTTTCCTGATCTGAGACATGAAGACGAGGATCCTTCAGTTCAAGATCCAGAAGCAGAACTACTGTCTGAGAGTGATTCAGAAGATGAGCCACTGAGTAAACCGAGGAAGAAGCTCCTTCAAGAAAAATCTACCAATGACGGTAAGCAAGTATGGAAAAAGATGGGCATGTTTGTTCCTCCAGCTGTCAGATTTTCTGAGCCTGAAGACACAACCTACGAAAGGCGAGACTGGAAAATAGAAAATTACATCAGCATGTACTTTGACGATTCTGACTTTATAGATATTTGCCACTGTACAAACGTTAGATTCCTTCTGGAGAAAGGCAAGCCTATGAACTTGACAGCCGAAGAAGTGAGACATTTTTTTGGTATTTCAGTTTTGATGTCTTGTCTTAAGTATCCCCAAATTAAAATGTATTGGGCTAAAACGACAAAGGTTAATAGTATTGCTAATTTGATGACACGTGACAGATATTTCCAAATTAGGAGTAACTTGAAAGTAGTAATCGATGCTGATGTTCCGGAAAATGAGAAAAAGGCTGATAAGCTCTTCAAAATTCGTCCTCTGATTGATCGGATTAAAAAAGGTTGCAAATCACTCCCTCGATGTCAGGAGGTTGCTATCGACGAACAAATGATTCCTTTCACTGGAATGTGCCACATGAAACAATTTGTTCGTGGCAAGCCTAACCCAGAAGGGTTGAAAAATTTTGTTTGTGCTACTCCCAAAGGCTTGGTATTGGACTTCGAAATTTATCAAGGAAAAATACTTTCCTTGATAACAAAGTTACAAATTTGGGAGTGGGTCCATCTGCCATTGTTAAATTGAGTGAAACGTTGTTAGAAGGAACACACATTTACGTGGACAGATATTTCACTACCCTACCACTTATCGAGTACATGTTAAATACTAAAAAGATGTTACTGACTGGCACAATAATTAAATCTAGACTGCCAAAAGCAGCTAACTTAACATCCGATACTATGATGGCTCGAATAGGAAGTGGTTCCTCCGAACAGGATGTAAGATGTGATGGAAAAATTAACATTGTACAATGGTATGATATGAAGTCAGTCATTTTAGCCTCAACTTCTCTGCAAATAGAACCTTCGGATGACTGCAGACGTTGGTCAAAGAAAGATTCAAAATATCTACACGTACCTAGGCCGAACATAGTCAATAAGTACAATGAGTGCATGGGCGGGATTGATTTAATGGATAGGATGATAAGCTACTATCGAATAGGAGCAAGAAGTAAGAAATGGACAGTTAAATCGATTTTCCATCTATTCGACGTGGCAATTGCAAACTCCTGGATATTTTATCGAGATGATAGGCAAAAACTTGGGGACAGAAACATCATGAAGTTCCTTGAATTTAAAGTCGCTGTAGCAGAGCTTTTATTGAAGAGTGATAAGTCTGAAAACTATTCAACAGGCATTTCAACATTAGCTACTAGGAGCTCTTCAGGTCCTAGACCATTATCCCAAAGTTGTTTTTTACAAAAAAAATAAGCCAATCGAACACTTTCCGGCAATAGCCTCCGATTTGAAGAACTCCATGAGATGCAAAAATCAAGGTTGTAAACAAAAAACAAAAGTGTTTTATGAATTTTGCGATGTTTTCCTTTGTCTGGTTTAAAGAAATTTATTTCAATATAAGGTGTTATACCGTTCAGCGAACGACCAACTGAAGTATAGATATATATATACTTACACGTGCATAAAACGTCCAAAGGAAACAACAGAACAGATTATGGATAGTGATCAAGAAATGCCGTTCATAGACCCAATGTTAGATGGATGGGACGATGATTATGATGATTTGTTAACTAACTTTAAGCCTATGACTAAAGTAGATGATGATTTAGAAATTAGTCAGCAGCTATCTAGTCAGGAAAAGTTGGAGTCACATAATAAACTGGACAGCCGTGTGAATGTTGAGTACAATGTACCACAAGTCATATATAGTGATGTCGAGCGCACTCCCGACGAGTTGCAGCTGATGCGCACTATGTCTCCTCGCTCATCAGTAGGGTCAGAGCGTTCATTTGATGTCGCTTATTTTGAAAGTGAGAGTGATGATAATCTGGCTCCTCCATTGACAAGGAGCAACTCTACTAGTACACAGATACCCACTGATAGTGAAGATGACAGTGAGGAGGGGTACCCAACTACCTTACGAGACATCCCTATGCCCGATAGACCTCTACGCATTCATGCTATTATGGCGTTGCGTCGTGAGATCATGCAATTAATAAGCGAGGCGCGTAGTTTAGCAAGTATGCTGAAACCACCCGTGCCCATTGATAGATGGGATGTAGAATGTATGGGGCACAGGAAAATTCAACGTCTATTACAATTGATGCAGTATCGATCACCTGAGAAACAAAGTATTGTCAGGTTAACTCTCAAGAAGCTATGGTTTAAGAACCTGGTTCAAAAGATGAGAATTGAGTATGAAGATCAGCAGATTGTGGTAGCTCCGTTTCAAAACGTGAGAAGGTACGTGCATGAGTTAACAACTGATGTACGCGGATATAGTGGCGAGAAGACCTTTAAAGACTTAGTCTTTATGTTATTTGGAACTGAATTACATGAGATAGCTACAGCGAAGCTTAATTTAATCTCATCCGATGAATTCACCAAATACTCAAGAACTCGCGTATTTCGAAGTTTTCTTCAATACGCAAGAGCATCAATGTTAACAGCTCACGAGTTTACAACTTACATATATAAGTTAAGGTCAAGAGCAACATCTCAAGCAGTTTGCATATGCAATGAAGTGCTGCCACATATGGATGCTTGAGGCTTCAATTACAAAACGAGACGGGCAAAATCTTTCGCCCAATCCCCAATTTGAATGGGAAGTACTTATTACTCAATATGACGATTATGGCGCTCCACCATGTTTGGAGCTAACTTCAGCTAGTACCACAAGCCTATCAAGCGTAAGTGGTGTATGAACACTGAGGCGTGACCAAGCCCCTCAACATAGTTTGGCAGAACTGCTTTAAGGAGTTTCACTTGAAATAATTTTGTATAGATTACGTACTGTTGTCCATTTAAATGGACAGCATTTTTTTGTGTGAAAATAAAAAAATAAAAATTTGAAAAAAACATGTGTTGTTTCTATGTAAAAAGTATGACGAATACACATTTTTTTCCAAAAAATAACAAACTGACGAGACTCGGGACTCAGGAGGATATACATACAAAGTCGAAGCGTTTTTGAGTTACGCGCAAGTTATCGAAATATCGCCTACAATTTATAAAAAATAAAATTGGTATACTGAATAGCTTTTCTAGTGCTTCGCGAAAAGCCACGAAGCAGTGAAAAACTAGGTATTCAGTAAACCGACTTTATTTTTTGTATTGTGTACGCGACATTTTGATAAGCTGGAATCTGTATGGGGAGATCTTAGATTAAAATAGGTGATAAAAATAAGAAAACTGAACAAGCGATGGTCGCATGATTTTGGCCTTTTGGGATTTCATTCAATTGCGCGTAACTTAAAAACGGTTTGACTTTGTAATAAGGTATATGTGGCTTAATAAGTACCAAATGGGGTGTATTTTCATCTCTTAAAGTGGCACTTTTCCGCACGCATTTCAGTTTGGAAAGTGTCACTTTTCCGGACGCCGACGGATAATGGCACCGGGTTTTATTATTCATTGTTTACAATATGCCATTGTCAAAATAAATCAAATTCAGCTGTCACATCTGAAGGCTGATTGAATCTGTTAACAAAAATGCCAAACAAAATTTTGAACGAAAATGTCACAACAATATCTATGCATCAGCATACACTCCCCTACCTGAAATAGGAACCTAGGTTTAAACAGAGCTACAACAGAAAAGGGATGCTGATAATGTGGAGGATAAGTGCACTACTACCCTAGAATTTTGCCTATGGCAATGGCTCTAATTGATGAAGCTTCTAGAGTTTGATTAAACACAAAAAAGGAACTTAGCAATATGCAAAGCTCAAGAACGAAGAAATAACCTAAAGCTCTAATTTGTCTTGTCTCCGCACATAATCTATCTCATATCGAACCTTCTGTAATCGTAAGTATTCACTGGGAAAACCGGAAGACTACCCTAATAGGATGTGAGAACATTTCCATTAGCCGTCGGCACAACTACAGGGTGGGGGGCCGTCTGGTGCATTTGGATGTGAGGGGACTGTACCACCGTAGGCTGCGGCTGGGGTTGAGTCACCACTGGCACCTGGGGTATCTGGATGTTGCCGGGGTTCGGCTGGTTGTTCTGGGATTGCGGGGGTGCCTGATTCTGTGTCTGGGGTTGTTGCTGGGGCTGGCCGGGCTGCACCACTGGATTGGGTGCTTGCGATGGTTGACCCTAATGGATAGATTATTATTGCATTGTTTACAATGTAATTGACTATGATGTGGTTTCAAAAATTAAGGCTGAGAAGCTGACATGTCTTCCTTTATTAAAGAAAGGATTTTTCATGTTGGAATAGAACAAAACAAGTTGTATTAGTGTATTATTATTTTTATGTAAATACCACATGGGTCGATGCATGGGGTGTCCCGCTACAAATTGACCCCACCCCCTCTAAAATTTTTTGCATGATCTTTTAGAAAAAAAGTTATATACAAAAGTTGTAGTGTCTAATATGAAGCTTTTCAGGCAATGGTTATTTGCAGGAAATTGCTATAAAGTTGTATTTTTCTAAAATGGAACACCCTGTACATTTTTAGTGAAAACGGTAGTTGCATTTTTCCTGATTCTAAATATACAGGGTGCAACAGCATAACTTCCTTTTTTAAAATGCGCCCCATTCAGTCGGTTGTTCTCTTAGCGGAGCGATAGTGGTCTGGTTCTACTATGAAGTTATGTCCCGACACAGTTCAGTCGCCATCATACGTTGGAACAGTGAGGAGCGTGCTTTGCCGTTGACGCCTACTTTTCGAGCGGATGTTTTGTAACGCGTCTTTCGGAATCGCTTGGATTTAGCCCCTTGGCACCTATCCCGGACCGAAAATCAATAAATGTTACGTGAGTCACGACGCTCAGACAAACTGACACAGATGGCAATTGTACAGGAAATTTCTGAGCGTGACTTCCACTCTCAGATGAAGCAGTGTGAGCGTCTTCTCGGAGTCGTTCCTGAATCCATTTTCATATGTGCGGATCCGTAAAGAAAACGAGCTTCTGGACTGACACCAATCCTCGAGAACTGCATCAAAGGCCCTTCTATTCCTAAAGTCACAGTGTTGTGTACAATTTCCTCAGCTAGAATTAGAGGCTATGAACTGGTAACCAAGGCAGCAGCGGTGGCCGCAGTAGTAGACTCTTCGGTCTCCTGATCAGTCGCCGTGCGCTGTGCGGGTTCGAGTCCCGTCCCAGGATAAATTTTTCTCTTGGCTATGGATGTTGCGATTATCCGTAGGTGGTAGACGGTCTCTGACTGTCGAACGCGGAGGTACCACCCGGCGGATCTCGTAGGCGGAGCCAGAATGTGTGCATGTTGCATGCACACGTGTTCCCTCGCCAGAGTCCGTGTGGCGTCCCCCCTTTCCCATGTATCCCCCTATAACCCCACGGTACCCAATGGGTGCTTAGGCCTTAGGCCTTCGTGGTAGTTAGAGTATAAAAAAAGTTACATTTCTTTTTCACGGCTAGATGAATTGGACTTGAGGACATTTGGTTCCAACAAGAGGGTGCAACAGCACACACTTCAAGAACATTGATGCCCGTTTTTTGGGAATACAGACGACTTAATTCTTACCAGAGCGCCTCATCTCAATTAGGGGCGATTTGGAGTGGCTGGCCCACTCAGCAGATGTGGCACCTTGTGATTTTTTTTCTATGGGGTTTTTTGAAATCTCGTGTTTTGGTAAACCATCCAAGGGACCTAAAAGATTTGAAAACCATACATTCAGGAAGAAATTGCCAACATAACCGCTGCTATGCTGGCAAGAGTTGTGACAATCGCCAGAAATCAGTTTCCTCAGTGTATGGGGAATGGGGGACGTCACCTATCTGATTTGACTTCAAATCTGTGTAAAACAAAACTTTAGGCATTCACCTACATTATAAAAACAAATAAAGGTGTTCTGATTCATATAGGTTTTACCAAGTTTTGAAAAAAGGAAGTTATATTGCCACTGCCACCCTGAATATCGTTTATCATTACTTTAGTCAAAAACTTGAATTATATGTATTATTTAATCATATGTATCCGGCCCTATACCTGATGGTTAGGTTTGTTATGGTCTTCAAGATCATTTGCCGTATCCGGACTTTTTGAATACCATATACACTAGTTCTTCATTAGATAGAAATGGAAAAAAGACTTTACCTGTCCATTTTCAGTATGCTTCCTCATATGCCTCAACATGTTCCCTTTCTCCACAAAAGTCTTCCCGCAATCTGGGCAAACGTGAGGCCTGTCTCCGATGTGAGATCTCCTGTGAGATACCAAGTGACCTTTACACATGAAGTCTTTTTCACACAGATCACATCTACAAATACGAGGAAACACGTTTGGAACTACAGCCCTACCATTTTAAAGGAGGTCCCATAGTTTTGCTTTGGCTTGAACTTTCCCAAAGTTCAACTAAGAATGTAAAAACTAGTTTGTCCAAAAGGACAAAAAAGGATGCGGATTTCAAAGATTGTCGATTATATAACGTTTATAGAATTCGAAAGTGAAAATAAAGTATTAAATATTTAAGGAGCTCTACTAAGTCAAAATTTCATTCAGTAGCTCCATTTTGGTTCCAATTCAGGACCATTGCAATTGCAAATTTGGGACAACCTGTTGATAGCAATGTGACCTTTGTTTAGTTGTCTATTGAAAAAAAAATCATAAAGAGTTGATGTGTATATTAACAGGGGTGTATCGTAACTTCTGTAACTTAACCCATTGTTTTATCTGTTTCAAGGCGGTTTCACTGGCTAATAATTCAACAATGTGTTTAACACTCACTATATGTCTGCCTTTTTAGAATTACAATTGCTGCAAAGGTTGTTCTCCAATAGGTAAGGAAATATTTGATAGCAACTCTGCTTAAATTCGTACGCAATAGATCATTTTTTTAAAACGTCACGGGCCGTGTTGGACGACCATTTAGTTCAATTTAAATTACCTCCATTCTTTTTCCTTATATCTTTTAAATCCTTGGTGGTAACAGTCAAGAATCTGTTGGAAATGCCCTTTCTGCGGCGAATTGTTTGATGAGGGGGAACCCAGACATGTATTTCTGCTAATCTCTAAAATGCTGATGAAAAACTCAATTTTTTGTTCATCGAGCGAGGAGATTTACGGATTAAATCATTGAAGACAGGTCTCTTGATAGAAGAACCAAAATATGCCAGAATTTGTTCCAGGTATTTCATAAAAGGTAACATCTTTAAATAAAATTGGTGGAACCAAACGTGTATTTTATAGAAGCCCCAGCAGACTTAACAGACAAGGATAATTTCTCAGTCAAATTATGGAATATTACACCAGCATTTTGGAAAATAGCAGAAATGCACCCATCAAAGTCTCGGATTTGAAAATAATCTATACCCCTTGTCTCAACTCGACAATCGCTACTGTATCATGAACATTTTGTGACAAACTTACTACCGCGCCAAAGACGAAAAAGTACTTTGGGTACATAACTTTAAAACTATCTCTCTGACTCCTATCAGATTTTGACATAAGGTAATTGAAATCATAACAGCAGTGACAAAATTATAAGCAAAAATGAATGTATAACAACTTCGTTGACTGGACATTTATGGAGTATTTTTTTAAAACCCCTGTTTGTTTTTCAAGGATCTTAAACTTCCTGATCATCTCTATGGCGCAGCAAAAAATAATTTAGGAGTTAAAAATTTTAAAATCAGGTATGTCTCATATTCCACTAATCACTTATGATTAGACTCCAATTTTTGAAGTGTGTATGAATGGATAGGGATAATTTTCAGATGTTACAATATATTTTTTTTCTGCCAAACAAAGATCACGCACCAAACCAAAACTACGCCAAAATACCTTCACCATCAACCCAAACCCCAAACCTTCATTACCTAAACGGCCTTTCAGCTGCCGCCCCTTTGTTATGAGACCGCTGGTGAAAGAGCAGGTTGCCTTTCAGAGGGAACGCCTTTCCACATTCTCCACACGCAAAAGGTCTCTCGCCCGTATGCGACCTCATGTGATTCACCAGATGCTCTTTCCTGGTGAAGGGCTTCTGGCACACGTTGCAGCAGTGTGGCGTCTCGCCTGTATGTTGACGCAGATGGTTGGTCAGGTGTTCTTTACGGGTGAATGTCTTTTGGCAGAATTCACATCGGTGAGGTGACTCCCCTGAAAAATCAAACATTGTCGTAAACACGTCTTACAGAAAAGTATGCAAGACAATATTCGAAAAATGAGATACAGCTGAGGTAGAATTCATAGAATAAATTAATATTTCTTACAGTATTTAGCTTGGGAAAACGAAATATATCGATTTAAATTTTTTAAGCGCAAGATTTATATATAAGTACATTTTAAAAAATGCTTTTTATTTTTAATATGATACGGTGAACAAAAGATCGGCCTTGATTTCACGTTACACAACTTGTAAACAAAGAAACGTTATCCGTATGTCACTCATGGACTAACGGCGAATTCAGTAAATATTTCTGCTAATCAACGTAAAAAGTTATCGTTTTCTCGGTTTATTGAAAAAAAAAACAATTATGAACGTCAAATTTGTAAAAGCAGAAAGCAGAAATTTGCCGAAAATTCGATAGATTGATGGTTGGTAATTTTTTGCCTTCAACCCAGATTTCTGCTCTGCTGAGCTAGATTTCTATGTAAGTACAGTAATACACGTACATAATCTGCCTTTTCCGAAGTCATTCAAAACTGAGCTCATAGGTCATAACCTCTGAATAATTTTATCTAATATTGTATTTCGTCTTACACATCTGCAAGGGAAACGTACGGTGATGATGCCGTGGGTAACGTCCAACTTAAACGAGATGATAAAAGCTGCAAAGTAAAATGTAAAATATGTACCGAACATAAGGTACGAGCCCCTTCCCACTTCAGTTGGCCCAACTATTGAAATCTTAGTTTTTTTCTTATCAAACACAAATAATAGAAATGTAGCAGGGTGTTATAGGTTTAAAATATTAACAATGAATATTTTGATAATATATAGTAGAAAACACCAACTTTATCACTCCCTAATCAAATTTGCAGCATAAAAATAACAGATGTTGCAATTACATCATATCAACCTGTTTTCATTTCAATGCAAAATAAGTCTATAACGCATAGGTGGCTGTGAAAAATAAAAGCCATGACAATTGTTTTTATTAATCACAGCTGTCAGAATACGTTTAAAATAGTTTTGGGTAGTTAAGGTTTTCAAAATGGGTCGAGGAAAGGTTATTAGTGAGAAAATTCGGTTAGTGATAATTAAATTTTTTAACTCTGGGAAATCAAACTCAGAAATTATAACTTTGTTAGACTTATCGCGGTACAGTGTGAGAAATATTGTAAGAAGATATAACGTAACTGGTTCAGTTAATATTAAGCCACGATATGTGAAAAAAAGTAATATCACAAATGCCGACCGAAGCGCATTAAGAAGAATAATCGTGAAAAACAGGCGTGCCAATTATTAACAATCAAGTGCTCTGTGGAGTGACCCTGTTGGAAGGAGAATTTCGAAACTCATAGAGAGGCCCACAAACTGGGATTTAGCACTTGCAAGGTAAGTTTTCTTATAAAAAAAAGTGAAGTAAAAACCCTAAAGTTGCACAACTTGTTTATAGGCCAAAGAAAACCCACTATTAACTCCACTAGGAAAATCGGCTTAGATGGGCTAAAGAACATAGACAATGGACACCTCAACAATGGTGTGCAATACAATGGAGTGATGAGGCCCGATTCGAAGTTTGTGTTGGTGACAGTCGCAGTAGATATTCGCAAAAAAATGAAGCATTCCATGTTGACTGTCTGAAGAGAAAAGTGAAATTTCCAGCATCCATTATGGTCTGGGGCAGTATGTCATCAAAAGGAGTAGGAAAACTTCATTTTATTGATGGAAATGTGGATACAAATATTTGGCAATTTTAGAAGAATCGCTTTTACCAGTGATGAAAGAATGTTTGACATCCGTCCAAGATTTTGTGTTTCAGCAAGATGGTGCAGCGTGACATATCTCAAAAAAGGCTATGAAATTAATGGAAGAAAATAATGCACCACTTTTGAAATGGGTTTCTAGCAGTTCAGATATGTCACCTATTGAAACTTTGTGGCACGATATGAAAAAGATTCTACAACATCCTGCTCGTACAATCACCGAACTGAGACAAACGCTTCAAGAAATATGGGATTATTTTACACCAAATTTTTGACAAAACTTGGTTAACACTATGCCTCAAAGAATTTCAGCCGTAATAAAAAATAAAGGTGATGTTACCCAATGGTAATCTTTCAATTGTTGCTTTGTTAACTTCGCGCATTTATTCGCACATTGTTTATTTGTTCAGATGTTCTATTAGTTATAGGTCTAGGTGATTTCAAATATGTATTTTTTACGACTAGAGTGTATCTAAAATAATTTTGAGAAAATAAATTGTTTTAGAAGTAAATAGTTTCGTCATGTTTAGTTTATAAAGGCATATTTTGGTACAAATCTTGCAGTGGGCCAACTGAAGTGGGAAGGGGCTCGTATGCTCTAAGCAATATACAGTGTGGCGTATATTTATTTCCATGGGCACTCTGTCGCACAGCTTTCCTGGGGCCTTTATCGTTGTGTTTTGATATTCTCGAACGATACAGAAACGATAATTATTATGTTTCATATAAGCTAGCAGAAGTCATGTTTATATGTTTAAAAGTTTGAGAGGTTATACGACTGTCAGCTGCTGTTTACAAATGGTATGACGTCAGAGCACACATTATACATTATAAGGGCCACATATAGCGGACAGTGTTTTTGCCCGTCTAAGAAAAATATATCTTTAAATTATAGTTTTTATTATTTTTTGGACTAATAGAACAAATATCAACTGTTTAACTCCTACTTAAAAAAGTGTCAACTAGTCGATTATAGAGAAACAACATTAAAATATATTAGGCCCAGATCCTATAACACTTTATCTGCCCCCACAAAACCATGGTTCTAATGCAAATTATACCAAAATTCGATAACAGAAAATTACATCATAGTAGGGTTACCTACTCACACTGCGGCAAACGCGTTGAAGTTCACGTCAAAGATGAGTTCTTTTAGCATAATTTTGATTCAAATTCAACCAACCAATACTTACTGTCAATGACGCCATTAAGATTAAGCTAATGCTGCCAATGATAACATTAAGGATTTATCGGTTGAGATGTCAGTTGAATGATGCCAAAACTCATTTATCCAACTAAACTTAAAACTTCTGTGTCAGCGAACTTTAATTTAAAATGCATTGTACCATGGATTTGTTGAAGGTAGCAAAAGAGCTCCACCTTCATGAGGGCAAATATGCTTTTATACAAAAAAGGCGCCAAAATGGCCCAATGCATGGCTGAAATCATATCGTTTTTGCCAAACTGTCACAATACATTTTTATCGAAATGAAAAGATATTAGTGTAAAAGGTATTTGAATGACCGACCTTTATTACATTATATAATCAATGTATTGCCAAAAACGATCTCAATGACTTAATAATTGCTATTCAAATCTTAGATTTGAAAAATGATATATGCGGGCGAACAAATAATTCAGTTTTAACTTCAGGCGAAGGGAAGATGGACGGATCTTCACCACCATTGAAACTGATATTTTTCTATTATACAGGTTGTTTCAGTTTATTGTTGCATAACTTTAAGATTCGATAGAACTTTTAAAATTAATGCATAAAATCTATATAAACATGGGTCGAAAAATGCGCGGCTTCCGAAATACAGGGTGTTTAAATTTACTTTTTAAAATAGTTTTTTTTAAATATTTCGAACAATATTTGATGTATAACAGTGAAAATTGGTATATAAGGATTTTTTGGTCCGACAAAACGAACCAGGGGCATAGTTTTACTGTAGCCGCTAGAGGGCGCTCTCTACTGTACCTGTAGTGTATTAAAAAGACTGAAAATTTTTTCTTAGTGCAATTTTTTGCTTTTTGAATAAAAAAACTGATTCTTCGCACTTTTCTGCATAAAAAAGCTCTCCTGTGAGTTTTCGTTATAGTTAGCCGTTTTTGAGATATCAATATTTTGATTTTTAAGGTTCGACGCATTTTTAATTATTTATAGGAAAATAATATTTTTTTTACATTTTCGATTTGGGCATTACAAGTAATTAAGATGATCGTTTAGATTGTGTTTTTAAACACAGCAATAATTCCTAACTCCAAATAAACACAAAAAAACAGAATATTAATTTGTTTAATTTTCCAATATTATTTTTAACAAATTAAATTAATTATTTACAACTAAAATGCTATTGGATAGTTAGGACAACATACAAAATCTAAAGTAGTTGCTCGAAATGTAAACCCAATTGTTCAATACACAATTCACATCTATGAATGATCGAACGTGGTATAGCATTATTCAAATAAGGCCTTATTTCATCACATGCATTCCTGATTCTGTCTATTAGAATATCTCTTGTGGTTACGGGAGTCTGGTACACTTTTTCTTTTAGAAATCCCCACACAAAGAAATCTAATGGATTTAGGTCAGGGGATCGTGGAGGCCAGGCGACTGGTCCTCCACGGCCGATCCATCTTTCTGGATAATTTTCGTCTAGCCAGTTTCTAACTATTCTCGATTAATGAGCTGGACAACCATCACGCTGGAACCAGGCCAATCTTCTTAAATCTAACATAACATCATCCCACATATTTGCATGTTCAGCCTTTAAAAATTCCAAGGTCGCAGCATTTAACCTTGCAGGGAAAAGGTAGGGTCCAAATAGTCAATTACGGTAGATACCAATCCACACGTTCACACTAAATTCATGCTGAAAATTTCTTTCCCGAACTGCATGCGGATTTTCATGCGACCAAATATGTTGATTATGAAAATTTACCACTACATGTCTAGTGAAGCATGGCTCATCGGTCCATAAAACGTTACTTAAAAACTCCCTATTATTATCAGTTCTATCAAGAATCCACTGACAAAGTGTGATTCTTCGTTCTCCGTCCCCTGGCTGTAGTCCTTGCACAGGTTGCAAATGGTAAGGACGTCTATGGTCATTTCTAAGAACACGGTGAACATGGCTTGCTGAAATTCCCAAGGCACCAGAAACTCTCCTAACACTTGTGGTCGGATCTCTATCAAACTCGCGCAGAATCATACGGGTAAATCTGCGCTGACGAACATTTATGTTTTGATCCCTTTGGAGATTTCCAAAACCATTTGCAATTATTTGGCGATGCACTCTTACAAATACTGAGCGAGTTGGATGTCGTCTGTTTGGAAATCTTCGTGGGTATTCTCTGGCTGCTTCTGCTGCGTTTCCATTTACAAAGCCATACACAAAATGAATATCCGCTAACTCTTGATTGGAGAATAAAAATGGCATTTTTATAAAACTTACAAGAAAAACAGGTAAAAGAAACTAAATTTCGTGCACTCACAATTGCAAAAAAACGTTTCAGGTTTCAACAGACAACAAAACTAACTGTCAACTAATTGAGGTTTAACCTTATTCTGCTTTCAATTTCAAAAATATTTGCAGGCACAGCGTACTTCTAAAAATTATCGAGATACTGACTTTTTAACGTTATTTTATCATAAATAATTAAAAATGCATCGAACCTTAAAAATCGAAATATCTCAAAGACGGCTAACTATAACGAAAATTTACAAGAGAGCTTTTTTATGTTGAAAAGTGCGAAGAATCAGTTTTTTTATTCAAAAAGCAAAAAATTGCACTAAGAAACATTTTTCGGTCATTTTAATACACTACAGGTACAGTAGAGAGCGCCCTCTAGCGGCTACAGTAAAACTATGCCCATGGTTCGTTTTGTCGTTTTGTATACCAATTTTCACTGTTATACATCAAATATTGTTCGAAATATTTAAAAAAAAACTATTTTAGACAGTAAATTTAAACACCCTGTATTTCGGAAGCCATGCATTTTTCGACCCATGTTTATATAGACTTTATGCATTAATTTTAAAAGTTCTATCGAATCTTAAAGTTATGCAACAATAAACTGAAACACCCTGTATATCACTCATTTCTATTGGTGGTAGTTTACGTCAGTCTGAGTCCAGTAACCTGGACACCTAATCGTATGGAATTTCAGACAAATGCGTTGACTGATGATGGCGTAATTGATAAAAAATGTCATACCATCTATAGGACTCGTTTTTCGGTCGTCTTTGAACTTATTACCTAGAAAAGTTAAAAATGTAACGTCTACAACTCCCGTTTACTGATTTCTCAATGTCAACTCAGGTGCAAAGAGTTTCATTGAAGTTGCACGTGATCAATTAAGAAGGAAATTAACAGTATTTTCTTGGTCACCGATGTACCGATTTCAATAAGTAAACGAATATTTTCGATTCGAATTCATTGCGAGTATTCATGTTTTTAACAGAAAATAGTACAAAACATAGTTAAGTCAAAAAATATTGATTATTGGGACAGTCAATATCTAAAATCACGGCAATTCCGGTTCCTTTTCGAACGGAGCTATATTTTATCATAAATAGCAGCTACGAAAATTTTTCCAGCACTATATCCTTACCGGTATGTATCCGGACATGATTGGTCAGATGCTCTTTTCTAGTGAACGACTTAGAACAGAAATGACATCTATAAGGTGACTCCCCAGTATGTTGTCTCACATGATTGGTCAAATGTTCCTTTCTCGTGAAAGATTTTGAACAGTACGTGCACTTATGTGGAGTTTCTCCCGTATGTTGCCTAACATGGTTCACTAGGTGATCTTTCTTGGTGAACGCCTTCGGACAGTAGGTGCACCTGAATGGCGTTTCACCTAAAAATAGCGAAGTACAGTCTATTGCTTTTTCTGGGTCCAGTAACTTAAAAAGACCCTCACCCGTATTACGTGACTTAAAAAGTGACATTGTATCGATTTTGATGACATTATGTTGATTTTTTTAACATCATGTAGGCTTTCCTATAAAATGTCACCTTTGAACTAGCTGACATTCACTTCATGCTCAGTTGTAGTAAGCGCGGAATGGCATAGCGGCACAAGTTGACATTTTACTAATTTTTTGAACATTATATAGGTTTTATAATAACCAAACCGATTATACTCAAATTATCATACCGTTAACTTTTATAATTTCTATACGGGTTAATGTTCTATGAATTCTAGGCGTAACAAGGCACAGACTGTTTTTATTACGTTGTTCATTTCACTTATTTTCATGTCACATCTGTTGCAGTGTTTGCCTCTTGGTATGCTTATACTTGAAGTTTTGTTTTGTCAACATGAGAAACTAATAGCAACTTTACGGATTTTGAGCTTTGGGAGTCCCAATAAGTGCTACATTTGCTACATTTTGAATAATAATCGATGTCTCGCCGGAGGGATATTTTGGATTATCAAAACACCAGCAAGGCTTGTTTTTGTATTTTCGAAAAAATGATCGTTTTTTGATGCAGTTAAAACATCGAAATGGGAGATTTTGAAGCACGCAACATTAAAAAGTATTTTTCCTTCGATTCTTCAGTTTCATAGATCGCCTAGATGCCATAATACTATTGGCACGATTTTCGCTAACCCATAAATACCCGCTGATAATGACAAAACGTACGAAACGAAATAGGACAGCAAACATTTTGAACTTATCAGCTCTCTTTCTAAGCGTTCCAAAAAGTAAAAAGGATTACCTTCCAATTCTGCAGCAATGTTTCAATGCTGCTATAAGCTTTATACGGAAGGGGAAAGACAAAGCCTCGGATTTATCAACTTTAAAGCTGAATATTTCAAATACAAGACGGTGGATTTTCTTTAAATTTTGGACTAAGGTGTTATTCAAACATTAATATAAAGTTTTTTATGAGCCCGTGTAAATGTTATAAGGATCGCATCGGTTAATATAATTCAAACTTCGCAACATGTATCATCTGTTCTACAAATTGTGACTAAATACCGTCCTTCCTTGGAAAATGCTATTATGTACCCTTGAGCACCAAAACGTCTCCGTGGTAATGATGGTATCTTAATCCACTTCACCACTATCAACAAGGATTTGTTCGTTGGAACATCAATCAAAATTATGCCATAAACCTTATTTTACAGTTGAAATTAAGCGCACCTTCGACATGGTAAACCATAATACGAGGAACACGCGAGCGTTAAAATGAGTTGCAAAAAAAGTGGGTCCTACTTGCTGTTCAAAGGGGAAGTCCACGAGCGTTGACCGATAGAATTAGAAATGAGCGCTGTAGAATCACAGGACACATAATCGAGGCGTGCTGCTCCATATTTATCAATATGATGCTACAGCGCGCGTTTTTATGCTGCACTGATATAATGCTCGTGTGACCCGGCACTAAACGACTTTTGATATTAGAATGGAAAACGTGTTTTGGAACTGGGTCCGTGGGCTCGCAGAAAATAACATCAAGCATTCAAAGAATATATTCCTCATAATGCTATAGTAAAAATATTAAGCATACATAGTAAGATTTTCCATTTATTAACAGAAAAACACTTGCTTTTCTGCCATATAGCTTATACTGCTGCTATCAGGGTATTGCTAGTGACAGGTCACAAGTTATACAGCATGTTTTCAATGGCATGAAACTCGATGATTTACTTGCATCTTTCGGTCGTATATTAAATTAGGAGGGCACAATGGTAGCTAGCTACAATAACTCAGTAATTTTAAGAGTGAATACTTATCAAGAACCACACAGGTATTATTCACTTTAACAGTTTTAAATTTATTACTATTCTTATTCTTACCCGTATGTATCCGCACATGGTTGGTGAGATGCTCTTTCCTAGTAAACGACTTTGAACAGTAATGGCATCTATAAGGTGACTCTCCAGTATGTTGCCTCACGTGATTATTCAAATGCTCCTTTCTAGTGAACGATTTTGAACAATACGTGCACTTATGCGGTGTTTCTCCTGTATGTTGCCTAACATGGTTGACCAGGTGATCTTTCTTAGTGAACGCCTTTGGACAGTAGGTACACCTGAATGGCGTTTCACCTAAAAATAGTGAAGTAAAATCGCTTCTGATTCATGTATACTAAAAGCATTGGTAAATATGAGGGAACTTTTACATTTGCTACAATGCTCTTAAGGTAGATATTTTCCAAATAAGACGCCGCAATGCGCTATCTATCACCATAATCGACCACTTGCGGAGAGTGCATAGCATCTATTTGTTAGAACTGTAAATGGCTGCTATGCACTACCCGCCAGTGGTCGATTTTGCTGATAGACGGCTGTCTATTTCGAAAGACCGTACCTCCTGAATAGAGGATAGTTGCAATGCTTTCGTTCGTTGTTCCAGAGACGAGAGACCAAGCCTAGACCATGCTGAGGAGTAGCCAAAAAGCACGGAACAGCTGTCCATATTTGACTGTCTTTTGGTCGGACGGACGAAAGCATAATATTTAGTTTAGACATTGTTTACTTTGCGAGTCATTTTAATGATAATTTACGAATTTTTAATACAAATAAATCTTATCAGATAATTAAACATTAAAAATGAAAAAAATCTGGTCATTGTCTTATTCATAATAAGGTACTATTTGGGTCCCAGAATAAACGCATTTAAGGATTTAAAGACTAATTCAGAGATCTGTCAAACCCGACACCACCCGTTTTCCTAGTCAATCATGAATAAAAATGTTCATTACACTCAAAATTTCGATAGGTTGTCGAAGTGCCATATAAGTCATTTCATACTGTTGTAATAGGAAATATTTTCTATGACAAAATTTGCTTTATGCCATGTGCAATCCACAGACTTGCTATTTAGTCTTTAAATTACAGTGCATGACATAGCTCAAGAAATAAATGAAAATGAATAGGTAAACTCTAAATTCGTTGATTTATGCATTATGTACTTTTATCTGTAAGTGATACTGCTTTGCTTGCGAATAAATGTGTATGAATTGACGAAAATAGATCTTAGGATGGAAAGTACCAATAGAGAGGATTCAAAGCTAGGTTAGTTTATTGCACTAAATATATGAAATTCGTGGTGAAGTTGTTTCGTATAGGAAGGTAGGAGAGCTGTGTCGCTTCAGTGTTAAGAATAGTATCTGATGATTCGAACACAGAATTTCTCAAATCAACAATTTCATATATTTTAGCATCCAATAACAATCTTAAAGAAAAATTGATTACTTCGCATGCTGGGATTTAACATCAAGACAGTCAGGTTGTCAGTATGTCCTTAATTAGTAATATAATTATTTGGTTCCTGTGTAATTTGGCCTTAGCAACACAACGAAACATAAAAAAGCTCTTTAGTTGTAATATGAGAATCAAATGTGTATGACCTCAGCAATAGTTATACAGTGCTTTTCAAAATGGACCCTATACTTATTTCTTGAGCAAGCTGAAATTTGGAGTAATGAAATTGACTCGTGGACACTATACTTAAGCGTAAAATCGCACTTGATTGTTTCAAGATGGCGGATATACGCCAATTTGGATCATTTTTTTAATGGAATGGGGGTTCGTGTGATACTTCACTAACTCGACAATTAATTATCAAAACGCTATTGTATGTTACATCAATCTTCTTATTTTGCATTTTTCTAAATGTGCATTAAAATATGGGACATTCTGATTGAACTCAGAAGGAGTTTCAAAATGAGGTAACAAGCGGCCACGTATTTCATTTAAAAGAATGTTCACTTTTACGCTGCATGTATCAATCTCATTACCACGAATTTCAGCCTGCTAACTTGACCTGTTCAAAAAATTAGTTTTTGAAAAGCACTGTATAACAAGAGCACCCCGTAAACATTACCTACACCAAAATAACAAAAAACGAGTTAGATGATACAAGATCTTTTAGAGTATCAACACTTTCCCTTTTTTTTTCTTTTTTCATGTGTACCCCTATATCCAAGACATGTTTTAATCAGAATAAAACAAAATAATGTCTTGCGGTGCATGCGTCTCTCGAATATGAAACTTCATTTCACTTATTAAATTATTGCCACAGATTGTAATCACTATCACAGATACAGAAAGAGCAGCGATTTTTCAATAATCCACTAAATTTTTCATGGTTAACGGTAGGCCTCCGATGTTTTAACTATCGCCATTCAGATGTAAACTTCCTTGTCACCCGAAAAAAAATCAAACAGCATTTGCAAGCTAGTTGTGACATTGTATCAACATGTAATTTATTCCAATAACAATTTCAATGCATTTTCTATCCAATGTATTCATTAAGCTAAGTACTGCAGTACTTTTTATCAGTGATGATTTACGAGTAGTCCATCTCGTTTCATCGCTGAAAAACGCTGGATCATATTTCATATGAGGGACAATATAGAAAATAAATCTACCTAACCATGAAAGAAAAGACGTACGATTTTTTTGATAAGTTTACTTTTCAATATAATCCTCCCCCTACATCAATGCATTTGTGGTATATCTCCTCCAGTGACCGTATACCCTTATAAAAATATGTTTCTTCTTGACTCAAACAAGTCGTTGACGGCTGCTTTTAGGCCAACATCTGACTCAAAACGATGCCTGTCAGACAGACCCGCGAGACTCCGGCCTCCCATCCTGACCCTGTTAAACTTCGTACAACCAAAACTGGCCGATATGGCCGCTCCTTTGTCCCTAGGGTGTCGAGATTGTGGGACAATCGGATTAACAAAGTTTCTTTGGGATACTCAGCAGCCGCAGTGCCCTGGCATTTAGGCTTCTGCCTGCGCGACTGCTTCAGTGTAAAAAAATATATAGGTAGAGTGGTCTATCTCAACGAAACTGCATTCCTCCGCAATTGGTCTAATTGTGACAGCCTTAGGCACGGTCGCATTGTCATGCAGCAGATACACTTCTCGAATGAAATAATCAGGCATTTTCTGGTTGGTTGCTTTACGTACATTTTTCATTGAGTTCGCATAGACATCAACATTTGTTGTTATCCCTTTTGGCATATATTCAATGAGACTAATACTCTTTATGAATCCACTGCTTCGATCCTGTTTCTGGATCACAATGATGAGCCCAATTTATACCAAAAACAAATCGTTCGTCTGATTCCAGATGACTTTCTCGAATTTCCAACCTGTCAACAGTCGTGGAACCCACATTTCTTGCTCTTTTAAGCCTTCCACTATTGAGATCATCTTCTATGGATTCACGCCCCCATAAAAATTTTTATTGTGTAATATGATGGCGCACCATCCCCATAGTCAGCAACCATTCTCTCAACAGTAGTTTTCGGCTGATGGCCCTCTTTTGTCACAACTTTTATTACTACGATATTTGAAGTTACTCATTTTTCCTCACAAATAACTTTATAAATTGGGAACTATTTATCAAAATTAACTCAAACTCAGCAAGTAAGGTTAGAGCACCTGCCACAATTTGACATATGCTTGTGTGTTTCAAATGTTTTTTCATGTCTAGGTAGATTTCTTTTCTATTGAGCCTCGTATATTGACTTTTACTTCTTTTCACTTTTAACGGCAACTTTACAAACAAGTAAATAAAATATTATGGACAATTATTTGCTACGACTTGTTTGCATAATATTTATTTGAACTTGAAAAATGACTCGTACATAAAAGTAGAAACAAAATGTGAATCCCTCAAGTGACACCTAAAAATTCTACCGGGTGTTTGGAAGGTCGATACAAAGTGTTGGAGAGGAGATAGGGCAGACCATTTAGAGTCTTTTAAGCCCCAGTACAAAGTCTTTCGAGATATTCGGATTTTGAAATTTAAACCATAATAGTAAACGAAACAAAATAAACTATTGAAACATGCTTTATTGGTGTTCAATGTGAGAACCATTGTTTCTAATACATGCTCGAGCTCTACGTGTTACTTCGGTAGTTGTTGTATTTAATAACCTGTCTTGCTGCATTAAATAAAAAGTTTCTCAAATTTTTCTATGGTTTCTTTATACGATTTCTTCAGTGTAAACTAACTATTTAGCCCTTCCCCAGACATAGAAATCCGATGGTGTCAAGTCCGGGGATCTAGCAGGCCACGAAATTGGTCCACCTCTGCCTATCCAGCTATCTGGAAAAGTATCGTCCAAATATTGTCTTACGTCTAAACGGAAATGAGCTGGAAATCCGTCGTGTTGGAAAACAATTTGCATGTCATCTGTAATTTCTACTCCTACAAGTAATTCGGGAAGATCACTTTGCAAAAAGTGTAGCGGCCCATACATTAACGGAAAATTTGTGCTGGAAAGACACCTGTTTTTTCCAGTGGATTTTTCTGCTTATCAGCTCATTGATGCAAATTGTGAAAATTTGTAATTCCCTCCTTTGAAAAATTGGATTCGTCCGTCCGTAGAATGCTTTCCAGGAACCGTTCATTCTCAATGTCACTGTGTAAGAGAAAACGAGAAAATTGGCTTCTGCGAATAGGATCACCATCTTCAAGTCCTTGTACGCCGATACCATGAAAATGATATTTTCGTTCACGGCGCATGATACTCCAAGACTTCCATGGCGACAAACCAAGATCAGCAGCAACTTTCCTAGTATTTGTAGTGGGCTCATCTTCAAACGCTTGGAGGATTAAATCTTCGGCTTCAGGAGGATATCGACCTGGATTAATACCAGGTTCATTACGTGTTACACTTCCAGTCTCGTAAAGACGTCGGTAAGTATTGTAAACACTCTGACATTAGGCAATCTTCTCCCTGGAAATCGCTCTTGGTACAACCTTCGTGCCTCTAGTCCATTACCATCACCTTGCTCTGCCATACTTGTAAACGATTTCTGCGTAATCTTCGTTAGTGAAAGCGGCCATTTTACAAACTAATTAATTCAGGGTTTTTGGACTAAAATTCATGAATTACTATTGACTTGTTTGGAAAGGAATAAAGCAAGAATGTGTGGAATTTAGTTTTATCAGGCAGGCAAACACTTTATTTCTTATCAGTATCACAAAAATAGGAAAACATATTTATTTTTTACAGTCAATTTGTTTTCCTTTACCTTCGGAGAAAAAAACCGCAGTGTCAGGTATTTAAAAACTATTTAATATAGTCTAATGTTCTTTCAGTGATAACAGAAACAAAAGGCATATTTTTTCAATAAAAAACGAAAATATCGAATAACTCGAAAACCGTAAGACTTTGAACTAGGGAATTTTTGGCTTAAAATATTCTAAATTGTCTGCCCTATCACCTCCGCAAGACTTTGTATCGACCTTCCAAACACCCTGTATATTTGCCGATTGGACTGTAATCAATTATAATAATTATTAGCTAGGTATTTAAAGAAATTATTTCTAGAAACTTCAAGGAAACAGTTGGCCACTGACATATAGCATTGTAGTACTTGGCTTACCTGAATGTGTTTATTGCTTGGGTCTATGACAGGTACACACTTTCAGCCATTCTTTTGTTCACATTGCGTTTTAGTGCACTGATTCACCAATGTTTGCAAGTTAGTCGTGTTATCTATAGGGTCCGACCGAAGATCAATTTTTTGGCTGAAGCCTATGTTCTGATTTTAAGACAACCTTCGACCAAAGCTGAATGTTTGGTTAATCAGACGTGAATTATGTTATAAGCCTGGTAGTAAACTAAAAGATGCTTGTGCTCTTGGTCCTGTTTCTTATAAGTGGTAACCCCAGTTTTAATGTGATATTACATCGAAACTTGTTAAAATTAGACTAAACGTGATAATTGGATGAACATGAATACCAAACTTAAGTCAAATCTGTTATATTCATATTGGAATAGTGTGCAAATAGTTCATATCGCGCTTGCTACAAGTGAGCATTGAAGTAAACAACAGCTAGTTCCAAGTTGACGTCTTGTAGAAAAACTTACATGTTGTCATAAAAACCCTACATAATGTCAAAAAAGTCTACATGTCACTTTACAAGTTACGTAATTCTCCTGCAGGTGAAACTTCGTTTGTTATTTTTTTTTTCATTTTCACATTCCTATATAGAGTGTTACTACTGAAAGGTCCGTAACATGCCGAGATTACGTGAAGCCATCATTCCAAACTTCAAGATGGCACCACACAAAACCAGCACAGTCCAGGACAGCCTGGATTGGGCATTCCCGTTTCCAAAAGGACGTTCAGCCCTCCAAAAAGACAAGCGAGCATGAGGTTATCTGTCATTTTTTAATGTATCAGATATTTGTTATGCTCTTTGTATAATATTGAGACTTCATTCCATTTTACCCCATGTCCTGTTTCTCTATACATGTTCGCCGAGTGCTGATTTTGAGGTTTCTCCATTTATGTTCTTTAATTCTATATGTAACAGGTCTTGTAGACCGTTAGCAGTGAAGTGTTCATAATAATGAAGAATTTTAAGTGGATGTGGTATGAATGGTCAGACAAACAGGGGATTTCGACATGAAAACCGCAAGATAAGTTTCAGATGTTGTACACTAAGAACCAAATTTTTCTGATGGATTGAGTTCAATGTGTACGAGAGAGAAGTGTTTATAGACACATATATTAGAAAAAGATAGAAGCCGGCTCGATAGCGAAGCTCGTCACCGCGTTGCCTAGCAACTCTTTCGCATTCCTTGAATTAAAATGCATGTTGAAAATATGCGTTAGTTTATTCTCTACGCCCAAATAATGGGTTTATTTTGAGCGTACACATTTTTGAATTGTGAACTGTGTCGAATCTGTTCAGGATCGATTAGGTGGAAATAAAAGGTCAGGATCGCCACAAATTCTGCAGGATTGCGGCATTGGTTCGCTTGACAACACCGCATCTTGTACATTCCAAAGCAAGGTTGTTTCCACCTGCATGATCATGATTTCGGTCAGTAATAATAATAATAATAATAATATGCCTTTATTTTACCTGGCGGGTGTATCAGCTAATAGCTGCTTTTGGTACCAACCAGGGCTACATAAGTTTAATAAACATAAAAAAAAATCACAGATACAAAAAAATAATGATCAAGACATATAGTACTGAAAAGTGACAAATACAACATAATAGTGTGTAAAATGTGAAGACAGATTTAAATCACATTCACTCACACACTCACTGAAACAGAAATAATGAAAAAAAAAAAGACCACAACCAGACACTTAATGTAGAATCACAGCAGTTACAAGATGAAAGCTTAGTATAGAATTAGGTATTATCGAGAACAAATTGCTTTATTTTAACTTTAAAATTATTGTTACTCAAACTTTTCAGATCTGATGATAGACAGTTATAAAGGGAAGGCGCCATGTATGAGAAGCACTTTGTGAATTGTGTTGATTTATGGGGGGGCATATCGAGGGTATAACCTACAAAGCGTAAGTTCGCCGAGTGATGCTGACTTCTAAATGAGAGTTTGCTGCTCAGATATGCTGGATATTTGGTTAATAGGACTGTCTGTACTATGACCAACAAGTGTACAATCCATCTCTGACGCATCGTGAGCCACTTGACATCCTTAATGTATCTAGTAATGTGTTCCCTTCTCGGAACACCTAATGAATACCTGATACAACTATTTTGCACTTTTTGTATCCTATAAGCTTCCGACTGTGTCAGGCATGGACCATACACCGCATCAGCGTATTCGACTTTGCTGAGCATCAAAGAGTTACAAAGCTTGATCTTGGTTTGACTAGATAATACATGTTTATAACTGTAAATTGTCTTGAGCTTAGCATATGAATTTTGCACAACCCTGGAAACGTGATCGTGAAACGTGAGATGTTCATCCACTATTACTCCTAAATTTTTCACGGATTTTATATGAGGCAAGTCTCCACCTTCCAGGTGTAATTTTATCAAGTTACTATCGAAATTACTTTGTATGGACTTAATAGTTATGACAGCAGATTTGTTTGAATTGATAAGTAACCCGTGATCGTTATACCACTTTGCAACACGATCTAGATCACAAGACATTCTCCTGTTTGCCTCCAGGAAATCGAAAGGACGGTAAGACAAATACAGTTGGGTATCGTCAGCGTAAGACTGAATAGAACAATATTTAATGTCACGACTTAGATCGAACGTATACAAAGTAAACAAAATTGGGCCAAGTATGGAGCCCTGCGGTACCCCCTTCAAAATCGCACGCTTATCGGACATACAGCCGCCTACATTGACTAGCTGTGACCGCTCATGCAAGTAACTCCTAAACCACGTAACAGTACTATCAGAAAATCCAAGATAATGCAGCTTACCAAGAAGCAATTCCCAGTACCCACCTAGCGCTCACTGGGAGTGTGTCTTCCATGGCTTTCACCTGCGTACACACAGGCAGTGATAATTTGTACTGCGTAATGGTATTTGTTACATTCCGACCGATCGCTGTCGCAAACTGTTACACTAACTCAGGATGAGAAGTCGCATCAAAATTGAAATAATTCTAATCAAAATGAAAACAAATATGAAATTAAATATTCGAATAGACCTCCTTCTTAGGTTTGACAGAAACCTAACCTATTGTAGAGGCCTGTGCGAACATTTTCTGGTGTAACATATTGGCAACGCGGCAGATTGCACGACCTTCTGCGTCATCGTCGCTAGGCAATGTGGTGATGACTCTCGCTCTTCAGTCGGCTTAATAACATGTGTTGATACACGCTTCTCTCTCGTACACAATGAACTCAAGCCGTCAGACAAATTTGGTTTTCCCTGTATTTTGTAGTATCTAATAGGTTTCAACAGAAAAAATTGGACTCAAAGCACCACCTTCTGAAAAGTCTTCCCCCAAGGTTATATACATTTGCACTCCCACAGTATGCAATATTTCCGCAAAATTTGTCGTGAGTACAGTTTTCGAAATCATCGGCCTGTTTGGGAGAGAACCGAATCTGCGCCCGATGGTGTATATTTTGGCAGAATGTGGCCGAAGCTTCGATCGGACCCTAATAATCTATCCAAAAGCTTAGCTTACCAGTGTGTATCCGAATGTGATTGGTCAGATGTTCTTTCCTAGTGAATGACTTGGAGCAAAAATGACACCTGTGAGGCGACTCTCCTGTATGTTGCCTAACATGGTTGTTCAGATGCTCCTTTCTGGTAAAAGACTTTGTACAGTACGGGCATTTATGCGGAGATTCTCCAGTGTGCTGCCTAACATGATTCACCAGGTGGTCTTTTCTGGTAAATGCTTTCGGGCAGTAGTTACATCTGAATGGGGTTTCACCTACAAAACGGATATTTTCAACTAGCGATTAACAAACAGTTAATAGTGTAATACATTCACGTCAGGAAACTAAATGGGCATTAATAAGATCAAATTGCCTCACACGGCAAAATGCGTGGGAGTAGGGTCAAGACAGTTTTCTTAAACGGGACCCCCATTTTTGTCGCCGGAAATTTAAAGAACGGGAAATTTTGCGTCTTTGTCCATGACCTTGACCATGATCATGGCTATTTTAATTATGCCATCTATCAGAGGAAAAATTGGCAATGTTAACATGCACTTTACTTTGAAATATCACCTCAAATAAAGTCAAGAAGTAATAAAAGTGATTTTGAGATAAATCTGGTATGCAAAACAAATGGCTGTCCGATAATTTCAAGGTCTACCTAGGAAATTATGTTTTTTTTTTGAAATAACTATTGTTTGGCAATGTCAATGTATGACATTATACATTTTTGGCGATAAAAAACAAGAGACAAAAAAAAGTGGCAATGTTAATGTGCAGTTTATTTCGAAATCCCACTATAAATAAAATCATGAAGAAAATTAAAACGATTTCGGGAAAATTCGGTTTATTCCGTGTCTCTGCGGAAGTATTTTAAATTTCGAAACTTTCTAAGTGGCATTTTGTTGATTACCTAAATACGCAACTTTGCCCCAATTTAAGCGACGTCGTATCTCTTACCGTTTCCGAGATCCCAATGGTGAGCGTCGAATTTGAAACACCCTGTATATGCACTGACCGCGCGCTTGATTAACAATTAAGAAATATGTGTTGACAATAATAATACCTCTTGAAGTACTTTAGGATTATGTTAATGGATGTTAGGATAATATTTAGAAATTCTAATTTTTTCATATTGTTCTGCACTTTTTCAAATATCTTATTTTTGTTCAGAATATCATAAAAATCCTAAAAACACTATGACCGGAGCGAAACAAACAATTCTTGGAATTCGTTTAAAACATCGTTTATTTTTGACAGAATTCGGATATAGCAACAAGCAGATTCGTTAAAGAAGTCCTTTTTGAATAAGGTTACGCAAAAAAATCCTGATCAGAATATTTCTCCCCTCAGATGCGAAGATACTACTTGATCTAATAACTAACTTAGCGTTGCAAAAATGTGATCATCCACGGCCTTAAAGAACATATAAGCTTGAAGATCCACGCATAGCGTTCATAATTATTTCATTATAAGAGACATGTTATATTCTTATTTACCGCGCATATTTGCGCAAGTCTCTCACCTTGATGGAAGCCAAAATTACCTGTATGTTGCCTGACATGATTGATCAAGTGCTCCTTCCTAGTGAACGACTTGGCGCAGAAGCCGCACCTGTGCGGAGACTCACCCGTATGTTGCCGGACGTGGTTCAGCAAATGCTCCTTCCTGGTGAACGTTTTCGAGCAGAAGTCGCAACGATGGGGCGTTTCTCCCGTATGCCACATTATGTGGTTTGTAAAGTGCTCTTTTCTCGTAAACGATTTGCCGCATATCTCACATCTGCAACAAGATGTCCATTCAAAAATTGTTTTATTACTACACTCAAACTACCAACATATATCTAGCAGAAATTTAATTATCTTTGCCAGCTATTCTAGAAACTCATACGTACTTGAAGATGGCGTTTAAAGTCGCCGAAACGTAATATTTTTCATAAATGTTGTGAGTTGAGTGAATCTCAAGAATTTATAATTTGAACCATGCGGCAAGTAACAGGTGCTCTTGTCACTCGACATCAACAAAGTTTCTGATCTGGACTTGATTGCTGCCGTTGTACTGAAGATATGTGCAGCGCAGCTTGCTCCAGTTCTTTCGCGTCTCTACCAGATATCTTACGAATCCTGCGCTTTCACAGAAAACTGTGTCTTATATCGTTGCTGTTGATATCACGAAATCGTTCGATCAGCTTTGGCATGCTGCCCTCTTATGCAAACTTCCACCCTATGGTGTCTCAAAGAAGCTTTGCAGATGGGTGGCACGATATTCGTCATAATATATTTCCTGTACGATCAACCCAATCCACAGCTGCGCTGATGACAGCACTCTACAAGCAGGAATTCAAAGCGACAAGCCAATCTCTGCCGCTGAGCTGGAAAAAAGAAGACTACGACTTCGAGGATCTAACTCTCTTCTACCGCTACGCCAACGGGATTAGCTTCGTACATACAAAACTGGCCGATACGACCGCTCCTTTGTCCCTAGGTTGTCAAGATTATGGGACAATCTACCTGAGGAGACTTTTCCCAGTTCTATTAACCTTAGGAAGTTCAAAAACCAGACTAACAAAGTTTCTTTAAGCTCCTCATAGCAGACGCAGTGCCGTGGTATTTGGGCTTCTGCCTGCGCGGCTGCATGGGTATCCTAAAAAACTTTGATGTAACAATCAACTGTTTTTTCGGAATAAGTTACAATACGCGAGATTGAAATCTTGCATCTTTTTAGCAGAGCGCATTCAAAGTAAGTGGACACAGGCTTTAAAGTTACTTAAGTTTATTTGAAAAGAACTTAAAACTTACTACGTGACAAGCATAGTTAGCGGGCAACTTGTGACAACTCATTGTCAATTGTCATGCTGCTTGACATTTCATTAATACCACCATAGTTTGCCATCGCCAACTTAACAATTCTAGCACGTAACTGTGAACTGTGTAAGAACTATAATGAAGGTGATATGGGCTCTGAGCCTATAACGTGTTACTTTTCGATCTAATTTTGCCATAGAAATATTGTCAACATTTTTGGCACCCATGTCGATAAAAACAACGAAGGAAACCTACCTGAACGGCGTGTCGTTTGTATGGCTCCTCATATGATTCGAGAGGTGTTCTTTCCTGGTGTATTTCTTGCCACATATAGTACAATGATGAGGTGTTTCTCCCGTATGCCACATGACATGATTCATGAAGTGTTCTTTTCTCGTAAAGGATTTCTTACAGATTTCGCATCGATGAGGTGTCTCGCCAGTATGTTTTCGCACGTGGTTCACCATGTGCTCCTTTCTAGTGAACGTCTTTGCGCAAAACTGACATCTGTGGATCAAGAATTAAACATTTCAGGTACCAGAGTGGCCAGAGGCCTCAGCTCTCGAAAAAAAAACAATGACAAAAATTACTGTTTCACAAGAAAAAAATGAGCGAAAAAATGGCGTCAAGTAGGCTGACTCTGCACTTCCTACACAACACCGTCATATATCAACGTAAAAAAATTGAGATATACCCTCCCCATCCCGACTCTAAAAATGAGTAAACACGAGAAAAATAAGTTCGTGGCCACACTGCAGTACACTGAACTAATCACTTGAACTTTGGCCACTCTGGTGTTTAGTATCTGAGAAGAAGATAGTCGGAGTTCAGAGGCCAGAGGACATTTGCTGAGTACATCATAGTTACCTGTAAGGAGTTTCTCCAGTATGACACCTCGTATGGTTGTCCAGATGCTCCTTCCTCGCAAAGCTTTTTCCGCAGATAGAACATCCATATGGTTTATCCGTCGAATGCCTTTTCATGTGCCTTTCCAGAGACGCATCGTTGGCGAAAACATGGAAGCATATGGCGCAAGTGAACATACTGCCGCCTAGGTGACATTTACCATGCTTAGTGAGCTCTTGGGCATTCGTGAAGGCTTTGCCACATACCTTGAATAAACATAGGGTGGATTGGTGACAGTATCTATAAGGAGACGGTTAGAGTCTTGCATTCTTGCTGGACGCAGTTATTCCGGGGGAATTATTTTTTCCCTTGTACAAGGTGCGGCAGCATAACTTACTTTTTTAACCCTTTCGCTGCGACCCATCAAAAGTGACTACTTCGTCCGGACCGGCACCTATTTTTTATTTCAGATTGTATTTCTATAATTAAACCTTCAAAATGTGTTAGTTACCGACATGTTTGCAACTGGTACATATCCTTGCCATGGCCTTTTTTCCTATTTATTTTTAAAATATAGCGTAAAATCATATTAGAACAACCATATTCACACACATTTATTTCTTAAAACAGAACAAAACTTGGAATCCAAAAATGAAAAAATGTAAAAAATAAATGAATGTAAATTCTGAAAATACATAAAATATGTTATCCTAGTCTGAACATTCTAAAATAGCTAATAATTCATCATCTGTGAGTTTATCTCGATTTTTGAACGTTAGTATTTTTTTTTGCTGGAAAGGAACCGCCACTATATCATCCATTATTCGCGAACTTAAAAAACAAAGCTAAAAACTGACACTAATTTTACGTAATCTCATACTCCTACATCACGCTACTTGCGACAAATCAACCTTAAAGCAGAGCTCATAAAGTAATTGTAGGTGGCGTCGGCGCACAGGCATACCTACCGCATACATGTGTAACAGCCATACCACGAATAGAACTGCGCTGGCGCACATGCGTGTAATGCGTACTGAAAGGGTTAAAATGCACGCGACTCAGCCGGTTGATGTTATAACGGAGCGCTAGTGGTATCGTTCGAGAGGCATGACTATAAAGTTTTGTCGCCATCATACGTTGGAACAATGATGAGCGTGCTTTTGCCGTTGATGCCTACTTTTCCAGCATGTTCTGTCATCGCAACTCAACGCGCCTTTCGGAACCGCTTTAATTTAGCCTCATTGGCTCCTGACCTGAAACGGACATCTGTTGTTACGTGGGCCACTACGTTCAGACAACGTGCGACAAGACGAAGAACTGCAGTCCATCGGCCGATTAGATCACCTGAAAACATTGATGCATTCTGCCATTAGGCTTTCCGATCGTTCTGTGAGGAGAATTCTTCATGATGACCTTCATTTCAATCCTTACAAGATGGCAATTGTACAGGAACTTTCTAAACGTGTCTTCATTCTCGGATGAGCACGTGTAAACACCCACGAACAAATTGTCAACATAACGCCTGGTATGCTGGCAAGAGTCATGACAAATGCCAGAAATCGGTTTACTCAGAGCATGTGGAATGAGTGACTTCACCTATCTGATTTGATCTTCAAACTATGTAAAACAAAGTTTAGGCATCCGCCTAGATTATAAAAAACAAAAATGTTCTGATTTATACAATGGGTTCTATTAAATTTTGAAAAAAAAGTGAATTATGCTGCCGCACTATGTATCTTCGAAGCAAAGAATCGCACCCGAGTTTAAGAAACACCCTGAAATAATACATAACCATACCTGACACGTGAATGGTTTCCTTTCAGTGTGGTAACGCCTATGAACGATGAGCTGGTAACGAAACTGGAAGATCTTTCCACAAAGATCACATACATGATTACCCACCGAGTTGGTGGTGTCAGTGGTAACATTGCTTGTAGAAGCTTCTTGTTCATCTTTAGTGATAATGGCAAGACTTGGCGTTGTGTTTTGTTGCAAATTTATGTTGTTGTTGTTATTGTTGTTTGTAGAAGCTTGTTGTAGGTTCTGGTTATTGTTCGCCACCTCGCCTATAATGCCAAAAAATATTAAGGTCAACCAAGAATTGATAATTCGGAGCAGTTTGTGGTTGTGCTTAATAAGTTGTTATCGTTTTTGATAGGGATGCACCGAGTACTACTTTTATCAAAAGAGCGAGTGCCGAGTAGTCGGCGGGGTGATTTGCTTTGGATTATTTCGGCTACTATTAGTGATACTAAGATTTTAGTGAGATTGTGATTTGCGTTTTTGAAAGAACCCTGTAAAAAGTCAGAAGCCGTAGATGAAGAAGACTCCCTCAATTCACGTAATTGGGCTATAAAAAACAATCTTATAAAAGGCACTCTAAATTCTGACGTAGAATATTGAATTGAAACCATATTTTGACATGACATTTTGGAGAATTTGTTTTAGCAAAAGAAACACATTAATTTGTAAGTTATTCAAAGGGTATATAGCGGACAACTTAAGCCTACATTTTTGATGAAGATATGCAATGCAAAGCACGAAACTGATCAATTTTCAAAGAATTGACAAATAGAATCACTGCCATGTCATGACCATCACAAACACTAAAATTATGAGCTTGCTTCGGAAGGAATGTACATAAGAAACAAAATGAAACTGTTGAATGTCGTGGCGCATTCAACTCTGATTTCTGGAGGACTAAACCTAAATTATTACCCTTCTATATGGTTGAATATATTCTCTCTCTCTCTTTCTCTATACTTTGAAGTTGAGTCATTAATTTTCAGATGATGATTGTAGAAGGAAGATAAACCAAAATATGTGTGTAAAAATAAAAAAAAAATTACCTTGTTTTATAAAGTATTCTCCCGACAAGTATTTCAGTGCGGGCCTGTATTTGATCGTGAGGTCTTGGAGCACCGGCATGCCGTCCCCTGTGAGGTCTTAAGTCACCTGATTCACGAGCCCGTTGTACTACATTAACAATTCACGAGGGGTTGGTTGCACTCGATTGGGAAACCGATCCGCATAAACATGTGCCATTTTTGATTTCGTTTGAGCCACGCAACAGACACCACTATTCACTAACGCGTTACCGACTGACACTGACCGTATACAACTGAATAAAATAATTGTAAAAACATCGTTCCAAATTCTTTATGCAAATATCGTAAATACACTAGTGATCTGAAGAAGACGTACGGGCGATATTTATTAAAAATCATCCAAATCAAACAAGCGATTCCGGCAAAATTGTGCTATAACAGAGTCTTTTTTTGCTTCGATTGTGCATTAATTTCTGGGAGAACATACCAGGAAACCTTGAGAAAAGATTCACGTCAGCTTAGGCTTTGTACATCACATCTGCAATACTTTGTCTTCCGTTCAGACCGAGTAATTGAATTCTCGGCTAAACTGGGTAATCGGAAAAATAAATGGGTCGAGTACCGGTTACAAACCGAGTACTCGGTGCATTCCTAGTTTTTGTACTGATATTGTTTTATTTTATTCCTAAGGAGATACTTTTGATTTTCTCAAGTTATAAGAAAATAACAGCAAACCAAACAACATGTCTTATGCTAAGAGTAACATAATGTTTATGCTGGGCAAAATTTACCTTGATTACCCTGTAGCTTTCCGAAAATTTCATGATACGCCAACAGATGATTCAGATCATCCACATTGACTTTATACATGTTCTGCACAATATCTACCCCGAGAGTCTTGACCAACTCTTGCTCTTGGATGTTGGTTTGTATCTTGACGATGCTGCCATCGGCTGTTCTCACGTCCATCATGTTAGCCTTGAGGTCCTGCAAACCAGACAACGCTCCAGATATGACAGGCCGGTAGTTTTGTAGCGCTTTTTCGAACTGAACTAGAAACGCTTGGTTATTCAACTGGTTTTGGTTCGTCTCTAATGAGTTCTCAAATCTCACCTATAAACAGATTGTCAAGTGATCAGAACTGATCCAATAATGTACATTCACCACATAAGTTAGTGCGTTAGTGCTGCATCTTCTTCTGTTAATCCCACAATGAATCTTCACTATCAACCTCCTTTTCACGAATATGGAACCACACGTAGAGTGACAAAAATGATGTCAAGTGGGTTATCTCTGCACTTTCTACGCAAGTGTCATTATTTCATACACGCGTATGATGCGAAACAGCTTTGAGAAAAATTTAGCTACGATCATGTTTAACAAAAAAAATCAAATGGATCAATGCAAACAGGCCTATACAATTAGCCAATTGCCATTTCCCTGCGCTACAGATAGTATCGTTCATTCGGCAGCGTCACCCCTCGCCGCCTTGACGCACCTACTCGTCAGACTCATCAAAAAAATCAGAAATACCCTCCCCTACCAACCACAACCCCCAACCCCGATTTTGTAACCTCTACAAAGAATTCACTAAAAATGATCAGGAGCCTCTAAAACGTAAAAAAACTAAGCTCGGGTAATTTTAATTTTATGTTATTTTGCTTACATATCGATCGCTACCGGTTTCCAAATACAAATCTTTTTTACCGGCACAGTCACCTTGTGTGAAAATTTTATTAAAATGCGAGTGATACTTTCCGAGTTATAGACGGGTTAAGGATTAGTGGACAGGAGTGACATGATTTTTGATCACGTAAATATCAAAACATCCAAAAAATATCATATCTCATTTTCGGAATTTTTCGCGATTATAATACTTCCTCGCCAGAGGCGTGAGAGGTAAAATGGAGTATCCTATTTAAATTGAGAGGATAACGCTCACCAGTACAAATATATGGTTGGGACCGAATTAATTTCAACCTTGATGACAAGAAGCACCTGTGTTCCTTACATTGTCCTCATTTTGGATACTAAGCTCATAAGCAAGTTTTAACTAGGCTTGCACTAGATAACGCAAAACCTCGACCCCAATTATATTTGTTTCTACCTTCCTCAATGGTTATAACGATAGTGTAGTTCGCATAATAACCACAGAAAATGTTTGCCCATGAATCCCACGGGGTCTAGCTACGCCGGTTACCCTGTAAGCCCGTTAATAATGAAATCCCCTAAATTGGGAGAAAATCACCCAATATGCAATGCTGTTGCCGGATCGGCAGGTGGCAACTCCTGTATCGCCAGATCTGTCTCATTTTGCAGATGCGGGTGTCATCGTCGCGGCACCAGCACGTCATCTCCGGACACTTGTGTCGAATATAAACGGGTACATTCAAACCAAGCAGATCAAGCGGCTTTATCCATCACCTACGTCCTGCCTCCACGGAGTTTAACCGCGGCCTCACTCTCTAAAGTGGCGTTGTGTCTCTACGTCTAGCCGCTGGTGGTTCCCGTGTTTAGTAATGTGTTAGTTACAAAACAACTGGTAAATGATGGATTTGATGTACTTTTTGTGACGTCAAGTTAAAGTAGTGCTTGAAATGGATCGCCGCAATAGTTCTGAATTATATTGAATCTTTACCATTAGTTGGTGCGGCATGGTTCTAGCACTGCTAGGCTACATGTTGCAATATCCTAAATGAGTGATTTCACACTTGTCGGTAGCGGGGCGGTACAAAATGTATTGTGTTTCTTCTGCTTAACAGTAGGGAATAAAGAAGCGCTGCTCTTACCGAACGGAGAATTGCGGGACTAGCACTCAAAGGAGCCGAGAGGCGCGAGATTTTCGAGGCTTTCAAGACTTTTGATCGAGTCCATTCTTGGTTTAAAATCAAGTTAAAATAGAGTTAATTCCAATTGCAGGTCAAATGTTTGACATTTTTGCTTTTAACGTATAAAACGGCATTGTATTTCAATTATTTGTTATAAAAAAACGATATTCTTAAGCATGAATTAGTCTTCAACAAACAAGGAGTAGTCTCTACAAAACTGGCTATAGAACTCGATCGAGAATTAAGAAAAACATAAGTCAGATTAATTTTTTTTTGAAGAAATGTATTTATACCCTATTCCACGAGTCTCCATCACGCTTTGACGTCTACTTAGGTGAACAACTGATCAGCAGGTGACATATTTGTGTTAGTCTGCAACGTTGGAAACAATGAATCGTATGTAAATCTAGTAAAACTTGTTTGTAGCGTTTTTTTTTTTGTTTGCAAATGAGCTTTTCTAAATAAAAGAGCTTTTAAGCAAGTAAAAAAGGAATCTGTAGTGTACCAAAATCAAAACAAAATATCGCTTTCTACCTGGCATTGAAGGATCCGTCAGAATTTTGAAATATCTCTAGATAATCTGCTGTCATTCTACCGCAATGGATACTCATGAAAAAGACTGTATGCTTAGCCCCGAAAGTGACCGGGATAAGTTTATTCGGTCCCGGTTCTTCAGCTCGAATTAAATTCCAGTGAAATTCTATTTCTACTCCACTATTTCCTGCTTAAGAATATTGTATCGACAAATGGGACAAATACCGTAGTGGGTTTTGTTTCAACAGTGAATTACGAAACAGTTCTTGATCAATATATTATTTTTTTTAAATGTACCCCAAATGTTTATTTACCATAACTATGATCCATTTCGAGCACTGACTTAACATGATGGACCCAAAACCAGTTTTTAACATGCAATGAAACAAATATAAACTGAATCGTTGTGCATGAATTTACAAAACAGCTATGTGAAGCAAAACGCTGAAAGTATTTGGCCCACGTTTGTAAGAAATTAATTAATGAATAATTAAATAGCGAAAAATTTAATAATCCATTCATAGTAGCATACGCCCCCAACACAAAACACAGATTGAAAATTAAGAAAACCAAAAACTTTCAGCATGTTTATTTTTGTGAAAATGATAAAGTGAAAAGCAATATGGCAAAAATAAAATATGTCATACCATTATGCAGTTTACTTTACACATATTAGAGCATTTTATACAATTAAACAATACAAAATAAAAATGTACAAATTACGTCCATCAAACACCAATTTACATTTTTTTTAGTAAGTTGTCATCCAGAAGCAGAATCTGTCATCTCATGAGACATCCACAAATGTTGAAACGATCAAATCGTTGCATTACATCTCCAACAAATTATTATACTAAAAATAAGGAGAAAATCCTTTGCATTTGTTCCAGCTAATGATGAAAGCTCAAATTAATAATACTGTGATAACGCTGCAAAATTACAGTCGAAACACCAAACAGTACAATTAACACTTTTTTAACAATATACTTCATTTATCTGCCTTCATTAAATTTGTCTTTTGTTTTCATTTTCACGTTCATATGCAGAGTCAGAGAGGTCCGTAAAATCCCGAAAAATTTTCAGTTGGCACCACGCAAAACCAGCGTAGCCCAAGATCGCCTGGGGTAGGCATTTCCGCTCCCAAAAGGACATCGAGCCCTCCAAAACAACAAGCGAGAATACGTCACCTTCGTCCAAAACGCGAAAATCCATCCAGAACTGTGATCGTAGTACACCGGATAATCGACATACTTCGACAAAAATATTGAGGATGCATTATTTATGGATCTGAATTTGCGTAGTGCCATCTTAAAAACTGGAATGATGGGTTCAAGCAACGTCAGCAAATTACGTACCGTTCACACTATGTGGTAAAACTATATAGGAATGTGAAAATGAAAAGAAAAAAAATATGTCACCTGGAAGGTAAATAAAATATATGCCAAAAAAGTGTCAATTATACTGAAGATCATCGTTGGGACCTAAAACGTATACAATAAGGACGACACATTTGGTTTGATTGGCCAGGCAAACATAGGGGATCAGGATTTAATTTCAAAACTTACATTAGGGGACATCTGATTTACGTTAAGAGTCAGAGATCATATCCGATTGGGTGTATCATAAAGTGGTAGATTTTATCATCTGGTGACAACACATACATCAAATATGACATATTTTTTCTCTTACCACATTGTCTAAAACTTGCTGCACCTGCAACTGTTGCAGCTGTTGCACTGTCAGGGCCTGTTGCTGATTCAATTGATTATCGCCTGTCATTTGTAACTGGCCAGCCTGCAACTAAATAGGAACATCGTGTCTAGATTTTTGAGATATTTCATCAAATGAAATGCAAGAAAAAGTTTGGAACTACGTATACATGGTGTCTCATTTCAATCTCCCTACCTAAATATTTCTAAATCTGCGTATTTTAGAAAAAAAGTTCCAAACTAAAGTTTTAGAGTTTCGAGGGGGCAAAATGAGAGTGACCGTTACAAGGACCTTGATTACGACCTTCAAAAATATTTCAAGGTCAAGTGAATATTTTTAAAAGGAATCTCTCCTTTTTCACATCGGAATTGAAAAGAGGAACAAATTTTACGTCCGAGCATCACCTTGGTCATGACCTTCACCATTGCATTCAAGGCCATTTCAAGATCAGATCATTTTTTTTACACCAAAGCAGCCGCACAGGCTGAAGCCTAAACCCCAAGACACTGCTGCTGCTACAAGAATGTTGTTAATCTGATTTTGGAACTGCCTAAGGTTATTAGAACTGGGAAATGATTTCTTCTGTACACTGTTCCACAATCTCGACACCCTCGGTCAAAGGAGCGGTCGTATTGACTAGTTCTGGATGTACAAGTTCGACACGGTTAGGATGAGAGGTCGGAGTCAGACGGGTCTGTCTGGCAGGTACATCGCGCGACTGCAACCTGGGGGAGAGCTCTGACGAACATAGGCCGTTCGTCTAGCGGTAGAAGAGAGCTAGAACGCCGACGGCCCGCCGGTGCAAAAGGGGCCCGAGGCTGTCTGTGTCTGTGTCTGAAGAGTCATCGATCAGTCGGACAGCCCTCCTGCGGAAAGCATCAAGCAATAAATAATGTAGTCGGGGCGGCAGCACAAAACGCGTGAGCAATACTCGAGGCTCGGTCTTATTGGCGAGATGTGTTCGATCAAGTCCTCTGTGATCTGGACTCCGACCAGCTGAAATAATCGGCTCTTTGGCAGAACTCGGCCATCCATCGAAACCGGATGAGCGCAAAGACGCTTTTTGTTCGTCAGGGTACAGTACTGTGTTTTGGAAGCATTTATTTAAATTATATCTTTCCTTTGGAAAATTTGACTTGACCTTGAAGGTCATTGTCAAGATCACCGTTGGGTGATCCCCACAAACCTCAGATTTATGGTAGAGCAAATTGTTTTGCATGCCTTAATTTGAATTTGACATGGCCTTGAAGGCAATAGTCAAGAGGGCATAGCCGAGGTGATGTTCGTACGTAAAATGTTTTTTTTTTCAATTCCGTGAAAAAGGGAGGGTTGCCCTTGAAAATATTATCTTGACCTTGAAAGGACCTTCAAGGTGGTAGTCAGTCATTGCAAAGTTCACCATCATTTTGCCCACTTGAAACCCTACAACTTTAGCTTGATCCTTTTTTAGATTGAGCAGCATACGAAATAATGAGGGGAGATTAAAATGGGAACTGTGATATCATTAAATATACAGGGTGGCTCCATTATGATAATGCGTAGGTGCGCCGTCATGTTGGAAGTACATATGCATCCGAGTTTGCAGGTTGACATCCTCCAAAAGCAAAGGCAAATGCTCGATCAAAAAATTCAAGTATTCTGTTCTTGTTAATCTGATGTCGAAAAAGAAAGGCCCGATAACCTGTCTCGTAGTGTGGAAAATGTGTCCGGCCTTGGATGTCGCATAATAGGGTACCATATTCACCATTCTTTTTTAGAAAAATTCATTTTCAAACACGTTTTTATCATAATACTCACAACGCTAATTTTGGCAGTTTGTAACTAATCAACAATTTATTTGTGCCCAAGGATGATGCGATATTTTAGGGAATTAAGCCGTTCCATAAAAGGCGTACTAATAACAGAAAAAACAGCCGTAAAAACCCTTGTGTCTAGTATCAAAAAAGCCTTTAAAAAATTGAATCCAAACTTGCACAAATATACATGGTGTTGCATTTGAAATTTTTGAGAAAAACTACAATTCGCGTTTTTGACCATCCTGTATGAGCAAAAATTAAAATTCGGCAACGTAACAAATAAGATAAAATCTGACGTAAGTTTTTTTGATACAAAATTCAGCACTACAAATTTCAAAATGGCAGACTGAGGGGTTGCCAAAGTGGGTTTTTTTCTAAACCTTATATCTCAGTAGCTAATTACTAAAACCCCATAGTATGTTATATCAAATCTTTTTCTTTTGAATTGGTTTATAGAAATATGCAATAAATTTTGAGGCATTTCATTTGAAAAATCACAACTTTGATATGTAGGGCGAAATTGGGACACCCTTTATAATTACCAATATTTTAGAAATGTGACCTCAAATGTCATGTATAACATGCCATAAATAGATTTTCCCAAAATGTATTTGTTTATGAGTCCGTCCACACATGGATGTGCCACCCTGTATATCTGAGAAAAAAAAATATGTTACGGACTTAACTTGGACCTATGACTATATATTGGCAGTTTTAAGTATACTATATGTAGGCGTGATACAACACGCAGCAGATCATTAGGTACATATATAATAAATAATAGTAACAAAGAAAAAGCAAACTAACACTGGCATTCAGCTTCAAGGATTTAATTAGATATTTCACATGGAATCTAAACAACAACATAAGCTGTGAATCTGACATTCAAACAAAAGCATTTTTTCTTTGGGAATTTATATGACATGTATTTTTCGGTATTATTTCTGATTATAAAAATAAGAAATCGATGAATTTAAATACATATACCTGAACTTGAACCATATTCTGTTGCTGAGGTTGTTGACTGCCATGCTGATGTGGTTGAGGTGGTTGTTGCTGCTGCTGCTGATGTTGAGCTTGCTGAGGTGCCTGTTGCTGGGTGTGAGCCATCTGTTAGATAAATTAGAACGCTTATAAATGTCCTCTGTTTAGTTATTTAAAGGTATTCACGTACTTGTGTTTTATGTCAATGGCCCTGCACAAAATACCCAAGTCTGTGTAATATTCCATGACATCTTGCAAGGAGACCTTACACCCTTTGGGTCACAGATCTTACCACAGGTCTATTAATAGAGACTTGATAGTGTAGTATGTTTCTAAAATTATAAGGTGGACAACTTGAGGATAAGGAAGAAATTTCTCTCGCCAGTTTCACCACTTACCCAAGTTTCAAAAATGCTTGAATGCATGAATTGAAAACTTACTGTACATAATGTAAAAATTATTCCTCATAATGCAAAGCAATTTGTTAACCATGAGATGTTTACTTTAACTGACAAATCAAACATTTTATCAAAAAAATCCAGAAACGTACATGAACAACAGCGCTAAATCTCATCTCGTGAAGATACCGTACGACTTCATCTATTAATCCATCATCAGTTATAAGCCCCAATTTTTCAAAAAATGGTTAAACACGCAATGTTTCCATCAAAGCTTTCTGGACGGAGATTTTATTTATTATATTAATTAAATGGAATGTTTTTCCTTTGATAAGTTATGCTTGCTCGTTTCTCTTAACACGGATGTCAGTTAAAGTTATGTATGTTTTTATGATATTATAATGATAACTGAATTATTCCTCAACGGCCACATCATTGTTCTATTTAAAAAAACAACAGCAATTCCGTAATTTCTTTGCTTATAGCAAAATTATGTTGACAAATAAATTCATTTGTAAAATCATCTTTCAAAAATCCGCCGATTTTGAAATAATTTTCGTAAGTTAGCATTTTTGAAACTTTGACAAATGGTGAGACTGACAGTTTCGCGAGAAATGAGTCCATAATTTTCGAGTTGTGCACCTTGAGGAAGTCTCTTTCAATTCGTAGAATTGCGGCTAAGTCGGTAGACCAAAGGGTGTACGATCTCTTTGTCAGCTACTGAAATATCACGAAGCATGCTTGAGGTTGCACTATCCTCTTCTGCCCGACCAATGGAGCCTATATACCAGGAGAAACTATGGCATTGCTGTTCGTTCTGTAAAAAAGATCTTGAAACCTGACGCCTGGAGTACCAGTAATGCTTTGTCAGGGTTGCCATGTTAGGGGGATTTTCCCTCAAATGTGACTTTTAATTGGGTAATTTGTTGGGGTATAATGTTCTGGGGGATATCACATGTTTCGCGGATAGAAAACCCTCAGTGACGCGTTAAATTTTTTTCTCATTTTGCTGGATCTACTGGTATATAGGTTTCATGACCCCACCACTCTACAGCGAAATTAAAATAGCAGACTTACCCTAATGTCTCGAGTCATCTGATTCTGAGCCGCCATAGCATCATTCTGATGTTGATTGGGGTTGATATGAGTCCCCTCCAACTGAATCGCGCCTGCTGGGATGCTGATGTTCCCTTGGGACGTGGAGATGCTAACGGGTATCTGAGCATGCTGTTGGAGGAGAAGCGAAGGGTCCGTCGGCAAGATGCCGTGCTGACTGAGCATCGCGGCATCCTAGAACAATATAAATTGCAAAAGTTACGCGCGAAAATGAAGTTGCAGTGACAGTGAATTCGGACCGGTATCTAAACATGCTACAGCACACACTTTAAGAGCATTGATGGCGGTTTTGAAGAAACAATTACCCGAGCGCCTCATCTCAATTAGGGGCGATTTGTAGTGGCCAGCCCGCTCTCTCGATTTGGCCCCTTGTGATTTTTTCTACGTTTTTTTTTTGAAATCTCGTGTTCATGGGAACCATCCAAAGACCCTACAAGACTTGAGGACCAACATGCAGAAAGAAATTGCTAACATAACGCCTGCTATGATGTCAAGAGGCATGTCAAATGCCAAAAATCGGTTTACTCAGTGCATGGAGAATGGGAGTTGTATGTGATTTAATCTCAAAAACAAAACTTGCCTTGCATGCGCCTATATTGAAAAAAAATGTTCTGATTCAAATAATGGGTTTTATTAAGCTTTCAAAAAAGAAAATTATGCTGCCGCACCCTGTATTTTTTCAGAAAGCAGACACCAAGGTAGTATCTAACGGCGCAAAAGAACTGTTTTAGTTATTACAGTTTTATTTCCGCGTCGCTACTTCAATTTAAAGCTGGTAGCAACTATACAGAAAAGCAACTGGTAAATTTTTTACAAGAGACGGAGTTGAAGCTTCTTAGTATCGCAAAGTACAAAAAGATTTACATATTCGTGACGGTTTAGAGGAAAGTCTAATTTTCATTACTGGCGCTTCATGTGGAGTAATGCTGTAGTTGAGTGATTCCGACGACCCAATGGGATTGAACCGCAGCACACATTTCAATTGAGTATTTTTTGGGACGCGTTGTTTGATGGAAATCCGGCTTCATTTACCCTATTCACTAGATTCAACCACGAGTTTTTAAATTTCTGATTCACTGACGATTTGACCGTTTATTTTTGAATGTTTCAGAGATGATTATGTTCATGAATTTGTATCATCCTGGTAAACATAAACATACCTCTTGTAAATCCATAGAAATACTATATCTATATCACTATCACTTACGGATATCCACAAGAACATGTAACTTTTAAGAAGATTGAGACGGAAATGGTAAAATAAATGAAGCGCATCAAGTGTCGTTTTGACACCCTCATTAAAATCAAGTTTGATTAATAACCACACTGGTGTGTAAAACAGGAACAACAAATGCTAAATCAAGGATTAAAAATACAGACATGCGAACTGGATGGAGGTGCCAAGATATCAATGATAAATTTTTAGATATTCTAAAATTACTTTTAGATTTATGTGTCGGTATACAGAGTGGGTCAATAGTGCGAGGACGGATGATTGTCAGTTTTCTAACACGTTTTTAAATTATATCACTGGCTTTTGGCGGGTAGTTTCAAAGGTTACAAGTTAAAAATATTTTCAATTGAACTACAGCATTAGCGGCTCGCGTACGCCTAATCCGTTATCGGCTGAACTGTGCTGGGCCGTTATCCGCCGATAAAATCACACTTGTGTAAAATAAAGAGCGCGTACACTACAACCGTCATTGGTCGTCAACCATAAACAGCAACGTCCGAACTTGTTGGAATTTCTCGCCAGTGCGCCGGCAATTACAACAGATGAATGAGCGTTTTAAGTATGTATATTGGAAAATTAATTGGGTTTATAATAGGCCGTCACTGTGGTTACAATAATCGAGATACTGGAAAACGGCTATGGGCTGAAGTTGCATTGCAAATAGATATAGCGATTGCAGGAGTAAAAAAAATGGAGCAACTTAAGAGACCAATTTCGCAAAGAATATAACAGATGTAATGAACCAGATAAATCTGATGCTGCGGTGGATAATAAATCGTCTTCGTGGGTATATTAGGATTCGTTATTATTTTTCGCCAAACCAATCGCGCTGAAACCTTTAACCGGTAATGAGCTTGAACCTAGCCTTGAGATTCCAGATGACTCAGAATCATCACAGTCTCCTGATGATTGTGAGTTGTCATCTAAATCACAGCCACAACTAACCGCAGCCTGTACCCTATCCATCATCGCAACTAGAAACCTCGAATTCAAGTCAACCAGAGATCTACATGTCACAACAACATAAAGGTATTCGTGTACCTGTAACACAAGCCCATCGTTCTACATCCAATCAACCTGAAAGACTTATTGAAAAAGCAAAATATTCATGTTGATCAAGAGTATTTAGAGATCGAAAAAAGAAAACTTCAATTATTTGAGTCCAGGTCAGCAGATAAATCTGCGGAAGACGCTGATAGGGACTTTTTGTTGAGTTTACTCCCAAACTTAAAAGAAGTGCCACAAAATAGAAAAATCTCTGTTCAACAACAGTTATTAGACGTATTCATGGAAAAAGAAAATAACATTAGTATTCTACCATAAGCTGCTACTCTAACGAAGATAATTATGTCTAATTCTGGAAACCTGTCAGGTAACAAGGTGTTTCCCTCATATGCTGTCAATATTCAAGAGCGGTTGCCACTAATCACGAATCAGATGACGCCTTCACAAACATTGCCATTGACTTCATCACAAACATCAACATCTAATGAGCAGTATACTTTCACTTATGGAGATTTGGGCACGAACTTACAATAAATAACTATAATTCATAAATAAAAATAAAACCACCAGTTCAATAAACAATGCTCTTTACTTCAAATTAACTTATTTTTTTTATAACCCAAGTGAAGGTTTCAGATTCAAATGTTAATTAGATTGAAGTGACTGTTTTAAACAATGCTCTTTATTTCAATTTAATATATTTTTTTATAACCTAAGTGAATGTTTCAGATTAAAATGTTAATTATGTTGAAGTGAATGATTTAGTTTAATATTAGCTGAAATTTCATAGTTATAGTTATTGAACACTATTTTCGTTACAAAAGAACTGTTTGAAAGGGTCACAAATATTATAAGCTTCACTAATACTTCTGTTTTGCACTCTGGAAGTGAAGTTACCTCCTTGGCCCAAATTTCTTCTTTGCTCAGTGGAATAATTGTGTTTTGGTTGTCCTTTGTTAATAATAATGTTGTGTAGTAAACTTCTATTGTTCGCCATGACGAACTGATCTCTAATTGTGAGGCTAGTATTCAGCAACTACAAAGTGCGCAAGCATCTATCTTATCCAACATTTCGAACGTTGAATCTAGACTGACCAATGCACTGGTAAATGATAGATCGTTGAATACCAACGCTAACAATATCCCATCATCTCCGACTGAAACTTGGGAAATACTCAGACGATCTCACAATATTATCCTGAAAGGTCTTCCTGAAGGCAACAATGATTCTGATTCCGTAACAGACATAATCAACCACATCGAACCGTCTGCTAATGGATACCGCCTCAATATGACCAGAATTTCTGCTGTAGGTACATCTCGTCCTCGGTTGATAAAGGTTGGCTTTGCATCGCCTATAATAGCTAAGAATATTCTACGCAAGAAGAATGATATTTTAAGCCACTCTACCTATAACTCCGTTAAAATTTTGGACGACAAAACACCGTCACAAATGCATGAGCTGCAGCAACTACGTGAGGAGTTGAAACGAAGGCTAACGGCTGGAGAACGCAATATCACGATTAAATATGTCAAGGGTAGACCATCCATTGTCAATATTGTTGCACAGCAATCTTCTGTATCAAAAAACTGCTAACCGAGGTGTCGGTGTGCTACACAATCATTCAGTCACTGGTATCTAAACTTCTCGAAGTGCAAGCATTTGTTGATGGAACCAAACCTTCTTTTCTTTGTCTGACAGAAACCTGGCTCAGCCCTAATATACCTGACTATGTTGTTAATTTGCCTGGTTACTGTTTGTATAGGGAAGATTCCCCTCGCACGCCGGGGTATTGTGGGGTCTGTGTTTATGTGCGTACCGAATTTGCTGACAATTTCACAATAACTACTACTTCCAAGAGCTTCGATGGTATCGACAGTCTCTTTTTGGAACTAACACGGCCAAACTTCAGTTTTGTATTAGCCTGTATCTACAGACCGCGTCCCTGTGCTGGTGATTTTTATTTGTGTAAATTCATCGAAGAACTCCTAACCAAGAATTCAAACATTCTGTTAACTGGTGATTTCAACTTACGTGACATCAGCTGGCCCATGACAACATTACCAGAATGCAACTCTCCTTCTGCCCCTTAGATTGATTTAATGCGTAAGTCGAACATCCTCCAACTCGTAGATCATCCGACGAGATTCAGAGAAGGCCATACTCCCAGAACTCTCGACCTGATATTTGTAAATGATCCTGACTTTGTTTCCAGTTTAGACTACCTACCTCCTTTTGGCAAGTCGGATCACTGTACCTTATTGACCTCACTTCAATTCTATGTACAAACTCCATCACGTAGACATTTCAAAACTGTGAAGCTATTAAACTACAGTGCTCTCAATCGAGCATTGTCTGAAATAAACTGGTCCAACCTGCTTGCACAACGTAGCACTGAAGATATGTGGGATATATTCTCTCGTCGAATCCAACTGGAAGTCACTAGGCATACGACCACAAAGAAGATATTCAGTCACCCAAGAAAGCCTTGGATTAACCATAACCTCTCAAGGATGTTGAGGCATAAAAAAGCATTATGGCAAAGATTCCAAAGAAGTAGACTACAACAGGATTATGTATCTCATCGATCTTTCTCTAACATCCTTTCGAAGAACTTGAAAAACGCCAAGCGCAATTATGAGCAAAATCTTGTATCATCGAAAGATAAGAAGAAGTTGATTAGATACTTGAGATCCACCCTGAACTCTAAGGTTTCTTCCCCACAAATCCGTGATCCCAATGGCCACCTACATACTGATGCCGAAAAATCTGCCAATCTTCTTGCCGATGCTTTCAGTGAAGACTTTGTGAATGAACCTGATGGTGATGGTACTCTTCCGAACTTATCCAGCCCTCATAGATGCCTAGCGATCATCTGTAGCATAGATTTTCAACCTCAGGACATTGAGAGGCACCTTACTAAACTGAAAACTTGTTTGTCCCCTGGAAAGGATGGGATTACTTCTGCCGTTATGAAGTCCTGTGCCTCAGCTCTCGCATACCCCCTGTGCATTATATTCAACTCCTCGTTTCAAAATCACATCCTTCCTTCCTGTTGGCGTACTGCATCTGTGACACCTATATACAAAAAAGGAGATAAAACATCTGCGAAAAACTACCGTCCTATCAGTCTTGTGCCTATAGCTGCGAAAATAGCCGAAAAGATCGTCCAGGAACAACTTATGACATTTGCGTTCAAGAACAACCTGCTGCCTAGCAACCAACAAGGTTTTATTCCTGGTAGACCAATTATCACCAACATGTTACACTGCATTGACAATTGGACCAGATCTTTAGACGCAAATGAACCGATCGACGTGGTTTTTCTGGATTTTTCCAGAGCTTTCGATCGAGTTCCGCATAAAAGGCTCCTGCACAAGCTTGAACATCTCGGAATCAGGGGAAATTTGTTGTTATGGATTGAAGCTTTTTTGTTAGACAGATCTTTCTCCGTCCGTGTTGGAGACGCCTATTCTTCTAGTCATCGTGTTACTAGTGGAGTTCCACAAGGATCTGTGCTAGGGCCAATACTTTTTCTTCTTTATACAAGCGACCTTCCCACCCGACTTTATTCTATGTGTTCCATCTATGCAGATGATACTAAAGTCTATAACACTGTCATGAACTCATCTGTGCTTCAAGAAGACCTCAAGCTGATCAGAAAGTGGTCAGAACTCTGGCTCCTGCCTTTAAATCTATCGAAATGCTACGTTCTCCACCTGGGAAAGAATAATCCTAACTTAACATATAAGATTGGCAAACATACCTTAGAGACTGTTCTTCATCACACAGATCTTGGTCTGACAGTTAATGGCCGGCTCACCTGGTCGGAGCACATTCAGAACATAACCTCTAAGGCAAAGCGGTTGCTAAATATGATGGAAAGGTCATTTAGCGGTTGCACCGTTAGTACCTCCTCCTTTTTGTACACAACTTTCGTACGACCCCTACTGGAGTTTTCTGGTCCAGTATGGGATTCAAACCTTGTTCGCGATAGCAGCTTATTAGAGGCCGTTCAGCGTAGTGCTACACGTATGCCATATGGCACACGTAGGCCAAGTTATGAAGACCGCCTCGAGCTATATAACCTGCCTGCTTTTGCTGATAGAAGAGTACGAGGAGATCTCATCATCACTTTCAGAGCACTGCATAATTTGTTTGGTGTGGACATGTCGCATCTGTTTCGTCTGGCAACGAACAGTCTCAGAGGCCATAACTTCAAATTGCAGAAGGAGGCTTTTAGAACCTCTACTCGTCAGCGCTTCATCTCAAACCGTGTCTTCGATGCATGGAACAGTCTTCCATCTTATGTAGTGAACTCGGAATCCGTCAACAGTTTCAAAAACAATTACGATAGACACCGCAGTGCTTAACATATTGTTCCCATTCTGTATATGTCTACTTCAGAAGTGCTAAGATTGTCAAATTGTTATATTTCTTTTGTCTGTACACTATTATCTATTTTTGTGTTTGAGTTTATAGTACTTGTACTCAACTCAAATTTGTTGTTTAATAATAATAATAATAAATACACTTTACAATAGTTTCAGCGTGTTCTGTAGTTGTTTCTATACATTTAGTCAAAATTGACAATTTTTGTATTATACCAAAAATTACCACTCGCGCATCTGACAAATGTTCATTGTAATTGTTTCCTGTTCTCCCAGGTTACGTCTTGGACACTGCCTCATAATATGCCGTTTAAGAGGATAGCCTTCATCAGATAGTAATACCAAGGGCAATAAAGTCTTTGTATTTGGTAAACATTTAGAAATACTTAAAAAACAATTTTCAAATTGACGAAACAACGCTGACGGGGCAAACGTACCACCATCGCTTTGCTGTCCATAAGTTCCTACTTCAATAAATAAGAAATTTATAAACTTCGACCAATAAAATTCAGAATTTTGGTGACTCAATTCGCCGGTTGGCATCGGCATATGAGGTGATATTAGACTATCAAATATAACCTTGCAAGTTTCTCTAACAATTTTCCAATGGAAATACTTGAAACTCTAAACAAAAAACTAAGGATCGAAAAGAGATTGACCAGTTGGAAGGTACCTGAAAGGAAAAGGTAGCATTGTTAATAATCGCGTAAAAAGCGTGACACATTAAGAATTAAATTTATTTGGCAAATAAACATTTCCTTAAACCCTATCATAAGCGTCTAAAGTTATATATACTTAGGGCCGTGTCGTCAGTCGTTCCTACAATTGTAGAACGCCTTTATGGCCTGCTTGATTTTCATAGTATTTCCTCTGCTTCAGAAGGGCTGGGATATTTCTACTGTTCCATATAAGCATCAGCACCCTCCTATTGTCAGGCATGTTTTCTTCTTGAATTGTAGGACATTTCAGGCTATACAACAGATGATATAAATCAAAAGTATGAACAATTTGATGCAAATAGATACTCGTAACATAACCTCAAAATAGGGCACTACACGGAAGAGTAGAAAATCACGAAAATCAAGGCCATCAAGGCGTCCTACAATTATTGTAGGAATGACTGACGATACGGCCCTCAGGTACTCGTATGTATCGATCTATACTTACCGCAATGTTATTGCGAGTCTTTCTGCTGGTGATATACATTCCCTATAGTTTGTATTCTGCTTTGTTATTAGTTGTTCAATTGCGTTTACAATGTATTGAAATGTATTATAATACATCCTAAAATATTCGCAATCAACGTCGACGAATTAAATGGCGGTACACATTTTGTAGAAGATATATCTCTTCAAAATCCCTCCATTTTAAAAACACTTCTTCACTCTGTTAATCTGTATTCAACAATGACAGTCGACGGGCATCGTCCGATGACGGCAGTCGTGTATATGGATGAACATCTGAGACAGTTGTCCAAACAGCTCCGGACCGACAATGGCCGATATGGTGATTCTTATCCAAGTTGTATGTTTTAAATTGAACCCCCTGTATATTATTGCATAATTGGATTCCTTGGTCAATGTTAGTGTGACTTTATGTATCACACACGGTATCAAAAACCAACCCTTTAACCACATTGGCCATTTTTGTAAAAAGTAGAGGTTAGAAAACAAATGAATATCTCATTATAAAACATGGGATGCTGCGATGTGTCACTGACCATGAAAGATGGTGAAAGCTTAGGCTGGATGGCCAACATCCAATTCTTTTTACACCCAAAGAATCCATTACAAAAATTTGGGAAACATCAATTCCAGGTAACTTGAGGGCTTTTTGAGAACTTGATCACATTTTTAATGATATCATATTGTTAGTATCTGACAGTTTGCTTTTAATTCCAGTTTTACTGGTTGTTTTTCTGTGTTTTTCCATTTTTGGTACTAGTAGTAATTTGAATATTTGTTTGAGTATGAACTAGGAAGAAGTGCGGTCTTTCATCAGAAAAATATCAAGACATTTTGCAAACTATCTCAATCTATCTAAGAGGTGGTTGAAAACAAAAATTAAATTGGCGAATATCACAGATTCTATTACCAAATACCCCATGAACTTGTTAAATATATACTAGAGAGCAAAACTATAACCAACCAACAATTTTTGTCTTTTCTCTACATGGTTTAAGTGTAACTTTATATAGCTTACAAGGATGAATTTGTTGTTAAATCTATAAGAATAAGCTCTATATTTATTATTATCGTTTGTTTCAGCCTCTCTGTAAGTTATATTAAATTACGATTGAAATGAATGAAATAAATACAAAAGTTGTTGAAGGCAGTATTGTTATGCTCTCCAGTTTATATCCTTTGATTTTATGTAAATCATGAATGTGATGCCTCTTACCTGTGGAATTTTACCCTGGTTGTCCCTACTGGTGCCTGGCAAGCCATATACTGACACTTGTGGGATAGGGCCTGGTAAAAGATTGGTCAGTACCCAGTATTTTGCAACACTGCTTAGTGCTACTGCATTTAAAGCTGTAGTATTGACTCTCAAGTCAGTAGGTACTGATGTTGTGGGTGGAGGTCTTTGGGAAGAATTCTGAAAACATTTAAGAATGATAAACCTTATAAATATATTTTGGGAAGGAATTTCTGACAATTGCATATAGTTGTATGTTATTCAATTCAGTTTGATGTATAGAACAGAGCAGAATGCATGCATTTGAACATAATTGCTGTATATTATTTTTGTTTTTCTCATTTCTCTATAGATATTTCAAATATTTCACAAAAAACAGCTTAACTTAGTTGATATGTAGGTACAAAGGGACCTTGACACACAAAGTACCAAAATAATTTATAGAACTCGATAAAACCAAGTACTTTAACACATTGATCAATCACTGGTGACTAAAAATGAACTATTCCCAAGATACTATGTCAGTCATCAAGATGTGTCAGTCAACATACCTATTTTCACAATATTATTTAGAGCTTAAATTATATTAGGTTTTCCTGATGTAGAATGCATCAAAATAAATAAGATATTTATATCCTTGAGTTTCTTAGGGAGAATGTGTTAATGTGACCATCCATGCATTATGACAAAAATGTAATAGCCAACTGTCTCAAAATTAATATTTGTTATGTATGTTACATTGAGTACATTCAAAAAATGATAGTACCTCAGCACCTAAGGGCACTATTGCCAGTGTTACCAATATCAAATCAAATTTGGTGTCACACAGATACCAACAAATTAAATTTGACTCTAAATAAATTAACACTAGCATCAAGTGCTATGGTTGTGCTTGCATTTCTTAAATGTCCATCATTATACTGTTGCATTAATTGAGTAGAGCATGCTTTTCAAAAAGTAACCCCCCTACTTATTCTGAAAGCTGAAATTCAGGGTAATGAAATTAATGCATGGATTCTATATTTCTAATAAAAGTAGTAGATGGAGATTTCAAAATTGTCTGGCAGCATGTTTGGCCAATGTCAAGTGATCCAGCAGCACATCACCTTCATGCTGAATAGCAGTAGCTGTGGAACAGTTCACAACATATCAACAAACTATCAAATCTGATGTCCAAATGAAAACTGCTGTCAAAGTGATAGTTTAGCAAACAACTGCTGCCCTGCTGCTACACTTTAAATTACCTGAATGTGCACATTATTACTGAATTCTTATAACAGAATGTTTTTGAAAATTACCTGTTTACAAAAGGAGTGTGGTGGAATAAAATTTAAAATGTGATTGAAAAATACCAAAAGATAGAGCATCACAAACGTGAAAAGCCTATAATATTGTGCCAAAGTAGAATTTCAAATGGAACAGTATTTTATGCCATATTATACAAAAATTCAAATAGTTCCGCCAACCTACAGGTAAAATATTATACGCGTGTAAATAAAAACAAAAACAAATGAATAGCAGATCCCATCGACTACAACACCATCCTTTCAATTGTTCAAAACCTCACCTCTGAATTCGCCGAATTGTGCCCTGACAGGACACCCTGATTATCACTATTCATGTCAGTAGTGACAATAAAAATAAAAAGTCAAGTAACATAGGTGAACCCGCGATTTCGAAAAGTCCGAATTTTCAAAATTATCACGTGAAAATATTCACTGTCATTACCAACAAGAACGGGGGGACGCGAGAGGTAGCCATTACAAGAGCAGCTAGCAATTTTTGTAGAATTTTGGCCGAGTGGTTACCGGAAAAGCATCTTTACGTATCAAAAATCACTTCTCCTATCATCGCACATTTTTTTCAGGTGGCGATATAATGCCAATTGAAAGAATTTTACAGATAAATCGTGATAAAGACGGGAACGGGTGCGGGGTGCCGCAAACAATAAACAGTGGATTTCAACATGGCCGATGCGCAGTTGAGGACGACGCACTGAGACGTAGTAGATTAGGAGGTTTTGGGGAGTGGGCTAGCATAAACTAGACAAAGGAGCTGTTGATATAGTCTTTGAAATAATCTAAAGAGATACAGACTATCATTGGAATGTATATCACACAAGCATTTAATTAGTTTCTTATGGTATCAGGTTCCTGAACTTGTTTTTGTACTAATTTAAATTTAGCTGTAAAATGGTAGAAAATTTGAATTCCCTCCTTTTTTGGACCCGCCTCTAAGGTTTAACAAAATGCAACGTTGCCGTTGCATTTAAGAAGAAAGTCTTCGAATAGCTGACTATGCTATAGATATATCAAACCTTTTAATGTATCTAAATTCAAGGGACCTCATCTAGACAGAAATTTTATTTTTCTAGTTTTAATTCATAATAAAGACCTATCTTTGTGCTAAATGTAGTTAGTGAAGGATTTGGGAAGTCGATTATCAACATGTGTTTGTCATTGACACATAAACATAAGCCAATGATTATGCTTAGCCCTATGAGACATGGTGACTGTGACACCACAGCAGTTTTTACAGCGTGCCCACAAAAATGTGTACCGTTTCCGTTGTGAAATTTTACCATATTAGATGTTATCATGGCGTTTTATTTTCATTTTGGCAACCCTGCAAACAAATTAAAAGACAAAGGATTCAAGGAAGGAAGGGGGAACGCTTACGCTTGTTAGAAGGAATGGGGGGGGTTAAATTGAAATAAATCCATAATCAACCAATTGGCGCCTTCAATTATGAGCATTTTATTGAACCTTTTCACCATATTTATCATACATAATATAAAGTAAAAAAATGGACGGAAATGGTACCTATCACAAATAATTCTGATCAATACTACAGATAGAGTAATAAATTAGCACCTATTAAAACATGTGCATGAAATAAGGTTCATCAAAATATTCTTATTAATCAGGCCTCACTCTATATGGTATTAACCACATTTTCGCCTTTTGACTTTAAACCATTATTTCTATACTTAAAAAACTACATAATCATCAGAACTAACATATTATATAAGGGTGTCTCACAGCAGAGTTAGGATTTTGAAAATGAATAACAATAAAACGATACAGACTACCAAAACTATTTTTATTTCATTTGAAATACCATATATGCGGATATCGTTTTTTAAAAATTATGTCGCCGAGATGACCTACATCACACGTTGCACGCACTCGTGGAATCTCGTCATTTCATTTTACGTGACACGCCAGAGCAAGGCAGGTTCGATGTTCCTAATTTCCTGGCGGATATTTTCTTTGAGCTCAGCGATAGTCGTTGGATTACCGGCGTATACTTTGCTCTTAAGATACCCCCACAGGAAAAAGTCCATGGAGGACAAATCTGGTGATCGCGGAGGCCATGCGATATCACCAAAACGGGATATTAATTTTCAAGGGAACAACTTTCGAAGCTGGTCCATGTTGCTCTTGCAGTGTGGGTAGTGGCTCCGATGGGCTCTATCTTGCTGAAACTTCATGCGTCAACTGTACGCATGATGTTCTTGCAGCTTGGATATAAAATAGCTTGTTATCATCAGTAACAGTTGTCTTTCCTCTCCAATCTTCAAAAAAATAAGGCCCGATAATTTCGTTCGCTGAGAGGGCACACCATACCGTTACTTTTGGGCTGTGCAGATGTCTCTGATGTTTTTATTTGGGACTCTGAGATGCCCAGAAGCGACAATTCTGTTTGTTTGCATAACCATTTAGATGGAAATCTGCTTTATAGCTCCAAAACACCATATCCAATGTGCGAAATCTCTTAATGAAGCTGGCCAAAGTTATTTCGTAAAATGTGGTCATTTTCCGCTATCGCCTGCACAATTTGAATTTTGTAGGGATGGACATTCAAATCCTTCTTCAAAATCCGCTCTATTGTTGTAAGGTTTAAGACTGCTGCTATTTTGCCAATCGATAAACGAGGATTGCGACGAACACTAGCATCAACTTCGTTTATTGCGTCTTCAGTTCTCGAGTCTTGCTCGGGCCCGGCCTCGGCTGATCGTGTAGTTAGAAACTTTTGCACCTATTTACGAATCAAGTTTTCGCTTGGTGCATCCCGCAAACGTCTTGTAATGTAAACAAACCTGCCGCGGAGCCGTAACGTACGATTCTCCGCCCTTGAAAACGCATCGATAGCGTTTGCACGATCCGTGCCTGACCACTGAGACATGGCGACTGACAAATCCGCACGAACGGTGAATCTGCAGCAAGCCACCACGTGCGCCCTTTTCAATCGGTTTTTGAAATATTCAATTTACAAATCCTAACTCTGCAGTGAGACAGTACATGGTAAAAACGGGGTAAAACTGAAACTCTCTGACCTTGCTTGGCGCGTCGTATCTCAGACCAAGCTCATTTTTTCCCTTGCGGTTAGGTTAGTTCTGGAGGCGCGCTCAATGTGACGGTTCAGCAAAAATGTTAATTTTAATGTTTTTGCAGCTTTTCCACATTTCCGCTACCTCTATCATTGGAAAGGATTAGACCCCATAATATATGACTATTCCGAAGTAAACTCATCCAAGGAAGTCAAAAATCATCTCCAAATTGCGATATGAAAATTCGTTCAGAGATATTTCAGTCGAATGTAATTTTTCGAAATTTTTCACTGACTTTTGCCTATTTGATTTTCTTATTAACAACCGTAATGATCTAAGGGTTACGGTTACCGTTATATATCCTTTAATTTCTTTGGGTAGAAGGCAAAGTATTGCAAAAGTATACTCTTATAACTTAAACTCTCAAGATTTCGAAGATCTATGTCTTCATCGTCTGGAGCTGGAAACAATTATTGACAATAGCAACAATTAACAATTAGGACAAAAATATTTACTTACTAAGTCGGCGAGATTGTTGCTGAAATTGTTTTTAAACAAGAGTGAAGGGAACACATAGTCGGCGAATAAAAAACTGGACTGATGAGGTTCGATTAGGACGGAATTATTTTATTATTAAATGGTAAATCATTTTGAAAGGTTTTTCTAATTAAACGTTGACTGATTATCTTCCAAAATTGTAGAAATAATTTGTAGTCAATATAAGAGGAAATAGTATTTAAGTCTTTCAAGTTTTTATTTAATTTGAATCAGTTACTGCCTGATGCGTGGTATAAACTCATTACAGCATGGCTCTAGACTTATTAGGAAATTTAACCTAGAAGTTGTTTATTTTCTTTTTAGCACTTGCGTAGATCCCGCCTTTAAGCTTAGCGCTATACACACGCTATGAAATAATTTATTTAGGAGGTACCTACAGGTCTATGAAAATGTCAAGGTCAGTGGTCAAGGTTTATAACACTTCCTTCAATTAGTCATAAATAACTTCTAAGTGAAATTGTTTAATTTTTCCGACCAAAAGATACAACTGATATAAACCTTGGACATTAATACCACAGCATGTATTGTAGCGTTTTTCTGGGATCTTTTGGGTGTGGATTAAAACACGGGATTCCACAAAAAGAAATGCACTAATTTATTTAACTTGATAAAACATTTATATACACCACTATTTATGTCTCACTAATTCTTATATCACCATTTGCTGTACTATAACTTCACTCCGCTCTGCTACTCTACCGTATTCAGTACTCTGCCTCCATCTCCCGGCCGCCGAGTTATATATAGTCCCCATTACAGCTTCGAGAAAAAAACCGGGTGTACCACAAAGCGACATCTAGAATGTTGGAGATCACTTCGCGTCGATCTAGAAGGCGATCCACTGTCACGGTCCTCACAGACGCCGCCAGGCGGCTTGTGCGCCATGGTTCGCGTAAAAGATCGGCAATTAAGCTCTGGCAAGTAGGAGACTCGCCCAACAGATGGCCCTATTTGTCACAGTATTACGACAGACACGAAATGCATTGGACGCTATAACTTTAAATCGACTTGCATGAGATGTATTCCCAAGTCTACCTGCTTCGAAAACTGATTGTAACTGATTGAAATTAAATAGAAACTTGAAAAACTACGATGTGTAAAATATCGCTGGTAAGGTAATAAACCACATAACTTTTATAAATAATGCTAAGTTCCAAAAAATTATAGTTTTTTGTAATTCTGATTTTCAAATTGTTTATTCACTCCTGACAATTTTACGAGTTTGAAAGGCCATCAGTCATTTTTTGAGGACGTCTGCACAAATTTAAATTTGTTCTGATTAATCATGCATTACAGAACCCAACCACGTTTATTTTGTATTATCGTCTCGACAAACAAAAAAGTTATATTTATGCGGCATTTCAGGGAATTCAGCATAAAAACGAACACAAAATACACCTCGTAATCCTTGGAGCATTACTGTTTCCACTAAAAAATTATCAGATAGCGTCCCCAATTACCCAAAAAATTTTGTCGGTTCATGTACCAAACACCCTGTATATGATTAAAATATTCGCTTAAACCCGTTTTACATTGACAATAAATCCGCGATTTTCTTCATAGACTAATGTTAGAAGTATAAAACAGGAATTTGACGTCAAATAATTCCATGAAGTTCTTCAAAGATTTCTTCACGCAGTTAGAACTTGGTCTAATGTTTGCCAAATTGGACGTCAAATTCCATGGTACCAAACTTGCTGTCGTTTCCACTATATTTAGAACCTTTTCAATTCAAGCATAGATGTTTGATAAAATTACAATATCCAACAGTAACGTTTTTGTTTATGAGATTCGTCTCAAAATCAAAATCACAATATATAAAAACCCAAAATGTTGATAAGAAAAAGAATTCATTGGTGGTGGTTCATGAATTTGTTCATTGATGTAAACAGCGCAAAAGATAATAATTGGGATGACCTTGAAGGAACCTATCTAAATAAATTCGTGAAGAAATTGTTGAGGTAAAACGGGTATTAAACAAGCTTTGACATCTCAAATATCAAAATTAGTATCGCGACATGTTACTGTCAACGTGGATCATTATTTTTCCAAAATTTCCTCGACTGTTTCAGCATCATGGCTATCTCTGCTTCCGCTCGCAGAAGGAATCTTCTGGGCTACAGGAACTAGATGAGTGACAGGCACGCCCAGACCCTGTGCTAAAGCTTCCAAAACCTCTTTACTCAAATAATATGTGATCGGTGTGCTACTGTTAGTCTTGTTCAAAAACTGTCGCAGCTCCAAGCAGTACTGCTTCGCCTCAGAAAATTTGCCGTACTTCACGGAGTACTGAACCATCGTGGCGTAAATGTCGCCACGTCGCACAGACGCTTCCAGTTCGTCACCAGCTCTTAGCAGTTGCTCACACTGGGATATACCTATAAACATTTTTTTAATGATCAAGAAATTGTATGAACGAACGCTAGATGAGGTACGATTGAGCACCTGTGTATTATCGGACACCTAGTGGACACCCTTCACGTTTCATATATAGCGATAACATAGCTTAGATAATAGTCGTTTTACACAATCACATAAATTCAAGACTAAATTGTCAGAAAAATTGAAGACTGATGAAAATTTATTCAAGTACACCAACTCAGTGTTATGTGTTCTGTGATACCAACACATATACCAACTTCCTATGATCCAACCTCTGGGAAAAAAATACAAAAACTTAACGTATGTACAGGGTGTTAATTAAGTGTGTACGATAAATTTAACAGAAGATTCTTTGAATAATTTTAGGGCAAACAGTTCTGTAGATCCGCAAATTCTTCGTTTTCAAGATATCCTTTACCTAATTTTGTTGTAATTTGGCGGTGGTATTTATACCATCATGAGCTAATTTAGTCCTAAATTGATTGAATTTATTAAGTGAAGTAGTGTCTCAAAACCGGGATATTTGTGACAAAAAAATATACGCCACTGATTTTGGTGCAATTTCTAATATATTCCTTGGATCAAGCAAACAGAACTACAATTTGTTTATCTCAAACTTTTTTCGTATCTTGCTTAGTTTTCCAGAAAAAAGTCCACTTAATTGCATATACCTGGACCGCACAAGGAATAAGGGGAAACCTTTCCTTTGGAAATTATTATTATTTTATAATTTCTTATTACTAATTATGTAACAACAACAAATAAACACTAAATTAAATTACATTACATTAACATCTAAATTAATGAATTTCACTAAACTAAGAAATAGTAAATAATAATCAAGGGTTGCCTTGGAAAACTATTGCAGCATATTCTATTTTTACTTGCTTAATCTAAAGAACAGATACAAAAATTGCAGAAAAGTGAGTGGCGTCCACTTTTTGTCACAAATATTCATTCATATCCCGCTCGAGATGCCACTAGACTTAGTAAATTTAATCAAGCTACAGCTAAATTAGCTCCTAATGTTATAAATACCACCGCCGTACTACAAGGACATTAGGTAAAGGATACTTGAGATATTTACGAAAAAACTTTTTTACATACATACTGATTGTTTCTTTAGGAATATTACCACCTAAATTGAAAATTGAAACCAAAGCGTCCAGCCAAACTGTGAAGATTAAATTTTAATCTCAAATCACAAAACGTAAAAGTAACTAGAGTTCCACAAAAAATTAGAACAAACTCTAATACCCAATTTACTTATGAATTTATTTTTATGAAGAATGTCCAGAAATTAACAACAACTTTTATATTTCCACGCTCCAACTTCTCCAAGGTTAAAAAAGTTGTTCAATTCATTGGATCGTGTAAAGTGGTTATAACAATCAGCTATGAAAATTAGAATAAAAAACGGACGTAAATTACAATAGTGCAAGGATTAAAGAGGTATTAGTGCTCCGTGTTCAGTAGTCCTAGCCGGTGTTGCGCGTACGATGTCAGCGGCTGCAGAAATTAATTTCAATCATAAACATTATTACATTCAGATATGATCTAGTATAGTTTGTGTGAACCAATAATAAAGAGGAGTCTGTCAAAAAAAAGCGATGGAGTATTGATGAAAATTCATGAAATAGCACTACAATAAATATGTAATTGTGGAAGACTATATTCCAATAAACAACAAAATATTTTACTTTTGCAAATATATTCTTTGCTGTTACAATATTCTCTATCTACTTTAGGATGTTAAAAATCATTTTTCTTCACCGGTTGCTATATGCGAACCACGGTATATTCAGGTAATTTGGGATGCTAAGTTCGAATATCATTTTAAAAAAACGAATTAGGGATGAAAAATATGTAAGAAACTAATGAGGAAGTTTCCTATTTTTCAAAAGATACTCAAAATGAACAGCGCTGAATTTTTTTTGAATATCTTGAAAAATAAAAAAGTTACGCTAGTCAGAAGTTTATTATTTGGAGAATCATGTGGTGGGCCGTGCGAGTAAGAGAACGATGACGTCACATGACGGAAGCTTATCAGCCCAGCACCACTGCAAGGCGATGTGCCCGCCGCGCCGCGTCACACACGCTTCCCCCTATTATTAACAATGAGTGAGTCAAACCTTCAACCTATAAATATTTTATTGTACCTAGGTGTACAAATACTAGCATATCAGCAGAATCAGAAAGAAGTGGTGCAAGGTAATGAATAGGGACGATAAATCGCCGCTGTCGGAAAAATCAACGTTGTTTTGCTGTGAATCCCATTTTGATGTAAGCAGCTATTTAGCTAATACCTATGATATAAATGGTAGCAATAATAATTATTATTAGTCTTAGTCTGTATGCCTCGCATGATAAGGTAAATAATCTAAATTGTTTAAAGGAGAACAGAAATAGATTTGATTATTGCTTTCATTTCGAGATAATGTGAGCATTTTTTTGTATAGTGATCATCTTATGGCTGTATGGGAACACTGTTCAAACCATGTTCGGGAGTAATCCTGGCTTTTACAATACAGAGATCCCGTTCTCTTTTTAACTGCACATAACCAATCGCGTCGTCTCCATAGGTGTCTCTTCCAGACCTATAATGACATCACCCAAATAACAATACCCAAAAATGAATGACGAATCATTGATTCTACTCCTGGTTAAGAAATGGACATCGTGAATTGTTACGAAAGAATTACTAAATTGCTGTTAGTCAACACCGGACGGCCATCAAGTCCTATTGGCGTTGGATTAAATTTCAGTTCGAAGAGTTGATTTTCTGGTCACTGCGCGATATTGGATTTATTATTTATCAAACGTATCCGCTGGAGTTTGGGTCATCCTAAATTATTTGATGCATGCAAGGCATGTTTTCATTTTCGTCTATTTATAAAATTAATAAAGCCTAATAAGATCATCCATAATACCCCGCCACTGACATCACGCGTCCTACGTAAAGTTGATGACTCAAAACACTTTTATAATTCCACAGTATATGGTATAGTCGCAGGCAATGGGTTGAAAAAATGAGTTTACGTTATCAGAGTTGTATAGAATGAATTATACTATTTACTTACTTACGTATTTCCGTACTGACATAAAGTGGATTGTTTATGAAGGAATTCATTACCATTATTATGTCCACCTTCAAAAGATTTGTGGAATCGGCAAGTAAAAAAACTTTGGAAACTTTGGAATGCTAAAAATCAATTTAGGGCACTAAATTTGAAGATCTTTAAAAAAACTTTAAGGATCACGGTGCCGAATTAGGGGTGAAAAAATGCAAAAAACTAGTTAGTCGGGACTAACCGTTATGCTAGCATTAAATTGGCATCGAATTGATAATCTACGCACCCAATTTACCTACCTTATTAGTAGTCCTTTGATAAGTAGAATTCCTGCCAGTATATCTAGACTGAATAAGTCTCATATTTGGTTTCATCGACCCAAAACGAAAAACTTAAAGTATCATGGTGTCGAATTATTGGTGAAAACTTGATAAAAAAATGGTTACTCGGGACCAACATTTTAATGCAACAATAAATTGATCTTAATGTTTCTCTTTTTTACATCCTCGACAAAAGCTAAGCAGTTTACTTGAAAATTTATCTGATCTCAAAATGACCTTGAGGGTAATGGTCAGGTTTCGCAAGGACTTACTCGAACTTAAAATTGTATCAATTTGCATTTGCGGAATTAAAAATAGATGTTTTCGGTTACAAATTAATTTGATCTTCAAATGACGTTGGTGATGATAGTCGCAGTCATGGACATACTTGAACATATATTTTCTCTTTTATTTTCGGTTTCAAAAATGAGCTTGAATTTTATATAATCTTACAGCTTTATTATACAACATTTTCCCATTTTCCCCCATGAAACGTATTTTTCGAGATATTTTGTCTTTTTTTCTGAAACACCCCATAAAGATCATGTCAAGGTCATAGGAAGACACATACTTTAACATAAATTTTCTCCCTCCTCATATATGTCCGGTATCAAAAAGAGGGGTTTCATTTAAGAAAAGTGTCTTGACCTGCAAATGGCATTGTTAGACACGCAGCAGCGGATATACTGCAATTGGTGAGCATTCTGTTTCGGCACAACTGATGACATAAACTCTAAACAACAAAAACAACCTTATCTCTTCTTCCTTCTGCAAATACTGAATGTTCGTTCATTCATGAAGCTCTCAGGTTATTTGATTCATTAACAGTTTCAGGCAACGTGTAATTGCTAATTGAACATGTAATTTCCTACACTTGCTTGTCGCCCTCTGAGATTTGTGTGTAAGAAGCCGTCATCCAAATGCATTTTTAACGCGTTATGCCAACGTTGCTCGCCATGCATAAGGGGTTAAATTTCCATTAAAATTGCTCTACTTTCACGATCCTGGTATGATTCTAATTATATGCAATATCCTTAAACTACCTATCCTATATATTTCAAAATTATTTTTGATTCAAAAGTACTTACCTGACTCTATATCTCCTCTATCAAGTAATCGTCTGATATCGACGAACCTCTTCACCATGATCAATCTTTGCTGAACGATTTCTGCTTCTCTCTGTACATGCGTAGAATCCTTTGCGTTGTCGATTTTCTGCAGACATCTTTGAGCTTCAACAAGCGCCTCAAGCGCTTTTTCGTAATTTTGGAATTCATCTATTTCAACCTGGAAATACGTTTATTACATAAGGCCATAATGTTGAGTAAATTGGAAAAATATGGTGCATCTTGAAGATTATTGAAATTTCTGATTATTTCAGATTATCTGGTCTAGAGGATGCAAGTAAGTAAGATGAATAACGTTATTTCAACAAAGATGGAAAATGATTTAGGAGTCCCCCACGGTAGTATCTTTGGACCACCTCTTTTGCAACAACCAAAGTTTTGCTGATGGTATTGTAATTTATTGGAAAAATGATATTACATATTTATACTGTATATTAGTGGCAAAAACATTGATTTTATAGATTCTTTCAAATACCTTGGCATACTTGTTGACAGTAGGTTGAATTCTGAACTACGTATGAAAAAATTATCAATAGAGATTTCCGAGAGTTTAACTCTATACACAAAGAAAATCATTAATACAATTGTACTGTCAAATGTTTAATCTAGCGGAAATATTTTATATCTGGCTAATTATTTTCCAAATATTACAGATTTAACAAAATAAACGTAGGATAATAATAATAAATAGAAATAAATATGCGCCAGTGAATGAAATGCTCTGTACGTTAAAATCGCTTGACAAAATTTTATCGAATGCCTAGTCATTATTTTTCCGTCTACGGATACAAACATGAAATTGAGAATATTTCTTCCAATGCTTTCTTCAGCCATGCTTCCTCTTCAGTAATATCTCCTCTCTCCTCCCCGAATATTCAGGCAACAAAAAAACCTTTTATAAGAGCGAAATTTTAGAACATCCTGAAATGAAAATTCATGGTATTGAAAGACGTGTGGCGAACAAAACAGGCGTATGTCCTAAAACAATTTTCAACATTACACAAGAGAGTGCATTACAAGAAGCTGTTGCATACAGTTGATAACTTTGATAGGAATGCCATCAGACGCAAAGTCCATCAATTTATTGAAAGGCATGAACTTCGCACCATAGACAAAGTATTACAGGAGGTTAATAGTGATGAAGACTTACTAGTTTCAAAAGGACCACATTCTATAGTTTACTCAAAGAACTTCATTTTGAGTATATAAAACGAGGCAGAAATAGTATTTTGATGGACAGTCAGCAGAGTATTCTATGCAGAATAAATTATTTAAAATCAATAAAGAAATACCGCGACCAGGGCAAAACATACAAAACCTAAAGTATGGGCTGACTCTACAATTAAATCAGCAAGACAAGCCTTCTTAACCACTGGTCTAAAGAATCAGTCAGGTACGTGTACCTAACCAATTCGTCATTTGTGTTGTAAAAATGGTGGCAAGTACACTGAATCTGAGCACACGTTGAAAACTTAGCTACACTAAACTTAGCTCTATCTGGTATATTTGGAACCAACGCCTGTTGTATTATTATTAGTTTTCTTGAATACTATATGAAATAATTATTTCCTGGAAAAGGAAAACGATTTGTTATCTGTCACATTGGCAGTGAAGATGGCTTTGTTCCCACTTCCCTATGTGCATTTGAGTCAAAGAAAACAACCGACTACCATGAAGAAATGGACGAGAGTTTATTTGAACGATGATTTGATGAAACGTTCATGAAGCTTAACGACAATGCCGTCATTGTACTTGATAGTGCTGCATACCACACTAGAAAACTAGAAAAAATTCCCACAACGTCCACAAGAAAGGCAGAAATTCAACAATGGCTCCTATCAAAAGACATTAGTTTCAATGAAAATATGGTCAAAGCAGAACTTATCCATCTAGTCAGGCAGCACAAATATGATATAATCTTAATGTCATTGATGAAATGGCTAAAAACCAAAATAAGACCGTTTTAAGGGTACCCCCTTATAACTGCGAATTAAATCCCAAATTTGTTTTATGAAGCTGACAACAGAGTGACGGCAAACCAGTAGAAAGATTGCATCCGTCACGTTAAAGAGACAATCGAAACAAAGATGTGGGATCTGGATAATATGATCAATATTCAAATTGAACCTTTAATAATTAATATTAACCATTCGGACGATGATTCAAGTACTTCCAGCGAATAAAGCATGAAAAGTATGTGCACTTCTTTCTATAAAAATAATCATTTATCTTGTTAGATTATTCAAAGACCATTGAGGAAAACACGGACATGTACAATCTCGCTATTGGACATATTGTGTTTTGTCTGGGCGTAAATAGACTACCAATGGGGTATACTACTAAACATAGTACAGTTGTAATTTTGCTAATGTTGTGTGCCTATGACCTCTGACCCTAGTCCTACCCTGATTTATTTCCTTCATTCAGAAGTGTACTCGTATGCAAATTTGAATCTTACCTGAGCGCATGCGACATAAAATTTCGGCAGCAGATCCATTGCTTTCGCCTTAGAGTAAAATGTGATGATGTTGTGAAGTATCTTTGGTTGATTTTGCCAATCTAACGACTGAAGATAGTTAGCTGCCATGATGTAAATCTCTCGTTGGCGTGACAGACCAGCGAAAAATATAATCTTTTTCGTATCTCCGGATTTCAATAAAGCCTTCATCGCCCGAATCTGAAAAGAAAACAATTGCGGTCATGATAAGAATTACAAAATTCAACTTAGCAACGGTTTGAAATAAAAAATACTTTTTTGTTGCAATCATTAAAAGGACCCAACAATACGCCTGTGGGAAAAGTGGTGTCAGTTAATTTCGCTGTTTTTTGTTTTGCTTATGCGTCTTGGCGTACCTTAACAAAGACCTCAATGGGCACATGCCCCCAACCTCGAGGGGTCCCAAGATATAGGCAGGTCAAGTCAGTACAATAGGGTATCAGCCCTACTTGGCTATTTGCTTTATGTGGAAAAAAATGCATCCGTTAATTTCACTGATTTTTCCACCATATTTATTTATAGATTCACAGTTTTGAAATTCTGTACACTGGATGACAGCTTGACACCTACTGTCATTAACGTCCTAGACAATACTCGTAGGTACAACTTATTAAACAGTTTTTTATGTACGCTATTATATGTTTGTGTACACCACTTATTCTAAAAATACTATAATTTCAATTAATAAATAAATATGGATTTTATTACCTTGTCACCAGCCTGTGTAAACTTCTTCGTCGCCAAATGGTATTCCTCCTGTAGCATCAGGCTCTCAGCCAAATCGATCAAAACCTGGGTCCTAGTGTCTTCATCAATTGCGCCTTTCTCGGGAGTTAATTTTTCAACCAGGTCTTCCGTAAGGCGAACACTGTGATTAAGGCATAATTCGATGGCTTCTTTATACTAGAAACAAGAGATATCATTTTTAACTATTTCAGATTTAAATGATTGAAAACTGGCTAGATTCCACAGCAACTAACACGTGTCAATTTTTGCCAGTATTTGAAAACTTCGACAGCTATATTTAACCGTTCCATCTCAGAATTGATATCATTTATACGCATAATCAAAACCCTTACCTTTTTGGCAACCGCCAGCAGATCAACGGCTTTATCAAACTGTTCATTAGTAACGAAATATTCTGCGCATTTTTGGACCACTACAGGATCAGATTTGGAATCTAGCTGTGTGGCGATTTCCTGCAGTACATCGTACTGTTGAGTTTTGAATGCCAGATCTAATGCTTTATGAAGATTACCGCCTCTGTGGTACAACACTACAGCTTTTTCTAGATCGCCCGTGTCTTTGAAATATTTGGCTATTTCGATTTTCTCTCTCTTTGATACCACTATACCTACAATATGGAAAACTATTTAATAGACTAAGTGACATAGAAAAAAGAACACACAACAATAATGAATTTATTGCAAATATTTTCTATGCATCTATGTATTTGTTTTCAACCATACCGATAAAGTGGTTTTTGTGATATCGCCTGTTCTTGCACAAAAGTAAGTAAGCGATAGTTGTGTTTTGTAGATGCAAATGGTATTTGATCATCGTACAATACGTTGTGGAGAGCTGCTTTAATGAGGTCACCTTTGGCGTTCATCAGAGGCAATATGACCGCCGCGGGTTATATCCAGGAAGTGAGGGAAGCACATGTTTTGCCTTATATACGGACGCTCACCAACCCACTTTCCCAACAACATAATACGCTAGCACATATAGCCAGAATTACGTTGGCCCATTTTGAGGACAATCAAATCGATGTGTTGCCATGGCCCCTAAATCTCCCGAGCCCCATTAGACACGTCTAGGGCATTATGGGAACAATATTACTTCGTTTACCGCATCCTCCACAGACTTCTGAGATAAATTCATTATTAATGGGTGTTCTTTTTTCCATGTCACTTAGTATATTTTGCATACGGCAGTATTTAAAAAATGTTTTATATATATACACCTATAAATATTTGAATGAATTAGGGGTGTTTGGTCTTAAAATATCGATATTTTCCCAAAGTTATTGTATCTTAGCAATGAGCAAGTCCTGCAAATAAAAATGATATACTCGTAAAATAGTATCAAACGAAAAAAAAACATACCTAAATTCCACAAGTCATCTATCATGTGATTCTCCTTGCACAGTCGTACTGCATTACAATAAGCTGTAGCCCTAGTGAAAAAGTGGACAGCATCTTCGTAGTTCCCTACTGTTTCATAATACCTGGCCATATGATAGTACGCTGCCTTATTAGAGCTGGTTCTCGCTAGATCAGCAGCTACCGACTCTTGCCCCAGAAAACACAAAACTCGAACTTGTGAATACATGTCATCTGCGTCGGAGTATACCTTTAGCGCAGCTGCCATATCACCCTGGGACTCCAAATATTGTCCCCACCATTTTAACATTTCCCTATAGAAATAATCTCAGTGATAGTAACACAAAACAGGTCAAATGTATAAAAACATTTTATTGTGGCCTGTAGAATCCAATGTACTACAGAATGTACATCATATATCAACACCTTTAGCAATTCTAATATGGTGACAAGGACTAGAAGTTTAGCGAAGAAAAGCAAGAGATAAGGCCCGTATCTTCAGTCGTCCCTACAATTGTAGGGCGCGTTTATGGCCTCCTTGATTTCGATAATATTAAGTCTTCTTCGTTAAGGTACATGTATGTCCTGCTTTACATTTCTAGTCTGCTGTCAATCAGAAGTCAATTGTGATGTTAGGTTTCTTTTTTGACGAAATTTTTGACAGATGAATCAAATGCCTAAGGATATTTTCTTGCAAATAATGTTGATCATTCAATAATAATTTCCTACATTGAACAAATTCGTCAGGCTGTGGTATCTTCAAGTCCCATATCTGGTATCAATGATCTAAAATCAACAATTTAATGCAAATGGATGTGTATTTATATATATTTGCCTAACAGCTTACAACAAAGCTGTTCCTTGATGAAGATGGTAAGTTACAAAATTTTTAAACATTGCATATTAATATTTATATATACGTATCGCATTTTATTCAGATGTGGTTCGTTCTCACACACTTTATGAGATGTTGGATAAGAAACATTGTATCCGAAGTGCAACTGCATTGTTGATGTCGGAGATGGCTGTTCACAAACCATTGTTAGACTTTGGATTGCATGGTGTCAGGCTACAAGTATGTATAATGTGTAAATGCTCTGAAATTGAGTTTAAACATGCCTTGCCCTATCTGGTATTTTTTTTAATATTAGTGGGAACCTTAATCTAAAAATTTCAGACCTATAACTCTTAAAAATATTATAAAATTGTAGTCCACACCAAGGTGTAAAATGTTATCTACGCATCTTTTTGCAGATATAAACCATCGTGATATTGCATACAAAACTCCATATTTATTTCGGAAGGATAAAGAGGCGAGTGATCTTCCTAAGAATGGATTCATGCATCCAGGCACTTGAAAGCATGTTTGAAGGAGCCAACCTTACTGGAATAAGTGAATTTGCTTTTTGTGACTGACATGTGTTATGCTGCAATTTGTAAATTAGAGCTGGGCCTGTATATTCATAAAAGTTAAAAGCTATTGAGTTGAAGAGGAGCTTTGTTATGCCTGGGAAGGGAGTTGTCAAATGTCTAATGGTTAATGTTGCATGTGAGAGATAAAATGTCACATGAAACTCGATTAAGTGAATATTGTAATCAACATTTCTATTTGACAAAATCTCACAAAGCTAATGCCATAGGTTAAATAAGAATTCAATGATCTAGCAAAAATGCTATATGAAATACATATTTTAACACTTATAATTATATCGGTACTTAGGAGTAAAACATAAGAAATCACCATTACTTATAATACTATTTTTTCAGATCTCCTTGCATTGCTCAAAGAACATCCAATCCTGATAAGCCCAGGGTACAAGATATTGTTCCAAGACAATAACTCCAGTGTAAGGAACGTTATTAGAGGGAAAAAAAGAATAGGCAATGTATTTAAATTGGATATTTCAAGAAGTTTGATACCTAGAGTTAATTAACTTTCCAAAATGATCTAATGTACCCCCAAACTAGAAATATTTTTTTGCAATTGATTAGATATCCTTTTATCCCTGTTTACATAGCTTGTAATATAGAAAATAGCATATAATCTAAAAAATTGAAGAAATCTATATTTCTAGATATTTTTGAACGAACCTATTGTATTTCTGTGGGTATACAATGTAGAATAAAAAATATTTATTTTACCAAGTATTCTTTTATTTATAATCTGCAAGTACCAACTGGAAAATATGATACATGAAATTGTTAAGGAATTCATAGATCGTATGTCAAAATACCTAAGTATCAGTAATCAAATGAAGTCTTTATATCTAAAAGGTACAAATAATAACAGGAAATATGAACAAATATATAGTCAAAAAAACATATCCAAAATGAAAAACTACAATAGTGTTTTACAATAACCTTTTTAATAAAAATAATTACATAAAATATATAAGTTGTTTTCCAATTGAATGTCAATATTTAAGAGGACGACTTTTAGTTCCATTTTAATAAGAAGACTTCATATAATTGTATGTCCTAAACGTCTTGACGTTAAGAAACAGGGTAGTAAGCTTTTTAAGAATTAATCATTTTTTTTGTTACGATCTGTAATATCACTTTAAATACTTTATTAAAATTCTGGATATATGTACTATCAAGAGGTATTTTTAATGTATGAATTTTCTTTTGATTTCCACCAGCGACGTTCGTACCGATTTCACTTGCTTATTTTGGTAGAAAATGATAGTACGCAACTGATTTCTCTTAAAATAAAAACTTGACACGTTTACATGTATGCCAAATTTCATTAAGTGGTAATACAGATATTCATAATCAAGGATTTATTTTTTGACCTTTTTTACCACCCTCTGTTTCAAAAGTTATACTAAGTGACATATAAATCCGAACACCCAGTTTAAATGGTTTTATTTTAATAAAATTTTGTATAAGTACATAATGAAGCATAATAAGTAAATGATAAAAATTTCAAAATGATTGCACTGCTTTAAAGTCCTTTGACCTTTAATAATGTGTGGATGCACCCTGATGTGCCACGCATTCTCCAACGCGCCTAGGCATGCTTCTGATCAGGTGGTCAATGTCCTCCTGTGGTATCTCATTCCAGGCAACTACCAACTCCTCTCGAAGTGCTTCTAGAGTCTGAGGAGGACGTTGCAAATTGACCAATCTCCTACCCATCATATCCCACACGTGCTCAATTGGGGATAAGTCGGGAGATCTTGGTGGCCATGGTAACAATGTGACATCATTATGTTGAAAGAAGTCTATTGTGACTCTTGCAACATGTGGTCGGGCATTATCTTGTTGGAAAGTTGGATCTGCCAGGGTGTCAAGATAGGGTAAAAGATGGGCTTCTAGAACTTCGTGGATATAACGCTGCGCCTTCATGTTACCTCTGATGAAGATTAAAGGTGACCTGGAACCATAAGCTATAGCACCCCAAACCATAACTCCAACAGTGTGATGAACAGGTCTTTCAACAAAAAACTGTGGATTCCTCCTTTCACCACGTCGCCTTCTAACCCTAGCACGACCATCGTGCATGCCTAAACAAAATCGAGACTCGTCACTAAAGACAATACTGTTCTATTCCTGATCCCAGAGTGACCGTTGTCTGCACCACTCAAGGCGGGAAGGGAGGACCCAGTGTGGCCGGTATGAAAACAAGCCAAAACTTCTCATTCGTCGGTAAACACTTCGCATGCCAATAGGTCTTCCGTGTTCTACAAACCATTCATTTGCAATGGACCTGGTAGTGGAGAAACGGTCCCTTAAGGCCAATAATCTTAGGCGGCGATCTTCACGGTCTGTTGTTCTACGGCGGCGTCCAGTGCCCCTTGCTCTTTGCGTACGGCCTTCTCGAAGCCATGCCTGACAACACCTAACCACAGTCTCTACACTTCTTTGCACTCTAACTGCAATTGCCCGAAAAGAAAGTCCAGCTTCCCGAAGTCCCACTATACGGCCCCTATCAAACTCACTAAGTTGACGAAATCGTACAGGTCTCCGTACTCTAAGCATCGTAACCGATCGTAAAGGATGTCAAGAACCAAAATCCGCCAACGTTGATTCTTTACTGCGGCTGAAATATTCATTTTTAGAGCGTTAGTGAATAAAAAAAAAGCAGTATAAAAACCGGAATGTCCAACTGATAAGGCTGAAAAATGTTTCACTTGTTATTTACAGTAAGATAAATACATTCACCAACTTTTATTAAAATAAAACCATTTAAACTGGGTGTTCGGATTTATATGTCACTTAGTATATGACCACCCCCCTAGATATGGACATTAAATTAGGAAACAAACTAAATTGCAGCTACCAATACTTCAAGAGATGAGTGCAGACTTTCGAGCCAAATATTTCATATTTTTTTTATACTATGACTATCATAACTAGCAAAATCTGCTCTTCATATGAGTGTTTCAAATATCAAACCTGTTCAGTTTTTGATATTTCTTTCTCAAACAGTAAATGTTTTTCTTTCCTATGCCACAATTTTAGTAGATTTTCCCTTTTATATTAAGATTACAAGTCAATGAACAAATTGGAACTGTATTTAGCGGTCCTCACTTTTTCTTCATATACCACATTCTACAACATTAATATATGGTGCAACACATTTGATAAATACAACATATTGTTCTTTGAGGCTCAGTGCATTGATCTCCTTGTTCTTGATGATACCACTGAAGTATGCTCAGTAGCTGAAGGCTCCATTATTGATAGTGATTTAAATCCAAAATTTATAGCCAGCAGTTTAAATACAAGTCAAATTCTGTAGCTCAGAGCCAGGTTAGGTTAAGTTCATTTTTGCCTCAACTGGGTCTTACATGTTAAGTTCATGATAAAGATGGGAGTTTTAATTTGATACTTGCAACATCTATCTACCTGTAATGATGAGAGAATTATGAATGCAATGAAACTAGCTTAAAACTACCTCTTAGGGGTTAAGCCCAGTTTGACTTTGAGGTAACTACAAATTTCAACATAATGGGTCTTTTCCACTTATCTAGTTGTTTGAATTGTTTGGAGTTTGTTTAACAGTAACTCCCTTGATGAGTCACAATCTTCTTTTATATTCCCATTCGTAATTAATAATGGAATTGTCAAGTTTTTCTGATTTTGCTTCATGCTGCAACTCTTTTCTTCTGTTTACTCTCTGTAACACTTCATTTTTGGCAATCCTACATGACCATGGCATTTTGAGCACCCTGAAATAGCGATGGTCAATAATAGTAATTATGATCTTCACATACACACATTATACATACTTGTGCCTGACACTCTACACAATCTAGAGTCCCACAATGATTTGTGAAAAAGCATCTCTGACATCGACAATGCAATAATTGCACTTGCCATACAATGTTTCTTATCCATGGAGGAACCATCTCATAAAGTCTGTGAGAATGAATCACACCTGAAAATAATGCAACAAGTATATAATATGGATATGCAATGATTTGTTTTGGAACTTACCAACCTTCATCAAGAGAATAGCTTGGTTGTAAGCTTCTCGACTTTCATACACACAAATATAATAATATAATATAATATATTGCATTAATTTTCCTAACTCAACAATTTCTTGAAGATACCACAGGTTGTGGAATTTGTTCAATGTAGCGAGGTATTTTAAATAGTTAAGAAAATGTTCGTCAGTTCATCTAATAACGATTAAAAATCACATCAATCGAAACGTCATGGATAAAAAACCTTATAGACAACGAGAGTCTGAGAAACAACATCACAAGAACTACTATAACGCCATCGTAGCTAGAACTTTGGGTACCGTGAGACATACATCGACCAGAAGATTCGCCAGGCTTCGGAAAAGTCGATGCTTAGGCAACCAATTATGCAACCGTACATGGAGAATGATCGAGTTCACGTTCGAGAGCGTTCCGAGTCATTGAGTTATGCTAAATAGCACATTCGGCTAATTTACGATCGGCTTCCATACTATAATGGAGAAGACTCCAAAGGTCAATGGGGCCAACCGACGGATTATAAAGACATTGATTGATTGATCTAGTGCCATCTAAAGCAATTCAATGAAGAACTGGAAAATGCGAGAGTATTTCTCGACTCGTCTATACGGAAATAAATGTAGGCAGAGATGGCGGAAGGAAGACAGTCGATGGACGCTTCCGAAGAATCAACAAGTTATAGTCCAGTCAACATGGTTATAAATTAGTTGCAAGTGTTCTAATAAATTAATGTAAGATAAAAACGATGTTTTCTTTACACTACACTTACTTATCTCTAGTTTTGTTCATATAAGCCTGTAACTGTTGTAGATGATCGCTCAACATCCTCGGCACGTCGTACAGATGCGTATTAGCTCTTTCGTATCTAGCCGCCGCTTCCTTTAAATCGCCAGATTCCTCCAACGTCCTAGCCCAGGCATGATCAGTATTTTTCAAGTTGATCCGGTCCTTAGATTCAGCTACAGCATGAGCTGCGTCCATTTGATTTCTACTGCGCAACAGTTTGTTTTGCAAATCGTATCTGCCACATTGGATGTATAGTTGTTCCGCTTCGTCCTGTCGATAAAATGATACGCATTTGCTTATCTCGAAATATTTTACCACACCTATTATGATGAGACGTTGTACTTCCTTGGATGTTATATATGACATGTACATCAAGAAAAACCATGTTACTTATTTCCGTCGGTCTGTTTGTTTGCTAAACCTTTCGGAAAAACTTCTGTAAGGGTTAAAAATTGGCGGTAAAGGGTTGCAAGGTATATCTAATTTTTTTGACGTTGGTATATTTATACAACTCCAATGCACATATTAGCCATATTACACTCATCATATATGTCCCCGTACATTTCTCCTTCAAACTTAGAAATATTCCCAAGAGTCGGGTATTGATACGTGCGCTTTGGCCTAGCTGATGGTCGTGCGTCGCAGCCGGCAGTCAGTCGCTTCGGTGCTGTTGTGGGCTGTAGCCTGTAAAAGTCAATATTGTCATCCACGCGGAATTAGTCATCGGAACGATCATGTGCGCCCGCGGGGGAGAGTCAATTATATTTTTTGTCATACATGTTCGTAGCTAACTTTTTTCTTGGAAGTACTAACTTCTGTCGATTATAATACTGATGACAGCGTTGCGTTTCTCGCTTCCCGTACAGAGTCAACTCACTTGACGCCATTTTTCATAGGATATAGTTGTTTAATGATTGCCATTATACTAAACATAAAATCACAACCTACCAACATTCCCAAATGCACAGCCAGCACTGCTACCTTGGCTTCATGAGGTAAAGTCTCATCTAACATAGCTAAACGTACAGCTCTAGCAGCCATGGCGTTTCCCATATGCCCTAGGCAAACTCCGGCAACATCTAGTCTCTTCGTTTTCACGCACATTCTTGCTAAGCTAGCCCACACACCACTACTTTGCACAAGTTTTATTGCTTTGAAGGCTCCATCCATATTACCTAATATTAAAAAGAAAAACAAGTAGTATTGATTCAAATGTTAAACAATACTATCTTTAATAGTTTGAAACTATTATTTTATAAAAGTTCGTCAGTTTTGAGCTAACAAACAAGCTTTAAAATAATCTAATCTTAAAATAGTCTCCAGGGTCTTGTAGAGAAAAACTTTATTTTAGATATTTGGCGACCTGATAAATTATAATTTTTAATCGAGTTGTTAGGGTTTTCAGACATTAAATCGCTTATAATTCAAAAACTTCAGAGGTTACCGAATGCATTTTTTGATCAGAATGATCTAAAAAAAAAACAAGTCACTTTTTTAATTTATTTTAAGGTGCATTCAACAAACGTGATTATAAAAAAAACTCGCGTTGGAAAACGTCTCTCGTGAATTTAAGGTTTTCGGCTCGTTTATCTCTTTAAAAATGAGCACTGGATATACTGGAGGTCATTAATTGATTAGTTTGGAATAAGCAGTTGTAGCTGACAAATAAATTCCCCACATTTCCCTTAACATCTGTTCTATACCTAGTAATTACATTCTCAGCCTACCGCCTCCACAATCCGGCAACCCCGCACTGTTCACAAATTATAAAAAAAAATCTTTTCAGTTTTTTTTATCATTCTGAATATAAAAGGCGTGCAATAATACTTCTCTAAAAGTTGACCGTTTTCGACTTATAAGCGATTCAATGTCTGAAAATCCTAACAATGGGCATACGGTTAAGAACACTACTCTTTCATGTAGCCAAGTATCTAATTTAAAGTTAAAACCTTGCGCTTCAAGATCCCGAAGAGCATTTTAAGATTACATTATTTTGGAACTTTTGATTTTCGCAGTCAGTACATATGTGATTTATTTAGTGAGAAAAGATTAATGAGATATTAAAAAACTAATGCCATTTGAGAAAACTACTAATGTCCATGTTAGTGTAGAATCATAATATATCCATCAAATAAGCACACAAAACGTAGTACATCAAGAGAAGAACCAACCTCACACCAAAAAGTAGTATATCAAGAGAAGAAACTTTGTGGAATGTCTTTATAATCCGTCGGTTGGCCCCATTGACCTTTGGAGTCTTCTCCATTATAGTATGGAAGCCGATCGTAAATTAGCCGAATGTGCTATTTAGCATAAAAATTCGTAAGATTAGACTAGTTTTAGCATGGCATTCGTGATGTAACCAAAACTTTGTGGTCGGCTTCTGAAGTATTACTGGTACTAGTACTGGTAAGTAGCCCGACGATTGGTTAAATCAACAGAAGTGGAAAACTTTTGAATTTGAAGCTGGCGTACATATTTTATTACTAAACTAAGTCATATAGTAGTAGTATAAAAAAACAGCCGTGTTTAGACGCCATATTCTTGAAGTCTCTCTCTCTCTAATTTTATTCCGCTTATCACACTGTCGTGTTTTTATATAACTACTTTTTGCCCAAACTATATTTAAAGGAAGCCCCAATGTCAGAAACATTACCTAATGCCAGATTGTAGCTAAAATCCAACACAGCACTTCTAGTAGTCTTATCACATTTTTCCAAACCGAGGAAATCACTCATTATATCTCTAACAATACTGAGCTTCTCCAAGGTAACGATGTGTGGTGTAGCACATGCCAACAATCTCGCATCTGGTTCAATGGCCTTGATGTCATGGATTCTTATTACATTTTCGGACGAAATGAACATTGTTATGATTATGTGGTCCTCATCTTTTAGGCTTTTCTCCTCTGAAATGACCACATTTGAATCACCAATTAACAAATATGCTCCTTTGATATAGTCTTAGTATCACAAAAAGCCAAACTCAAAATTACTGTACGCCCTCATATAACTGGAACTCACCCTCGTATATCGACCATAAGATTCGATAGGTGACCACAACCACGTCGCTTAGACAACCAATTATGCAACTATTTATCGAGAGTGATTGAGTCACGTTAAATTGCAAGATTTATCAAACAACTGAAACTCAACCAACCGACACATCACAACTAACCACCGGCCACGCCATCAAGCGGAATAAATAGTCAAGAAAGCAGCATGTTCGCCAAACCAAACCAAACAAAAAAAATGTAAAAACACATCGATAAAGCCCCTAGGAAAGCTGTGCCAGGGAAATAAATATATACGCAACACTGTGTATTGCTTGGAGCATATTGTCTTTTTCACGTGTATGCATTACGGTAGAATAGCAGCTGATTATCTAGTAATATTTCAAAATTTACTACATCGATAAATGACACATAGTTCTGACGGATCCATCAACGCCAAGTAGGCAGATAAGTATTTTATTTAGATTTTTGTACGCAACAGATTCATTTTGTACTTGCTAACATTTTTTTTATTTATAAGTTCATCTGCATACAGAAAACAAACGATACCAGGAATTTTTACTAGATTTACACCCCCTCCATTATTGCCAACGTTAAGGACTAATACAAACATGTTGGATACTCGTGAAATAGAGTTTACCTTATTTCGGGACATATTTGATGCAGATTTTATCCTGTCACTTAAGCTGAACGGAACTTACGGTATCATCACCGTACGATTATCTCGCAGATGTTTAAGTAGAAATACAATATTAGATAAAATTATTCAGAGGTTATGACGCATACGCTTAGTTTTGAATGACTTCTGAAAAAGAAGATTATGTAAGTGTATTACTTAATCTTTCTTTTTATGCCTATCACTATATCAGATGAACTGCCCTTACACAGAAGTCTTAATATTCAAAAAAATATATATAAATCAACCATCAATGTGTCAATTTTCGGCAAATTTGGGCTTTCTGCCTTTACAAATCCAACATCCATCCATATCCATATTTTTTTCTGACTAAGCGAGATAGTTTTTTAAAAATACTTAAAGACAACGTTAATCCACAAGTGACATCCGGGTGACGTTTCTTTCTTTAGAATTTATATAACGTCGCATCATGGCCGATAGTGTTTTCACAGTTTCGTATTAAAAATTCAAAATATTATTTTTTAATGGACTTATACAGGGAAAACCAAATTTGTCTGACGGCTTGCGTTCAATGTGGACGAGGAAGAAGCGCGAGAAGTGTGTATCACCACATGTCAGATAGAGATAGAAGCCGGCTGAAGAGCGAAGATGACCGTGATGACCGCTACATAGCCTAGCAACGGTGATGCAGAGGGTCGTGCAATCTGCATCGTTGCCAATATGTTACACCAGAAAATGTTCGCACACGCTGCTACAATAGACTAGGTTTTTGTCAAACCCATGAAGGTTGTCTTTCATTTAGATCCAAAATGGAGCGCCGTTAGGGCCGATCGGGAATCAGTCCTAAACAGATTCGACACAATTCACAATTCAAAAATGTGTACGTTCAAAATAAAACCATTATTTGGGCGCAAAAAATAAACTAACAACGCGGTGATGTGCTTCGCTATCCAGGCGGCTTCTATCTCTTTCTAACGTATGTGTCTATACTGTCTACTTTTCGTAAATATTGAACTCAAACCGTCATACAAATTTGGTTCTCAGTGGATATCCATCTTGCGCTTTTAAAAACTGAAATCGATATATTTCGTTTTCCTAAGGCAAATACTGTAAGAAATACTTGTCTGCTGAACTGCTTGTCAAGTGAGTATAAAGAATATAGCCTAAGCAATTTTAAAAAATGTTTAAAGATGAGTTTAAATCAACCGGATGGCTAGAATTTAACCCTACGCATATCCACAGGTAATTGATTGTTTCCTTTTTGTGTAATATTTTAAGCTTTTCTCTTTTTGGTGGTCAATGTTGTGAACTGTGTAACGGTTTCACCGTCTGTTCGTATTTATTAAATCACTTCTCGATTATCATTTCATTAATCCCATCTCTAGCTTTTTTACTTGGAAAATTTTCCGCTTGGACCGCTTGATGCGGAGTTCCTGATCTGCGATCTTCCTCGCGCTTCCTTTTCACTTGAGCCGCCGATCGAACAAGAGCTAAGAATTTTCTTCTCTGTAGCACAAGGTCATATAGCACCATGTGCTAGAATTTTGTAGAATGTGTGTCCGTATAGGACAAAATGGTGAGTTTTATAATACTATAGATTTATTGCTGGATCTGCCTGTAGTTTATAGATAATCGATATGTAAGTGGTTTATTTCTTGTACGATTTTAAAATATCCATCGACTACTTCGATCATTTGCCATAACTTTAATCAAATCGAGGTAGAAATCGATCCACATCGATTTTACCTCTGTGTGCGTATATATATTCATAGTTCAGTGAAATTATGAGTACGTTGATTATGAATATTCGATATTTGTGTTTTTATATCAGAAGCATGTGGAGAAATTTTTTGATGACCACCATCTTGTTTTACGCTTTTTTTTTGCTATTTCATGATTTTATTTTATGAAAGGCATTTCCAATTTTCGGTTTGATTTTGTCAAACTATGTAATGTAATTCTAACCTAGAAAATCGTTGGTTCTCTTTTGAGGCAGACTGAGATTGGAAATGCCTTGGCCATTAGGGCACGTTGCTAATGCACACGGTTCTTTTCCAGATTGGGGCCACCCCCTTTCCCTTTCTCGTTCCCTTTCTCTTTCTCTTTCCCTTTCCCTTTGTCTTTGACTTTGCTTTTGCCTTAGTCTTTGACTTTGCGTTGCTTGGCCTATCACTTCACCCATGCATGTGCCTTGGCAGCGCCATCGCCTTTAAGTTCAACTTCGCCTACAACTGGTTTTGAAGCCACTATATGTGAGGTCACCCCTCATAACTGGGACCTCCACTTCAAGCACCTGGCCATCCTCGCTTCAGTCGAATCAAAATGAACCAGCGAAAGATAAGTTGATAGTTTTATAGCAGCGCCAAAGATGTAAAACTTATTTTGTTCTTTAAAACTGTAAAATTGTAATGTAATGGAAATGCTTTTTTTTTGTTAAATAAAATCTGTTAAATTTTTGTGTTCTGTTTGTTCTTCTATCCTCTAGCCATGCCATGGTCGACACACAGCTACACGCCTGTAGATGTCTTCATGCCACCGACTGAGCTACCGGAAGCTAATGCTAACCCCCTTTCTGTGATTGTGCAGAAAAGTTGGAATCTTCATTGCATTCCATCTTTTCTAGACTTTTTGCGGAAAGGAAGCGTAAGCGTAAGCCAATTTATGTAACGCTTCCTTTCCGCAAAAAGTCCAGAAAAGATGGAATGCAATGAAGATTCCAACTTTTCTGCACAATCACAGAAAGGGGGTTACCATTAGCTTCCGGTAGCTCAGTCGGTGGCATGAAGACATCTGCAGGCGTGTAGCTGTGTGTCGACCATGGCATGGCTAGAGGATAGAAGAACAAACAGAACACAAAAATTTAACAGATTTTATTTAACAAAAAAAAAGCATTTCCATTACATTACAATTTTACAGTTTTAAAGAACAAAATAAGTTTTACATCTTTGGCGCTGCTATAAAACTATCAACTTATCTTTCGCTGGTCCATTTTTGACTCGACTGAAGCGAGGATGGCCAGGTGCTTGAAGTGGAGGTCCCAGTTATGAGGGGTGACCTCACATATAGTGGCTTCATAACCAGTTGTAGACGCAGTTGAACTTAAAGGCGATGGCGCTGCCAAGGCACATGCATGGGTGAAGTGATAGGCCAAGCAACGCAAAGTCAAAGACTAAGGCAAAAGCAAAGTCAAAGACAAAGGCAAAGAAAAAGGGAAAGAGAAAGTGAAAGAGAAAGGGAAAGGGGGTGGCCCCAATCATTTTGTCCTATACGGACACACATTCTACAAAATTCTAGCACATGGTGCTATATGACCTTGTGCTACAGAGAAGAAAATTCTTAGCTCTTGTTCGATCGGCGGCTCAATGTTTTTTAGGTCGGGTTGAAAAACAGCATAAGCTGACACTTCACCTTTTCGTCACTATTCCTTTTAAGCCAATTATTTTGTAATCATGTGAAGAATAAAGGCCATTCCAGTCAAGTAGCCTATTAGCATAAGTACTATAACACCTTTCAGAAACATCGAGTTCACTTTCGGCGTCATCCAGATGAATCGACTACCACCTAGACCACTTTCATGAAGGTTCACGCCTGGAGAGCGCTGGAGTATTTCTCGGCTCATCGATTGGGGAATATAGACAGAGATGGCGGAAGGACAGTCAACGGGCAGCGACTGATGAATCAACATGATATGGACCAGTCCACGTTGTTATACATTTGTTATAAATTACTTACAAGGGTGATTATAAATTAGTGTAAGAGTAATAAAATAGACTTTGAACAGTAAACACGGAGCTTTCGTTACAATATCTACTATCTATCTAACTTGATTATAATATAAGGAGCGTATTTGTGCGAAACACTGACTCAATTATTTTTGAGTTATTTGATTGCGTTTGCTTTTATTTAGCCTTGCTTATCACTTACATACAAAGAATATATGGGTAAGTTAACTGGATAAGTACCTGTAGATGATTTGGAACGGAGAATTTTTCTACTGCTTGCTGACTTGAGCCTTCTAGCATCACACATAAGGAGTCTAGGATCATTTACATCCCAAAAGAAATTAATAGGAATTCTATTTCGACAAATCTCATCATAATTTGCACTGATTTGATCTATGTCATTCATTTCGTCCATTTTTTGATGTGTGTCACTTCCACTAGCAAATTTTTTGAAATCGTAGTAGATCAGATCATCTGATTCTGTATCCCAAATATACAGTTTACCATCTGGAATCAAGTTAGCAGCTGCTAGTGTCAGAGCCACTTTTGTACCAGATGAGTTGGTTTTAGCCTGTATTACCTAAAATATATAGTACAACGTATGAGGTATCATTATTTTACCAGTGGCGGCCAGATAACTGCTAACTTCTATTAATATCTTCTGCATTTCACACACAAGCGTCAAGAATATCAGTAGCTTCAGATAAACTCCATTAAACCTTTGTTTCTTAACCAATTTAAATCAAATCCAAAGATGGATGTTTCATAACATTACGAAAAAGTGTGTCAGTGTCAGTCATTTCCGTCGGTCTGTTTGCCCGCTGATCCTTAACTTGAGAAGTACTGCTCGGATTTTGATGAAATTTCCAAACAAGGTTACTTCTATGCCACGGACAGAAAAGCTTTGTAGTTTTTGAAAATCGGTTCTGTAGCGGCGGAGCTAGGGTCAAAAACACGAAAAAAATAAAAATCGCACAAATATTTTTTTAAGGTTCAGAGGCTCCTGATCATTAACAGAAAAATTTCTTTGTGACCAGCTCAGTCCCTCTGAGCCAAACATAAATAGTTTATGAACTGATAACAACTTTGCGTGGGAAGTGGAGAGTCAACCTACTTGACGTCATTTTTTTTAATAACTGAACAGTTGAGCTGTACCTTTCTTTCCTATAACTTTAAAATGACTATGCTTGTTGATCAGTCTATTTTTTATCACACTTTTATTATTCGCTTGAATTGTATATATATGCAACAGAATGTTTCAACCTAATTTTCACCAATTTCAAGAAGTCTGATTAATATGAAAATTTGTACAGGGGTCAAGGACCGATAACAATACAGTAAGCTTGGTAATTGCAAATTTCAAAGAAACTGAAATTTGGAAGAAAAGGATTTGAAAATTTTGAAGATAATTGGGAAATTCGGAAATTTGGAAAATAATTGAGAATTTGGAACTTTTGAAATTTTTTTGGAAATTTTGAAATTTGAAAAAAATTGAAAGAAATTTAGATTTATTCTCAAATATAAAATATACCAAAAATCGGGGCTCTTGATTATAAGTACTTTTGTTGCCGTTTTGAAACTAACACTCAGGAAATTAGTTTACAAAACACGCGTTAATAACAAATCTAACTAAGTAGAAAATCATTTTTAAGTATATTAGAGTTTGTTACTACAACAGAAATTCCAACAAGCAAGTATGACTAATTAATGTGGAATAATATCAATATAAAAATTAAGAGACTAAAAAATTCAATTACAGTAAAAAACTATAAAAAACTATATTTTCATAATAACTCCAGTTTTGTAAATAGCAACTAAAACATAATTCTAAAATTTATTATCAAGCATCAGACTTTTTTACTATGATTGATTTTTATCTTGCCTGAATTTTATTTTAATCTTATTCCATTAGACATACTTGATTGTTGGACATTCTATGGCAGTAACACAAACTATCCTATACTTGAATATTATTTGATACTTCTTAGTTCAATTTGCTATTAAAGCGCGTTTTTTTTTTGTTTTCTTAAACAATGATTTAGTATACTTGAGCCATCACGCAGGCCTAAGACCTAAATACTTGTGACTACCGTGGGGCTATAGGGGATACCAGGAGAAGGGGGGACGTCGCACGAATTTTAGCGGGGAACACGTATGAATGTGACAAATTCTGGCCCCACCTTGGAGTTAAAGCGTCTACAACCTACGGATAATCACAATATATCCAAAGCCACGAGACAAATTCATTTAGAACGGGATTCGCACCCGCGCAGCTCACGGCTATTAAGCTAGTAGACATACAGCATGATTTGTAGATACACTACCTCTCCAAAATCACTTGTCATTCCAAACATATTCCTAATAGGGGTAACTAACTTCGGTGGCGTTTCCAGGATGTCATATAGTTTCAAATAACCTTCCATCGTAAATAGTGTCAAATAGTGCCCGGTTACGTCCATTCCAATAGGTTCTCCTTCACTCAGTCCAGACGTCAATGACGTTAACAAGGAGCCGGTATGCGTGTGCAAAGATACCGCCTTTGAGTTGATTGACACGACCGTTTTTTGAAACATAATGATACCATCATTCTCGTGGGAGAACGAGGAGATTTCTTTAACGTTGAAGTCTGCATCATTTGCTGAAACAAATGGTTTATAATATAGTGGTAACATGTTTTGCGAAACAACAGAACTAAGCTAAGATACAGATTTAATCAAAACATGTGCAATAGTAAGTAAAATAATAATAATAATTTTTTTGCAAATTCAAATATAATACGCATACAGTGAAACATACAGCGCAAGGGCGGATTCAGGATTTCGTCTAGGGGGGGGGGGCGCAAACGATATTTGAGGCTGGTCATTTTTCAGCCTCAGTGGAACTTCTAGAATTTAATCTATTATTGCTCCTTAAATCCATTGTGTTATATCTGGTCAAGGCCAGCCTGACAAACAAAAAACATGGAAAATGCTCAGAAATCCTCAGAAAGGCAATATTTTAATATCTGAGAACAAAATAAGTACGTGGAATTTATTATTTTTATTTATTAAAAAAAATATACAAAACATTCTGAAGGCCCCAAACATATCCCAGTCAATTCCACACAAAACAATGTCTTTAATGGCGAAAACGAACATGAAACCGAAAAATTCACATTATCGTATGGACGCTAGACGAGACAAAGAAGGATGTCTATATACCAGCTATAGATCGTGTCTTGAAACCGTCTCCAGACTGCCTATAGACAAGTTGCCCAGCGGGGTCTACTAGTGTGTACTGAACTTAAGAATTAAGACTCTGAACTGCCCATTAAACAAATCAAGTAAGTGGTGCATTTACTTAACACAATCAAGCACTATTATATCTGCAGATGATAAAAATATCAATAGGTATAGTCAATTATTTTTTTAAATTCAATTTAGATTATTTGATAATTTATGTTTGTCAGAAACAAGTACATGAATACAAGGCTGTACCTATTCACGTGTAGTGCAGAAGCTCTGTGATTTAAACGAATTCAATATAGCAACGTAAATAGATACATACGCAGGCAGAGATGCGGGACGTGTGGTATTGACTTTGAGCATCGATTGACGCAGTTTCTGGACAGACCACAGGCGCACCGCTAAACAAATCTCATAAATGTCTTTTTAAAATTTAGGCATTCATCTAACATAGTGCTTCGCTGCAACACCAACCCCTACCAAAATCATCAAGCTTTACGAACTTTTCAAACTCACGAGCAGCTGCTCGAGCATTTCCTAGGGCAGCACTATAATAGTAATCCATTTCTGCATAATCTCGCGGAGAATATTATTATATTAGACCCAAATTCCGCGCTGGACCATTGAGTGACTTAGTAATTTCGGTCGGACCGAAGATTGAACGCTCCCGCAGCTGGAATGCCGAGTTGAATACCCAAGCTCATTGAGCTGATTTGGATATTTGCGTAAAAAATCCGCCATTTCGATTTTACAAAATGTTAATTCACACCGTTATCACTCGCACTGCTAGGACGAATCTAAAAGTACCTCATATGTCAAAATTCATCAAGTCGTTTGGACTTTAGCTCGTAAAATAGAATTTCTTGTTTACATGTATAGATACCCACCTGCGTCATACAGATTTTTAAGCTGAAATTTTCAGGGTTTATTCTACATGGATAGAAATAGTTTTTACATTAAAATGAATAATGAAATACAACCTCAATTTCTCTTACCGCCCTCCAAAGTTGAGGGATGGAAGAGATTTTTCACAAAAAAATGAATTTGAGTTAGTTAGTTAAAAAGTGGCATAACTATTGCTAAAACTAACCATTTAGCTCATCTGAAAAAAAGCACAGCCCTAAACCTAACGGTTTAGTTGTAATTGCGATTGAAAGTTCATTATCCCGTTTTTTTTTTTTCGAAATTTTGCATAATTGCAAATATCTCCTGAACTATAAAATTTCGAACCACACATATAGGGGTTCATTCGATAGGTTTTGAGGCTCTCTATCACCTGACTTCCGTTGATCCACTACTAAATTTAAATCGTAAGAATTGTGCCGTAAATGTAACTGATGTCAAAGCGTAGCAGTAGCGTTTGGAATACCAAAGGATACTAAAAAATCGCAATGCTCAGTTCCTATAGCTATAAGTTATAGTTAGTATGCCTCTGTCGCCATGATGTGTCAGACAGTAACACAATGATGTTAGGTTACAAAAGCAGGTGTCAGACGTCTAGGATATATATATATATATATATAGTTAAAAATTCTAGAATTTTTTCTTGTAGGGTCATTAACTGTGAATAGTTGATTTTTAGCTTGCCTCTACATGACTCAGCTCCAATTTTAAAATACTCCTCGAAGTTCCCTTTTGTATCTCAAATATTTCATCAGTCACTACAATTTCCAAATAACATAATTGCACACCTTAGTTTAAATTCAGAGTTCGAATGATACACAATTTTCAAGGTTTTTCTATCCAACTATTTAACAGTACTTCTTATAGAATATCATTCCTTACTGATCTTATTTCTCAAATAACTTATATGATTGTTCCAACCGAGATAACTATCTAATTCAAGACTATGAAATCTAGTATTCCCAGTTAATAATCAAATTCAAGCGAATAACCAAATGAAAATGGTATTTACCATTTTGGATTGGTATTTACCGATCCGTTCAAGCGAGTGTGGTTATCAGTTTGGATATAAGATCCGTGACGTCATGCACCAGCTGTTTTATATGTCATAGTTATTACCGTCAAATTGTGGTATTTACCCAACTCAGGAGTAGTTTTATATTTCTGGTTATTATTTGAAATGTGACAAGTTAGAATTTTGCCGGGTATTGGATATTTTTATTGTACTTCAGCTTCATTTTTGGGAAACTTGATACAGGCTGACTTCAGTTTTAGCATACAGTAGAGCACCTTATTAGTTATAATCATTACTGTTGTTGGGGACACTTTAAATCTAGTTCCTATGCTTAACAGAGTATCCTGTGTAGCCATATATACCACAAGAATATTAAGATATGGCCATATAAACTTACTGGATGATGTCCACCTGTATGCGGTTTTGTTAAAATCTTTTTTCCTTTATTCCTATCATTTCTGCTAAATCCATAAATGTTTTCTTTGACATGCGGAAAAGTTTAGAGAATTGAAAGTTATCATAGCTACAAAGCCATGGTTCCATCATTAAAGATTTTTTTCTGAAAAAAAAAACATTTCTTCCATTAATATTATGAAAGGTTTCTTTTTTAAACTTTCCATACACCGTTGTACACGAAAAAGCACCGATTATTAAGTGATAATAAAAACAATCAGAAATTCGAGTAACTGACGTCATCAACCCATGTGTCGTCTTGAACCATATTATAACCGCAGAACATAACACAGAAATTTTGGTTATTCGCTTGGATTTGATTAATGTAATTGTAGTGCCATGTGACAAAAAGCATTTTGAGAAAGTGCTCTATGGTGAGTTATTCTAAAAAACAACAAGTCTCACTATTACTAAGAATTAGCTTATTATAAAAAAATTCATTACCTTATAGGATAGGCGGTAGAGAGAGCAGAGAAATCTTGTGCATAGTTTCAAAGTATGTACAAATAGTTCACATAACTGATTTACGTCTTTATAAGTATAATGTTTTGAATTTCATCATTGGATTATATGAGATATATGACCTTTCAATAATTTCAAACTCGGAAATTAATTATGTCAGATGACACTAAGACGGACCAATTTCTTATATGAATTGATTCACCTCCAAAAGCCCTAAATAAGTCATATACCTTTATTATTACTGGCGTCCAAAGTATTTTCTGCCTTTTTCCAACAAATATCGTAAACAGTGATGATTTTGCCATTAGTAACAGCAAACATTTCTTCTGATATTGCCATGCCAGTACATTGAGCGTGCAACTGTAGCAACTGATTCCCATTTTCAGTCTCCAGCAACACCTAAAAATCATTTTTAAGAAGGCCGCCAGGAAATAAATCTACCTAGCCATGAAACAAAAAGTCGTACGATTTTTTTGATAATTCGGCGCAAATGCATATATTTTGTGCCCAACATATATATATCAATGCTAGCGCTATTTCTCCGCCTGTGAACTGGACTTTCAAAAAAGTCGTCGACGGCTGATTTTAAGCCATCATCTGAGTCAAAACGGCGTTCTCAAAGACTTCTCTTTGTTCGACGCAATGAGCTCAGATGAGACGCATCTCTGAAAAGAAAAAGCATTACCTGCGTTGCAGTCTTCTGTGTAACCCAAATTTTCTCCGAAAAATCGCAGCATATGTTCTGCTCCTTCATTATGTAGACAGCAGTGACACAATTCACACTCAAAAGTGGTACCCTCAACAATAGTGAACCCCATTTCAACTGTTTGATAGTACCACTGATTGTATTGATATTATCCAATTCCCAGCTGTCTTCAGGGTTCTCGACATCCAAGGCTTGGTTTTTCGTCCAGAAATATATACGTCCAATGTTTGTACCAGCACAAAGCGTCTGATTTAGTTTGCAGTACGCTATGCAGGTAAATATCTCATTGACGGTACTGTACTCACTATCATAGAACTTCAGTGATGTGGGTAGTACGTAGTTATCATTGGTTTCTATATCCCAAATGCGCACAGTTAAGTCTCCTGAAAATACAGTAAATGGCATTTGTCATATATCTTATAAACTTTTTTGTAACATAACTAGAACAGATACATTGCCTATTCTAGGCAAGCAGATACATGACATTTTTATATGTTTAAAAAATACACTAATATTTAATTATTACAGAAAATTATTCTTCTAATGACCCCTATTTATATAAATTTCTAGTAATTAATTGGATTTGGGGTCTTATTTTAGTTGAGACATTATATAAAATGAACTATCAAAACACATTAGCGAATTTCATTAACAACATAACATCCCAGCATATACACACATAAACAATAAAAACAAGGATAAAATAATTTGTAATTTGATATTCAAAACGGGCGAAACGTTTATTTGCGTTTTATTATCAGAAATTACATTGAACTCACCCTATTAGTTATTTGACCACCACAGTATCTAAATTGCGAATCATTTTATCTTTGTTTTATTTTTTTATCTGTGTATATGTTGGAAATTGCTATGTTGTGAATGAAATTCGGGGATGTGTTTTAATAGTTCATTTTATATAATGTCTTAACTAAAATAAGTATCTTTTACATCGATTTTGTTGTTAAATTGTTAATTAATGCATATGTCAAGTTAGTGTTTCAATTTTTTGTAGAGCTCTGAAGAAGGCAATAATTTATTCTAAAACATGGGCAACTTTGTAACAGGGAACAGTGTTTCTTTAGACCCCAAATCCAATTATATACTAGAAATTCATATCAATTATGACTGTTGACTCTTCAAACAAAACTGTTTGTAGATTCTAATATTGGTTAGTGCGTTATTTTTTTATTAAATGACTTTATTGAATACTTTTTCCCAAACCGATCTTAACAACGTAGTAAATTAATACTAAGTTGATTTTTCTACCTGTAAGTATTGCCAGACTATTAGTTCCAGCCCAGACAATTCCATTACTGCCTACTGATCTGGTATGTAATCTACCACTAAGTTTCACCTTCGCCAATTCTTTTAAGTGTCCTCGATAGTCAACAGAGAAATAACCTACTGTCAAACCTTCCATCATTGCTATCAGATAATCTTTTGTTTGATGATAGATGATACAAGACAGTGGTACCCCTTCAGTATTAAGCACTTCACTACACAATCCCCCACCAGTAATATAATAAACAGAACCTGAAATCAATAAATAATGGAAAATTGGCAACATGTGATTGATTCCCAGAAGCGTCTTTGGGGTGAGGAATTGTATACATCTCTGGTAGGGAATCAGAGTGACAAAAGCAGGTACAAGAGTGACGGAATGGCGCGGAGAGTCTCGTATGTGCATCGTGGGCGCGATATTGTCTATATACGAATATTATGCTTGGAGTTTAATTTAATGATGCTACTTGATTTCGTGAGGTAGCATTATAACGTATATATAGCATATATTATAATCGGTTATGAAACAATGTTGACAAACAGTTTCACACCAGAGCTCCAAGGAAATAATAATAATAATAATAGTAAATGACCTTTATTTTACCTGGCGGGTTACATCAGCACAAGCTGTTTTTGCAAATACAAAAAAAAACACAGAATAAGATAATTTAAAGCAGAAGAAATTTCTTGTTACAGAATCGTAGCCTATGCATGGTATAATGACCAAAAGACCAAAAGCGAAACCTGCATAAACAAATATAAAAATAAAATTACATAACAATACATGCTACATGTCATCAAAGGCAACGAGCCTAACTTTTCTTCTAAAACTGGACACAGATAGAGTTTTCAAAGCTTGAGGTACTTTATTGTAGAAATCGGGCGCCACATATGAAAAGCTCTTTCTGAATTGGCTTGACGGTGCCGAGGCAAGTCAAGAGTATATGCTACAACACGCAGGTTCGCTGAGTGATGATCACATCTCATGGTAAGCTTGTTCTTCAAATAAAGAGGCATTTTATTTATCAGCATGCTGTGGAGCAATGATAATAGATGCAGTATCTACCTTTGTCGCATAGTAAGCCATTGAATATTTTTAATATGATCAGATACCCTCTCCCGCCTTTGAATACCTAAAATGAATCTTATGCAGCTGTTTTGCACTTTTTGAAGTCTGTATACCTCGCTCTGTATTAGACATGGACCATAGACAAGGTCCCTGTATTCAAGTTTACTTAGGATACGGGAGACACACAGCTTAACCTTGGTCTGCTTGGACAATACATTTTTATAGCTATAAATTGACTTCAACTTAGCATAGGAACCCTGAACAGCTTTGGTGACATGATCATGGAAGCACAGGTTCTCATCAAATGTGATCTCCAAGTTGTAAACCGAACCGAATACACAGCTTTATTAATTCACTATTGAATTTGCTGAATTTAGATTTAATAGTTAAGATAGCCGACTTTCTAGGGTTAATACATAAGCCATGTTTGTTATACCACACACATATACTATTTAAATCCTCAGACAGCATCTCATTCGCTTCAGTGTACATAGCAGGGTTGTAAGATAGATAAATCTGTGTATCATCGGCGTAGGTGTGTAATTTGCAGTATTTAATGACTTGATCTAAATCCGCTACATAAAGAGAAAACAGAATAGGTCCAAGAATAGACCCCTGTGGTACACCTTTGGTAAAGTACCCTCCTGTGATAAGATGTCACCGATTTTTACCTGCTAAATGCATTCATGAAAATAACTGCGAAACCAATTAATCGAACTATCGGAGAAGCCAAGATAATGAAATTTTGCAAAAAGTAGTTCATGATTGAGGCAATCAAAGGCCTTACTTGATCTATCATGACAGCAGTAGTAACTTTAAAATTATCTATTGCCCGTATGAAGTCGTCACAGACATCGATCAGAGTTATGGTGCTGTGGTTTTTTCGAAAGCCCGACTGCGTAGATGGAATTATCTTAAAGGTAGTGACGTGCTGCATCAGTTGCTCATATACATTTTTTTCTAATACTTTTGATAACACTGGAAGGATACTAATTGATCTATAATCATCAGATCCTTCTGGAGCATCAATTTTAGCAAGAGGTCTAACGCATGCGGCTTTCCAAATTTTAGTAACTAACCCTTTTTCAAGCGAATAGTTAATTATATGAGTAATCACTTTAGAACAAAAAGGAAACACTAGAGCTAACATATTTATATTCAAACCATCTAGTCCAACCGCCCGAGATTTTATTTTATTGAAAATCTGTAATATTTTATCCTCCGTGACCCGTTTTAACTGAAACAAGTTGTCTATAGATGGCAAAACATTGCTATTATGAATAACACTGGTATCCACACAATTATCTGGAAAGGAATTTAGGAAATATTTGTTCGCTAAATCAGTTTGCAATGTGCATTCTAAAGTATCTTATTAGGATTATGTACACCTAGTTATTTGATGGTTCGCCACCAATCACGGGAACTTCTACTTTCTTTAAGCTGCATTTCTATATAGGCTTTTTTTCTCTTCTTATGGAAGCTGCTACAAAATTTCTGAGTTGTTTATAATAAACCCATTTGGCATTGATCAAATCTGCAGAAAGAGCATCCCTTACCCCTTCTTTCTATTTCATATACGCATTGTTTCTCAATCTCATCATGAACTTAATGTTTTGGGTGATCCAAGGATAGTGTGGCTTTGTTACTTTTACTGTTTTGATGGGCGCGCATATGTCTAGCATACAAGTAGCTTAGCTTGGATTCAAGATCTTCAAAGTTGATAACTCCTAACCAGTGCATTGATGAAGCTACCTCAGCAAGTAAGTTGGTATGTAAATTCCTTAAATCGCGGATACGTATATATGTTTGTCTGTAAAAGCTGGCTGGATAATCTGTACAAAAGTATACCAAATAATGATCCGGGAAAGGTAGATTTACAGCTCCGGTTTTCGTGATGTTTAAGTTTTTATCTACAAATACCACATCTATCAGACTTCTGCTGTTATCTGTTGCTCTTGTTTCCTGACTTACTATTTGATTCAAATTGAAGTCCTTGAAAATTGTTGACATGAATGAATAGTCCAGCGCATTGTTTATTCAAAACATTTATATTTAGATCACCCATGCATACTATATGATCAGATGATGTGAAAACAGTAAGTAGTGAGTCTTCCAGACCTGTCAAAGCTGTATAATCAACATTGGGAGGTTTGTACACAACACCCACAGCAAATGCTTTTTTGTTTATTTTAACCCTAACCCAAAGTTGTTCAAGGCCCTCTTTTGTTGCAAAGTTAAAAGCAGATACTTGAAAGCAATTCAGTCGTTTTCTCACATAGAGAGAGACTCGACCGCCTCACCTATCTTTTCTGTCACATCTAAACACCTGAAATCCTGGAACATGGATATCGTTATCAATGAGAAGAAGAAAAGTCTTTTCATGGAAAGACCAAATATTATTCTAGCTATGCCATACAACTCTATGAAAAATTGTACTAGAAGTTGTTTCGAAGGCATGGAAAGTAAAGAGCCAGTCTACCTGATGCCATATTTTTTGAGATTCTGATCTGGGGCATCAACATAATCATAAAAAAAAATAATCCTTTTCTTTTCCACCTGTACCCAGAAAGTACCACTTGAAGTTTTTAATTGCAATGCAGCATTAATAGTATAAAAGCATTCATGTAATTTTGAAAAATCAATACTGTACCCATACAAATATTGGGTCTTTCATGTATCATATGGGTATTTCATACATACCAGCCTGTGTGGCAACAAAGAAGTTTAAATTATCAGATCCTTCTTGAAGTCTAAATTTCCTAGCTGTAGTTTTTGGACGCCAATTGCTAAACATGTCCAGTGCATTGTCATCCCCGTTCACAGCTGCTTTAGCTAATCCTTCCACATCTAAGGCTGCATTGTTTTTGACAGTAAGTCGAAAGGTCAGATGTGTTATGGACTCTTTCACATCTAGATGGAAAGAGAGGTTCGTCTCTCCTTTGCCATCCACTTTCCAGCCAATGACAGACCCTGTCTAAAGTGAACATGATTACTCAATTGCCACAGCATTATGAAAATTGGTAATATTTTATACAAAAAAACTGAGATGGAAAAATGTAAGATGTAAGACCAAAAAAAGAATCATTTTGCAGGTTACTGTTCCAATATGGTGTAGGGCATAAAAACATCAACAGTTAAAAAATTCATATCATTCACATTTTCCATCCATCTGAATCTTTATTTGCAGTCTCTCTCTCTAGGAAATCTATCCAATATTAACAGATTTTTGTATGGCAAATTAGACTAGCAATATAACTCACTGAATCACAAGAAACCAGTAGGTTTCCTTTTTCACTGAACTCAAGTAATGTGATAGGAGCTTTGTGTGGACCAACAACATTTGTAAATTCCTTGTTAGACTTATTCCATACTTTGAGATCTCCATTTTCCCAGCCACTAGCCAGAATGGTCCTTTCAGGATGCCATGCCAAAGCTGTTACTTGATAACTCCTATGAACAGGGTAGGTTACATCTTTCAATGACTCTCCCTACAAATAGATCAATAGATAGGTAAATATGCTCTATTGTCTGAACAATACAATCATTCTTGACAAAGCTATCTTAAAACTAAACTATAACATAATTACATAAGTGGATCTCAAGTAAGGGAATGAAAGAACTCACACAAGGTATAACATGGTTCACATATTAAAAAGTTTTTAGGTTCACCATGGAATATCTGTAAATTGCTAATTTTCCTTTGACCAGGGAGACATAGGGAGACATGTCAATTTTCAGACCATTAGAAATTATTGAGTCTTGTTATCAAGTGTTGCTTTATATATTAACTACAAATTTATGGTCTTGTTTTCAACTAATATTGAAAATTATATTTAAATTTTCAAATTTAGATTTATTTTATAAAAATACGAGTTGCTGTTTCTAAAATTAACAATGATACAACAGTCATTATTTTAAGATTTACAAATAAAGGCTTGCCTGTAGCTTTAGGATTGCTTTTAGTTATATATCCAATAGTTTGTTTTTGTAGAATAAGCATAAGCATAAGTAATTCTGGGAACAGATACATCAAAAGGTAATGGTAAATATAATATATAATAAAGCAACTGCTTAAAGCTGTGCTTTTCCTTACATTCTAACAAAATGTTCTTATAATGAAGGAAATCTTTGCTAATTAAGTAAGCAATTTGTGTACATAATTAGTAAAATCTAATTTATGATTAATGGTCAGTCTAAAAAATTTGATGATGTCTGTTTTGTGTACCAATTAATTTAAATTTATAAAATCAAAGGAGTATTTTATTGTCATACATTTTGTCTTATCAACAGTGAAGGTCAAATAATGGTTGTCACACCATTTTTTATTTGACTGCAGCAGCAGAAATTAATTAAGCTATTTGCCCATATACTCATAATCTTGGACTGTACAATGAATGTAACATAATTTTCTTAGTGATGGTAATGTTCTATGCATGGTCAATGACACTGTGCCCCAGTTTTACAATCACTGGTTAACTTTCAACTTAGGTATTATAACTTGGAAGTTCACAAGCAGTTGCCTGTGAATCCATTTCTCAATTTCTGGGTAACAATCTGTAAAACATGTTGCTTTTATGCCTGAATTCATGTCATATTTGTGATGTTGGGTATTTGTTTTTCATATCACCTATGAAAACATATATCAGTGACCAGCACATTAAGTGAAACATTGCCATTTAACCGCAACATGCTACAACTCCATTATTATCTCATAAATTATTCTCTGGTTGAAGTTAGCTACTGCTTATGATTAACAGTCAAGTTGCAGTTAAACTGCAATTGGAAAACCAGGTCTATGTGGTAGAAATGCATTCATCCCTCAAGAGTTGGAATTAGTACTACAAGTTTTTGAAGGAGAAAGAGAGGAAGATAAGGTTCCTTAAGAACCTTCATCAAAAGTTAAAATATGAAGCCAGGTATAGCTCCTTTAATTAAAGGTAACACCAAAAACAAAATTATTCATGTGTGTGTGTATTCATGAGATCATAGTATAATCTGGTATGGTAAGCAAACATGTTCAATGGTAGGGTGATACCTGCTCATCAAAGATTATGACAAATCCACCTCGCTCTTGGGAGAAACTTGATACCGCCAGTAATGGAGCACTTGGGTGCCAGATACCACTGACAGAAATTGCTTCTGGCTCTGGAAAGCTCACCGCATTCTCAAAATACAGTGTCATCTTGTGATATTTTGAAAATACTTCTTTCTACAAAAAAGACAAACTGTATGCTGTTCACGAAACATATGCTGTATTCGATGACATTTTCAGTGGTTCAACTACAGGCACCCACAGGAGAGGGTTCAACCAACGGGTTCAACTATCCTCCAGTTTGGATTCTCGTCACTATGGTAACAGTCCACATGAGTGTCATGTGTATATATTACAAAAGTAAACAAAGTATTTTAGGTTATGTTTGACATCAGTGCCACTTATAAAAGCCCCCACCATCCACCTCCCTGACCACACTGACCGCTTCACTCACCAACAACAATCGCCCCCACTCATGCGAGTTAGATAAGTTAGATAAAGGATGCCCCACACCGACGCGGTAAGGCTATAGCGATAATCGCAACGCTGTCCATGCGGTGCTCAGTTTTCAGAGCGGTAAATAATACCGATCACAACAGCGCGGTGTGGTGGCCCGCGGTTTATCGCCTTGATAGCGTTTCATTTCAGAAATGCTGCTGGCACGGTTCGTATCGCATATCGCCATTTTCACGATGTGCACAACGGAGAAATTAATTGAACAAGTTAAGAAGTACCCAATACTGTACGATTTAAGTTTCGAAGACTATAAAATTTGCAGGAAAAAGGATGGAGTGTGGGATTTCATAAGCTTAAGATTTCAACAAAACAATCGGAAGTCATTCGAAAGTATACGTAAAAACGTTGTGGATCTCTAGGTAATTCGATTATTAAAGTATGATATTCTCCATATATCTTTCTTAGTTTATTGATATCATGTATCCATTTCTTCTTTTTCCTTAAACACAGTTATCAATTATTATTAACTAGTGACTATCATCAAAATACGTCTTTTGTGACTTTTATCTTCTGCTAAGGCCAATAATGATAACAGTTCTTCTTCATCAGAAGACATATTGACTAGGAAATCAAAAAACGTTTGAGAATATCGCGCAGATAAGAAAACTGCCGTACCGCGGTGGTGTGAACGTGCAGCTATCGCGCTGACGCTAGCGCTGTATCGCGTCGGTGTGGGGGGAACCTTTAAACGAATAGCTCAGTGATATTAGATTTTGAAATTACAATGAACAAAGTGATTCTTTTACAAATTGAAATTATTACATATACTCATATATAAATATTTGTTTCGATGAGGCTGCTTCATTATGAGAACTAGGAAATTAGGACTATTTTGCATCCGTGCTTTCACTTTGAGTTTACTGATTCGCTTGAGTCTAATTTTTTTGGGTTCCAACTCCTGTCACCTGTCACCACCGTCACTTATGTGTCATTTTAACAAATGTTTTATGGTGTAGATGTTTGGTATTTCTACTTCTACAACAAATCCAACAAATAACAAAAAAATTTGAAACCGTCTGTCATGCTTTTCTGAAGTATTTTGATAGTTATTAATATATTGCATGATTTCAAACAGGTAATGTATGAATACTGAAGAAACTCGACTTTCAACTACTCGAACTACATGGATAACACATTTTCAAACAATTTTCATTGCCTACTTCCAGTACAGCAAATCAAGAAATGGTAGCAGAGGCTACAGTGCCACAGTGCAACTTTAAAATTGGCAGCAGAGTAGAGTGCTGTAGTTATATAGGCACTGTCAAATATATAGGGCCTGTGGAGGGTCACCAGGGTACTTGGCTCGGTATTGACTGGGATGACTCAACACGAGGCAAACACAATGGTACTGTAAATGGAGTTGAATACTTCCACACTTGGCACCCCAAATCAGGATCATTTGTTAGAAAAGAAAAAGTAACTTTTGGACAGTCGCTCATCCAAGCTATTAAAAGCCGATATGGATGTGTAGAAGATGATACAACAGCAAAGTTAAATGAACAAACCATGCTTAAGTTTCAGCAGGATATTAATGCACCTTTTCTACAGTTGGTTGGTTTTGATAAAGTTGCTGACAAGCAAAGGTGAGTTTTATGACAGCTTTTATGTAGAAACATAAACTTATTCCATACTACAGTTAGAAATACTGATTTTTTGATGGGTAGTATCACTAACTTTTGGCTATTGCAACTTTAGGCCCGTATCGTCAGTCGTCCCTACAATTGTAGGGCGCGTTTATGGCCTCCTTGATTGTCATACTCCTTTCTCTCCTTCAAAAATTTCTAGATTACACGTGTCCCGTGTCAGTGTCAGCGCACTCCTATTGTGAAGATATGTTTTCTTTTTAAATTGTAGGAAATTTCAGGCTGATAAAACATGATATAACTCAAAAGCAAGCACAATTTGATGCAAATAGATGTTTGTGACATAACCTCAAAATAGAGCGCTGACACGGAGAAGTAGAAAACTATGACAATCAAGGAGGCCATAAAGGCGCCCTACAATTGTAGGGACGACTGACGATACGGGCCTTAGTGGACCAGCTGAATTAAAAGTAAATACTCTTGATGATACAGGTTTCTTTAACATTTCAATTTCAGTAAATTAGTACATTTCTTAAATACTTGATTACGTACTATTATACAAAAACAGCCAAAACATTACTCCCAAAGCTTATTTAAGGCATTCAAGAGGTCAACTATTAACATTAACCCAAATATCATATGGATTTACAAAACATTGTTAGCTGTTCAAAATTTTTTGTTAATTATGAAAATTTTAAGTCTAAATTTTGGTGGTTATTATTCACATTATAGCAGGTATTTACTTGATTTTACTAGTTAAAGTGTTCACTCATTCATTTGACCCCATTCTCTTTTCCAGAGATTTTAATTCCTTGCAAGTTGTAAGTGTCCGATCCATGAATGTTAATGGTATAGGTGAGGCTAGTAATGAATTGAAAAGGCTCTTTCCAAATATTCGTGAAATTGACCTGTCAAGAAGTTTGTTATCTTCATGGACAGATGTTTTTTCCATTTGTGCTCAACTTGATAGTTTGAGTTTGTTGAATGTTAGGTGAGTAGATTTTGTTCTGATTATTCTAATTATATTTCTTGATCATATTTGCAGTTGCTAACCATAAGAAAGCAACATTACCTTGTAGATTATTTTAATATTTTATTCACAGTGAGAATATCCTAGAGTTGCCGCTAAATTATGAAAAGTACAAATTTCCGCAAATCAGCATGTTGGTATGTGGTCAGATGCATCTAAACTGGGCAAATGTAAAAAAACTTGCACAAGTGTTCCCAAGTATTAAGGAGCTTCGAGTACCATATAATAATATCACAGATCTAAGTACACCCAAGGAAAACAACTTCAAGGATCTCCAAACATTGGACTTAGATGGAAATGACATCAGGTTGTGGAGTAAAGTGAACAAGCTGAAGGCAATAAGGAATCTAAAACATTTAATTGTGGAAAATATAAAATTGCAAAGCATTCAGTTTGAGGAGGATAATACACCTATAGATGACTTTCCTAATCTTAATATACTTAATATCAATGAAAACCAGATCAGTGAGGTAAGGACATATTTATATACACTACTGATGCTGTTACATAGTATATGTCCAACCATATTAAAATTCTTAAATAAAAATTGTAGTTAGAATCCTCTTATCAGAGTATTCGAATCTCATTTACTCCCTGTCAAAACATCAGTGCACAACACGTGAATTAATGCGCGTTTATTGGCCAGCAACAACCAAATAGAAGCATGTGTGATTTGATGCGGAATAAATGAGGAATGAACAACGTTTTTGGTGAATATTAATAGAGGTTTGTATTTATTTTACAGTGGAGATCAATAGCTGAACTCAATAAATTACGGAACTTGGAACATCTTCGCATTTTAAAAAATCCAATTTTAGAAACAGAAAAGTTTGAAACTAGGATAGAAATTATCATTGCTAAAATAAAGAATTTAAAGGTGAGTAAATTCTCTGTGGTGTTAAGATGCATATTGTATGTATATAAACAAATACAAACAATCAAGGTGTTTCTAGATTTAGACCCACTTTTCATTTAAAGTCATATGATTCATCATTTTCATTCCATACCTGTATAGAGGTAGAGTATGGAAAATGGAACTCTTCTCCAGGATCACTACACAACTTGCAGTGGAGCTTTGATACATGTTTTCATTGGTTAATTGAAGGTATATCCTTTATTTCAGACGATAAATGGTAGTACAATAAAACGAGAAGAAAGGTATGGTGCCGAAATAGATTATTTAAAGAAGTATGCCTTAGAATGGATAGACGTGCAGAATAATCCAGAAGCAAGGTCCAAATTTCTACTAGAGCACAATAGATATTTAGAATTAATAGAAAGTAAGTATGAAATAGGAGGACCTGGTATATTTTTCGTTGCATGAAAAGTCTTATGTTTTCAAGTTGTATGTATGAATGGAGTGTATCACAAATCGTGTGGAGATTCATTAATTTCGTGACGAACATATTATTTGTACTGGGTGGGCCAATAATAAAGCACGCCAGCTGCATTTCGGCAACCGCTCAACCTAGACGTGTCGGTTCAAATTTGTTATACTAAGAGTAGCCAAGGGAAATTGCTGGAAATTCTCAGCTTCCTAAAAAGGCCGCTAGGTGGCGTCACTCCTATTGAAAAAATTCAAAGATTATTTTGCAAAAATACATAATCAGCATACTCATTAAATACGCCATCTAGTGGCGATTTTAGGAAGCTAAAAGTAACTTCTAGCAGTTTCTCTTGGACGCTTCTATTATAATTTTTTTAACCGATAGCTCTAGGTTGAGCGGTCGCCGAGATACAGCCTGTGTCCTTTATTATTGACTGTATAATCCGGTACACAAACTGTAGGGCTCCAAAGCTTGAGCTTATCTTCTATTTCAGTGTATGGCTTGCCAGAAGAATCAGAATTAGTAGTACAACCAAACATTATAAAAAGCAGTCTCTTAACTGTAAACATCCTATGTGAAAATAAAACAGTTAGTAAAATGGTACCACCATCACTGCTGGTGCAGAAACTAATAACCATGGTACAGAAAATGTTTAAGCTTCAAGATAAACCAGTACTAAAATATGTCAGCAGTTCTGATCCAAATATCAGAGTAGAATTTGAGGATGAAATGAAGGAAATAGCATATTATTCGATTCAAGATGGCGATACAATAATTGTAATAACTGACTGACTAAATGTGATGCATAGCAGAGTATTTTTAATATTCATTTAATAAAAGAACAAATGAATTGTTAGATATAGTTTTATTAACCTGTCCTTCAACCATCCATATCTAAAGGGTGGAGGATAACAAACTAAAACCGGAAACTATTTTTCATCAATATTCCGATGACTTGCGCACCCTGTAACTCTCGGAAACCCTTGATACCCCAATGTTCGTCCCTTAAGGAATTTTGATTGAAACAGTATAGAGTATAGACGATATCATATTAAAATATCAGCCAGTTTGACTGGAATTTATTTTCAATCAGAATTGCAGCGATTTGATTTTGATACTATTAAAAATGTGTCTGAAAGTCGGCAGATATCCAGTAGGTAGGTCAAATTTTCATTATAGGATCTACTGAGTTTTTCATTAATTGCCAAAGAAATATTAAAATCTTGTTGGTACCTGTTGTAAGCTCAAGCCTTTTTCTAATTTATCAAGCTTAAACACGCTATTACTTGATTTAGGGAGAGGCAAAAAACTGTATAGCCGTGTAGCCCGTCGCTAGATGCTCACTTTCTGGTGGTGAAATTGACGATTTTGAAAAATGGCAAGAAGATTGGTAAAGAGAATTTTTTAATTTAATATACAATTTTCAAAATTCGTTGATATGTGTAATATAATTTTTGTACTAATTCCACTGTATATTGGAAGTTGGGAGTTTTTCTGCTTGATAGTATTTTTATGCTGAACGATTTTGGGAATTTTGATTGTTAACCTACAAATAAGGTTTGATTAGAAACATGGGTATTAAAGTCAAAGCCAATCTAAAATCATATTTATGTATTTACAAAAACTAAATTGCAGATATATGGTGAGATTCAAATTTGGCTGATGTCGTAATATGTAATGCGTACGAGAGAAGCATGCAATATGTAAGCAGAAAGAGTGCGCGGATGGACACGTAGCAAGCCGCAAGTGTGTCCGTGGCCTTGTCACTCAGGTTGCTAGGTAACTAGGTGCTTCTATCTCTTTCTTACACACATATTGCACGCTTATTTCTAGTACACATTACAACGTCAGTGGTATATGGATTTCACTCTATGAATATAAAATCTTTGATCCAAAACAAAAGCAAACATTCTATAAATAAGATCCTAGACCTAAAGGAAATAGTTCATTGTGCATTGAAAAATCTAAACTGGATTGATCATCCTCTTTAATGTTATTTGGAATGGGGATACTTTCAAGATTTTTCAATGAAGCCTTAGTTTTTGGTTCTACATCTGCTGGCTGCTGACCAATGTCAACATTTTCAGGCACATTGTTGCCATCATTCTCTTCCGAGTTTTGCTGTGTTTTTGAATCATCCTCTTGTTCACAATGATCTTTCTCATCAACAGGGTCTTCTTTACCAAAAACTGTCCTACTTTTCAACCAATCCAAATATCTATAATCCTCTTGATTTTTTTCTGGTGGTTCTTCCTTGACTGTAGAATTATCTGTCATCCAGGTATTAAATCTCTGCTGGACAATTGCTGACCCTAGTTCTTCATATTCTCCCTTAGTCACCAAGGATGATTTGAAGTCTGGCATCTTCAAAAGTGATTTGCCACCTTCCCAGCTATATGTAATGGGATCATCTGGTTGGTATACATTCACTTCCCACAGATGAGGTAGCATTGATCGAACCTCTGCTAGAATTCTTTCTTTAAATCCTTTAAAATTGCAGTTACCTCCTGTTACCACAACATTTTTCGCTAGCCCTTGCTGGTACTTTTTGGGGCAGCATAATATTGATTTAACTACAGCTTCTGCAATACCCATACTCTTCATACCAATATCGGAAGGGTGGAATAGTATTTCAGGTACAATAAATCTTTCATTATTTAGCCTCAATATTTGACAATTTTCCTCATTTTCTTTTGCATCACTGTTGTTCTCAAGAATGTATCCTCTTCTAATGTTATTGAAATCTGGAAGAACATAGTTGCGAACAATGTTGTTTTCTGCACCAGATTTTACTGCAATTGATAGTTCTTTTTTAACATCTTGAGCAACATAACAACTATCTTCTTTAACTTGATTTATCACATAAGTCTCTTCCATAACATTATATTGGCGGTATGAAATAATATCTTTCAAGTGATTGGTTAATAATTTACCACCTACATTCAATCTACGGACACCACTGAGGTACTTATTCCCATTTATATAAGGTATAATATGGGTAAAGCTGAATCCGGTATCAATGATCATACATGGGGCAGTCTTACGAAGACGATGATCCCTTGTATACTTGAGATAAGCTAAGTCTGTGGGATTCAGGCGAAACATGGAAGATACTTCATATTCTTCAAAGAATATCTCATCAATACAGTCTTGGATAGAATTAAAGTTAAACAAAGGTTGGGTTAACACAACAGGATGTTCATCTATTGGGCACACTTTTTTGCTGAACACATAATCCCAGATAGGCTTCTGCACATCCCATTTTGTGATATACCCTCGTTCACAAGGCAGCAAGAAGTATAGTCCAGAACAGTCTCTACATTCATTTATTTGATCACCAATGAATAACCTTTTTCGTTCTGCCTTAGCTTTCATTATACAGTTAGGTACTATGGTTGGGTGAGATTCAATAGATTGACCCACCTTTATAGTATATGCTCCACTGTCTGCAACTATGGCATTTACGTTTGTATCTTTTTCTTTTAGCAGCTTGGGTTCAATTGGATTCAGTCCTATACTGCTTCCTCGTTTTCTAAATTTGCTCCGCTCCATCTTTGGTACTTTTGAGTCGTTATTAAACATAACTCACTCTTTTTACTATATTTTTAAATTTCAGTTAAAAAGTTATTTACTTGTTAAGGTTAGCACAACAAACAAGAGTCAACGGGTCAACGCTGTCAAAAGTAGTGCCCGGTGCATTGTCAAAACATTGGCGGAGCGGTTGCCACAAATAACGCGAGTATTAATAAAAGAGGGGACGGTGGTGAAGTACTATATTCTTATCAAGTGAATCAGGACGTGTCTTGTATAAAGTGATTTCTCGGTTTCTCACTTAATTATGTTATAATTCGTTTTGCGATCATTCTGGTAATTTGACTAAATACTATTCCAAAAATATAGTACCAGTTACTACTAGCACATCCAAATTAAAGTCTTCAATATCAAAGTACGTCTTTAATAATGTGTAATGTGTACCCTAACTCCTATAATGAAATTTATAAATTTTGATCTTAGATAATTACTATAATAATACCATATCAGTATAGTTAATTGAAGTATTTGCCACATGTGAAATTTCTGTTGCATTTTTCAGTAACGAGCCTTTGATAAATGATGTGTACCTCATCATAGTTGCACTTACATTTTACATTCACAGTATATCACTATCACACCGTGGATGAATTATGTAGATAAGTTTCGGACAATCCCATCTCTATACTTTGCTGACAGCGGTCTATGCTCAATGCTGTCATTTATCAGCCATTTGCAAACGCACCGCGCATGTAGAGCTGCAGAGCGCGGGGTTATTTTCTCATAAACGTAATAAAAAATTTATATTGTGGTTTATAATCACCACCAGGTAATTCAAGTGTTGCTAAAAGTAAACAGCATAACTTAAAAGTGACGATTAGCCATGGCGACGCAACCACATAGCCGAAAGAGAGTTTGTTACTACTATGATAGTGAGTATCCCTTCCATTGTTCACATTTTGGATATTCTCAAGTTTTATTGTCAAATTCGTGTGTTTGTGGGTAATTCGTAGTCTATTTTATCCAGCCTGTAGGCATTTTAGAGTGATTTTCTCTTCAAGTTGCTGTTTGTCATTGGGGGATTCATGTATGATATTCGAAATCTTAAGAGCAGATATGTTAGATGGACTACGGTGAACTGTATATTACGATGCACGCCATTGGTCGATACCATCTTGTGACGTGAACGATGCTTATATTTACGGTATCCTGATGCAGTCCATCTAACATATGTGCAAATGATAAATTACTTTTTATTTTGATACGGAATTGGAAAAATATATATTTTTACAGGCGATATTGGGAATTATTACTATGGACAGGGGCATCCTATGAAGCCGCATCGTATACGTATGACTCATAATTTGCTGCTAAATTATGGATTGTACAGAAAAATGGAAATTTATGTAAGTCTCATTCACACGAGTCACCAAAGCAATGTATTTGATACATAAAGTTCAAATGACAAAAAAAATGCAAAATAAAATTTTACCTTCTTAAAAATTTCCAACAGTGTCTCTAGTAATGTCTCTTATGTCAATTATCACTGTTTATTAGTTCAAGAAAATAGTATGGGAGATGGTGGAAGAATTGATATTAATAATTTTAGCTAACAAAATGGTCATGTAAAATATGGAATGAAACTTCATGTTTGTGAAAACTCATATTAAGAATTTTTTTTTCTTTAATGTCATTTGCTTGTGTTTTGGTTCTGACTATACAGGGTGTGGCAGAATGGGTAATATCTTATTGCTCATGAATGGGAGTCATTATTCATAGTTGAAGATTCCAGCACTGCTAGATATGACTTATTTTCTGAAAGATGAAAGATGCGGCATTGAATAGAATTTATATGTGCTTTTAATACCTGTGTGACAGCTAAGTTGTGTAAAGTCTAATTTACTGGTGCCAGGTGAGAAAAGACACATGGAATGGTTATGGAAGTTTATGGTGACAACCCTCCCTCTGATAAACTGTGTTGGGAAAGATTTTCTATTATTCAGCGATTTGAAGGCAAGCCTCATCCTGGACAGCCAAAAATTATTTGAGGAAAAAGAATTAGGCTCAGCATACGTTCCTTGTTCCATCATTTATTTGTTCATATTTATTTATTTACTCAAGAGGATTATTTCAAATTTCATACAAGCTAGTTTGTAAAAAATAGTAATGACACAGATATTACACAATCCATTGGTGGAAACGATAATTATTTGCTTCCCAAATCTATAGATAACAGTACTGTGTAGTCTTAACAGTTATCTGCTCATTATGCTGGATCCTGTTGACCTTGAGAAATAAATGCACTGAGTCAGTGTAGCTTTTTTTATTTTGTTTCAAATGTTATGATTATTGTGTTTTAGCGTCAATTTGTGCATCAATTAGAGAAATTCCAAACTCCCTTAGTGACAGATATCTATGCTTAAAAGCTAACTATAATAATTCATATTTGTAAAAACCCTTTCAGATATATGCATTGCTTTGCCTGCAACTGTAATACCCATATTTTTAACCATCATTTGTCTAATGCCAGCTTTCCCCTTTAGCGCCCCCACAAAGCCACAGCTGAAGAAATGACTAAGTTCCATTCTGATGACTACATAAGGTTCCTACGTTCAATCAGACCTGACAATATGTCAGAATATAATAAACAAATGCAACGGTTCAATGTTGGAGAAGATTGCCCAGTATTTGATGGCTTGTATGAGTTTTGTCAATTATCAGCTGGTGGATCAGTTGCTGCAGCTGTCAAACTGAATAAGCAAGCCTCTGAGATCTGCATCAACTGGGGTGGAGGCCTGCATCATGCCAAGAAATCGGAAGCATCTGGTTTCTGCTATGTGAATGATATTGTTTTGGGCATTTTGGAACTATTGAAATACCACCAAAGAGTTCTATATATTGATATTGATGTTCATCATGGTGATGGAGTAGAAGAAGCTTTTTACACAACTGACAGAGTGATGACAGTTTCATTTCACAAATATGGAGAATATTTTCCTGGAACAGGAGATCTCAGGGATATAGGTAAGGAAATACTTTTTTTATACAGAATCTTTGAGAACATCAGTATTTGATATTGCTATTTGTTATTTCATTAATCGGTGATTTGAAGATTTGTGGTAGTCTAATCAAGTTTGTTTATACTAAAAATCAAAAAGCATTCAACTTTTACCACATTTCATAAATCAGATTTCCAGCAGCATTTGACAGATAGTTGTTCTTTCTAACTTTCATGCTGACATCACAACTTAAAAGTCACGGAAATGGAAATGCAAGAAAATTAAAAGTCACCAAAATTGATAGATTATCAAGGAATATCACTACAGATTAGCTATTATCACCCTTCTGCTCTTTCTTTTTCACTTATTCACCCAACACTATTGCCTTTTTCCACTGGCTGTTGAATCAAACCACATGGAAGTGAGTCAGCCAGATGACCACAGAATAAGTTTCAATAGCTACATTACACAGGTTGTTAGCAAAATAGAGTTGTTATAATGCTGCCCACCATTGCGAAGTGCTGCAAAAATTACCATGGTGGGAGGTGTAGCGAATGACTGAGGGGCTTAGTATGCCAAATTTCTGGAGAATCTCATACTACAGGCACAAAAGATCGACAGGGGGATTCTGAAGAGCTTTTTTGCCTGAAAGTGGCGATAAAAGCTTTCTCCTGAAAATAGTCATGAGTTGTGTGTTAAAATAGTGATACCTCAGCATTTAAATAATGTGGTTAACACTCTAATTTGTTGAATACACAAATTGTTCAGGTACCATCTAGAGTTTGTCTATATGGTAGATATTTTTCAGAAATATGTTGAAAGTGGCACGAAGTTTCGATTTACTATGTTTGTATGTCATAAACATAACTGAAATTTAGGAATATTTGTAACTAGCTATTACCTGCGACTTCATGCGCGTTAAATTGTTACTAAAATATAGCATTGCTATTGAGTATTGCTATAATTGCACTGCATTAGCAAATTGATAGTAAACTTACAGGCTTGGGAAATTTGCGTATTTTATTAATGAAGCCATCTATACATTGCGATGGTGAAATCGCGGGGCGGCAAGCCAAAAAATCAATATTGTTACCAATTTGATGAATATACCATGTTAAATTAAACTAAGGGTGATAAGCACCAATCAAGACAAATCAAAACTAAATTAGTATATTGCCGAAAATGTGTAAAATTAACCACTCTATTCTCTATACAAATAATGCGATGATACTTTTGATACTAAGGCTGCATAGCTCTACTTTATTCGTATATGGAACAACAGAAGTCAGCAGTTTCATATGTTTTGCGAAACATACTAGTTTAGTTTTGAATTCTCTTGAGTGGTGCTCACCACTCTTGATGATATAATTTTTAGATATCGGTAAACTCCAAGCAATTTCAAATAAACCTGAACATGCCATTCAATCCTTCTATCCGGCCATGCCACAAAATCGGTTATTAGCTAAAATGTCTTATCCATAAGCCAAAATTCATGTTTGTAGGTCAAATAGTTTCTGAGATTTTGTTATTAATGTATTTCTTTCAGCTTTTACATATATTTGCTTTTGGCCCCCCTTAATCTAGCCCTGTTGCAAAATACATTTATAGTTGACATTCATTGTCCATGAAATACCTCACTACCAAATAGTCTTTGAAATTTTGTGATCTCTTGATACAGCCTTGTTGCAAAATTAGTTCTCAGCTGTCACATCCTGTCCATAAGTTACCTATGCCAGATTTCAAGTTCAGAGGTCGAATAGTGTTCGAAATAAATTTCTATAAACCTGAAAAGTGATATGGTTCCCCATAGAAATATTCAACCCTGCCCTACCACATCTTGAGGTTATAATTTCTGATACTTCTTGTTAATAATAATCAATTTAAAGATAAAATTGAAGACAAAACATACTCCTACTTTTATTCTGGATTAACTTTAAATGATCTAAATTCTCTACTAAAACTTGAAAGTTGTGAGTTCCACTTTACCCCCTAAGGGGTGGAATTTACAAAAATTTTTATTGTAGAACCAAGCATATGAAACCCATACCTGTATACCTAGATTTAAGAAAATATAATTTCCCCTTATTTCAACCCCTTCAAGTCTAATTTGTCCAACAAAAGGTAGCCTATGTCCATCTCCAGGGTCTAATCCATATGATTACCATATGTAAAATTCATGAAAATTGGTCAGCCGTTTTGTTGCGGAAATTGGAACATACATTCACATTTATATTAGTAGGGGCGCAGACACCTGATGAGTACTGCAGTACTGTATTTGTAATAGACCTTCCTATTCAAACATTGCCTTATAACTTTCAATCCAACATTTTTTTTTCGCAGGCGCCGGTAAAGGAAAATATTATGCGGTAAACATACCCTTAAGAGATGGAATGGACGACGAAGCTTACGAGAGTATTTTTGTCCCAATTATAAGCAAAGTAATGGAAACATTCCAGCCCAGTGCTGTAGTGCTGCAGTGTGGAGCTGATTCTTTGACTGGAGATCGATTGGGTTGTTTCAATTTGACTGTGAAAGGCCATGGCAAATGCGTGGAATTTGTGAAAAAATACAACCTGCCTTTCATGATGGTTGGCGGAGGAGGTTATACGATTCGTAATGTCTCAAGGGCGTGGACCTACGAAACATCAGTAGCCTTGGGCGTAGAAATTGCCAATGAGCTTCCATACAATGACTACTTCGAGTATTTTGGTCCTGATTTCAAGCTACATATCAGCCCTAGTAATATGGCTAATCAAAACACACCCGAATACTTGGAGAAAATCAAAACTCGACTTTTCGAGAATCTGAGAATGTTACCTCACGCTCCCGGAGTGCAAGTACAAACGATACCAGAGGATGCAATAAATGAAGAATCTGATAATGAAGAGAAAGTAGACAAAGACGAAAGGTTACCGCAGAAAGATTTGGACAAGAGGATAGTACCTGAAAATGAATTCTCTGATAGCGAGGATGAAGGTGAGGGCGGTAGGAGGGATAACAGAAGTTATAAGGGAAGGAAGAGGCCTAGGGTGGACAAAACTGGGGAAAACAAAGAGGGAGAAGAGAAGGTGAAAGAGGAAGTTAAAACAGAAAAAAGTAAGTATGCTATACTTATGAAACAGAATTGATGAACTCAAGGGCCAGTGGCAAGTCAAACCAAAGTGTGTCATTAAAATAGATAGTTTTGGCAATCACAAAAATCGCAGATGTAAACATAAATGTTCACCTCATTACCTGACATTTAACTTATATAAATCATAGACTTGAATGTCAAATTATAGTTTGGAAAACTAAAAAAACAACATGGTATAATAGCAGATTGAACTAAAAAGTAGACTACTCAAGTACAGGAGGGTGTGTTACTGCAATAGAAAGTCCAGCAATCATCTATCACTAATTAATTTTGATGATCAATGTGAAAATTAAGATAATCAAAAAATTCGATTATAGTAAACAACTGTGATATTGAATGTTATTATTATTTTTTTAGTTGCTATTTACAAAATCGGAGTTATGAAAATATATAGTTAATTGTACCCCACGCTTTTTTATTACGAGTATAATTGAATTTTTTTGTTAGTATTTTTCTTTTTGTATTGATTTTGTTCCAAATTAATTAGTCATACTTGAATGTTAGAATTTTTATTGCATTAAAACAAACTCTCCTATAGTTGAAATTTGTTTTCTACCTTTTAGCTGTATTTGCTATCAAACCACGTTTTTAGCTTTTTTAAACTAATTTATTGTCTAAATTTTTAGTCTCAAATGACAAAAGTACTGATAATCAAAAGCTTTTATTTTTCGTATATTTTATATGCATCTAAGTTTACTTCCAAATTTTTTTAAAAATCTCCAAATTATTTTACAAAGTTCCAAAATTTCCAATTATTTAACAAATTTTTAAATCTAATTTCTTTCCAAATTCCGATTTTCAAATTTTGAAAAAATTTTCAGATTCGATTATTTTTCAAGGTTATTGTATTGTCATCGGCCTTTGATTCCTGTGCAAATTTTTAATCTGAACTCTTGAAATTGGTGAAAATTAGGTTGACAGATTCAGTTACATGTAGATCAAGCTAATAAAGCATGTTAACAAGGTTTACTTTTTTTTACAGTCAAACAACAAAAATGATGAAATTGACATTGTTTTCAGCACTTATAGTGAATATTGATTATTGTAGATATGCCCAATCTACAACTCATCCTTTGGTTCATCCTTCATGATAACAATGATATTAATTTGTGACTGGTTTAATTACCATCATCACTTCAAAGCTAAAAAACCTTATATCTACTTTTCTTCAATGGCTGGTAAAAAAACTGCATAATAAGTATTGTATTTGTATGGTCAAACTGAAATTGTCTTTTATTGCTGATGATTACAAAGCTGTACTTTTTTCAGCTTCTATGGAGCAAGAAAATAGATGAAAATTCAGTTACTAATTTCAAAATGGTGTGTATTCACAAGGATACTAATATATTGCTTAAATGACAGTAGATAACTCTATGCTTCTGGCTGTCATACTGCATATAGTAGTTAGAAGAATCAATATGCTGCATGTAATAAAATGACATAAGTTATCTACATATATCTTTCTTCAATAGCATCCTATACTCAGTGTCCCATTTTAATGTACCAACTAAAACTGCGCGTTCTAGAAAAAAAGTATCCAACAAATGTTTTTAGGTGTCGAGGGAACAAAATGATGGTAATCTCGACAGTGGCCTTGACTAAAATCTTCAAAGTCATGAATATTTTCAAATGGATACTGGAAAAAATGGATCCCCCCTCTTTTCACATCTGGATTAAAAGGAGCAAATTTCACGTCATGACCTTGATCATCGCCTTCAAGGCCATGCCAAGCTCAAATCAATACAAAGAAAACAATTTGCTCAAGCAAAAATGTTCGACAGCACACTTTTGTGTGGTTTACCCAAAGGTGACCTTTACCATGACCTTGAAGGTCAAGTCAAAAATCCCCAAAGGAAACCCATTATTATACTGTGAATGGAAGAAGCAGGACATGTTTGATCTGAATATAACCTTGTCATTAAATAACATTTAAGCTTGACACGACCTTGACTGTGTCATCTAAAATTTCCTGCTTTTTCCATTTCCATTATAAAAATAAGAGGTTTCATGATCAAGGTCACACAAGTGTGCCGATGGTAAATTTTTGTTAAAGCAACTGGTTTCTGATGTTTTCATTTGATCTAGAAATGTCCTTAACACGTCCCGTGCCATTCCCGCGGTTACGCGCTCGGCTAGCCTTGTTGCCGATGCCTCGATTGCGTTTCTGCATTACAAGGTTTATATGCACTTCAGTTTAGTAAGTCGTTGAGTGTCGATCTGTGCGCATGCACAGGTATCATCGGCAATAGAATAAAAAAAAATAAATCAATCTCACATCTAATGACTTATAATTACACCAAAATGGCAGTTTTTTTTTAAAAAATGGGGCGGCCATCAACCAAGTTTGTAAAGTCATTGAAGGCAGCGAAAAAGTGAAGCTTGTAGTCAAGGTCATTGCCAATATCACCACAATTTTGCACCCTCAAAACCCTACAACTTTCGTTTGAAACTTTCTTTTCTATGATGCACAGTTTTCGAAATATTTAGGTGAGGGGAACTTATTTTATATTTTAACTGGATAGTTTTGTTTCAAAGAATTTGGGTTTCGTTCATTTTGCTTTGTTTATATGTCCATAGTCATGCGCTCTTTCACGACTAGTAACTATTAAATCCAATTACAAAAAATTGTACTGCATCTGCAATATATTGCAGATATTTCATAATACATTTCTGTTAAGTAGCGCTAAGTGGTCGAATGCTTATTTTTTTTTCAATATACAATGCTTGATATATTGATGTTGATTACTATATAAGCTATTACAAAGTATAGGAATAATGCATAAATATTCAAACATTGTATATAAGCAATGATGGGGTAGTAATGCATTAATACTTATTTTATTCCTCATAAGTGCATGTTGTAGATCATGTCATACCTTTTCTCAGAAGTCATTTGGAAATGCCTACTTCATGTTACATTGCAGTGTATTTTGGACGTTTGATTTCAGCAAACAGTGATGAGACAATTATTCGTGTTTTGCTACTTCAATTCCAACTATGTTTTTGTAGAAGTGAACTATTTTCTCATATGACGATGCGACGCATTTACTAGGAAGAAATAATAAATTCCTTACCGCGACCTATACCTTACAGATGATTTCTAAAAAGCTCGAAACGGCATTGTATCCGACTGGTCATAGTTACAGACGGAAAGCAAACAGATCCAGTTCAGTGAGGTTTCTTACTGTTCTGATAACTGTTTATCGCATCGCGTCGACAAGTGGGAAAGGTTTCTATGACACCTCGATTACTGCGAACAGTGAATCAGTCACATAATACCTACTTTATGAGGGAATCTGTAATGCTAAGGTTTATCACTAAGTTTGTAGCGCCATCTCAGGGACATTCTCCGAACCTTTTATAGAACCTATACGAACTGTTATAGAACCCTTCAAAAACATCGAATACCTAGCGCCATTTTTGGACTTCCCTATTACACTGGCGCTAAATTTGAATTAAATATTTAAATTATATATAAGGTATTTTAGGCAAAATAACGCTCAACCTGATTATATTTTTAAAATGTGTATTTTTTTAATACAAGACATAAAAATAACAGTTATGCAAGTTGTTAGGAATCTAAAAGTAGTCGGTATGACCGATGTACTATCGCGTGCATAATAAACTTGAACAGCATCCTATTGTTATCAGGCATGCATTGCCAGGGATCTCTTATCAGTGTGACAGTGCCTTGTTATCTCTTTATAAGGTCATCCATAGTTCAGGAGATATGCAGGTGGTAGTACCTATGTAAAGTATAAAATAACAATCTTCTTGAGAACAAATGAGTAATTAATTTATAAAAGTAAAAATAGGAACATTTTGAATTAAGTATTAAGTTACTAAAAATAAAATTGAAATATTTTTAATAAATTCAAAAATAAATTTCAATGTGTCTGAGCTTTTTCAAAAAAGGAATATACTGAAAGTAACTTGAATAAAAATAAAAATAGCTACCTTTAGCAGTGGCTGAACTTCTAGAAGGAGTAGTTAACTTGATGTCTTCAGATAATCCTGCTTTTGGGCTATAGCTTTCAGCCCAGCTTTCACCTATGAATAAAAAAAATTAAATTGATGGAGTTGAAAACCACACACAAATATTTGACTGAATATTATTTTATACATACAAGTTTGAAAATTTATTTGATTGAATTAAATTTAAGTTTTTTTTTAAACTTAAATGTTTGCAAAATATATCCTGAAACATACTTACATCTAAAATTGGGGGAGTTGAACTCAAGTCTTTAGATGAGCCTGGTCTTGGATGTTCTGAGGAATGTTCAATATTTACTAAACATTTTCCTAATACAGAAGTTTTTCTTTTAGGACTTGTGTGAGTATATTCAGTAGTACTTTGGATGTTACACTTCTCTGTTGCTAAGGCGTCCTGGTTACCTGAAAGTTTTTTTTTTAAGTGTGGCAACTAATAGTTGAAGTAATTATACATACATATTATAGCTCTCACTTTATTAATGTACATTTTGAACAAGTTTCTAATATTTATAAATCTGTCACTATCTAAAGTAAAATAACTATTTTTAAACTTACCTTCTTCATATATGTATAATGTTTTCTTGGACCAACTTGGTGTCTGTTGAAGAACTCTTCAATAGAATTGTTTTAAGGGTCTCTCTCATTTTTGCAGCCAACGGATTAGCAATTTTCCTACTACCTTCTGAGTTTCGGGACTACTCTGAACATTTTCCGAAACCATACCTACAAAAGAATTGAATTTCATTATATGTTTATAATGCTAGTTGTAATTGTGGAAACTGTAAATACTGTGAACGTTGTTAGGATACCAAAATGTTCGTATCTTCTAATCCTGATTATTCACTGACTAGTCTATATATGTAAACAAAGTTATTACTTACTTGAAGATGTAATGTAGGAAAACTTGTTCTTTTCAAACCTCTCTTGGTTCCAGGCATTTTATCACTTTTCGAAAAATGTAAGTCACACACCCGTTTATAAATTTGTTCGTGATTTTTATTGTCCAAAATTGGATCTGCTCGATCCACTTGTTGAAAAGTGCGGCATCATATTTTGGAAATGTATGCCTTTTACTGATTGTATCAGTACAACCAGGCACCACGCACTTTTTAAATCCCCGTTTTCGATAAGCCTCCATTACAAAAAGTAAGTTTGTGAATTGAAATTCAGTTAAGGCTCAATGAATATCAGTATCACCGACACAGAACTGATAAAACGCCGGCGCCGCATACGATTCAACTTTATAATCAACGCGTATATCAACGTCAAAGCATTGAACTGTCAAAAAGAACGGAAAACCTAGTATCAGCGCCAATCTGTTGTTACACTCCGTACTAAGTATATGAGAATATCTGGTTGCCTACAAAACGTACCTTCAAAGTCACTCATTTAACTTTCCCTTGTAAAGTAGGTGTTATGTGATCGCAGTCAAGCAGTTGGCACTGCATAGATGTCAGCCCGCGCATTTGAAGTCCAGTTACCGCGTGACCGGTAGATGGTAACGATTCTATCAAGCTGTGTAGTGGATGTGGCCTACTTGCCATCGAACAAAATAAACGTCTTCTGCTTTCGTCCGTCTGAGCAAAGACAGCCAATCATCGACAGCTATTTCCTGCTTTTTGACTACTCCTCAGCATGATCTAGGTTTGGGTCCAAAGTTGCCAATATCTGATATTCCCCAAGAATCCAAGTCAAATATCCCGAATTTGGGGTAAAAAAAGACTTTGCTACTGACACAGAATTATTTTAAGAAATTAAATATGTTCAAACTCTTCAAATTATGCTGATTATTTTTTTTGTTCAAATCACATTTTTCATTGTATTTGTTTTAATTAAGCATTTTGCTTGATGGATGGAACGTCACACTTTCGCTCAGATTTTTAATCCATTCTCTTGTTGCTATTAGGGATGCTACAGAATCTGTATTTATTCGGTTGCGGTTATCTGCGTTGGATAAAGGCTGCATTAGCAGTACAGATATTACAATTTTTATGTTCCTGAACAATGTGTCCCTTACGATTTTGAAGGCGAAACACTTGTTCCTTCTCTCACTATAAATTACCGTTTTGATGTCTTACCGATTAACGATTGGCAAGCAGCTGACGTACATGACGGATGACGGGCACAGGACAGGGGCGACTGACGTTTTGAAATGATCATTTGGAATGTGGTGATAAGTTTGTGGTGATACATGGCCGGCTCTACTCTAGGTCGAAGCCTTAGCTGTGGCAATGTAGCTTGCCTGTCAAGCTGTGGGCCGGTCGGTCCATTGAGCAGAGTCCAGGACGATTTAAAAAGTATAGAGTTAAACAGTAAAGTCGGCCATGGAAGATAAGATCATCACGCATTTTTTTTATTTGTAACAGACAACAAAAAATTGCGGAAGTATTGCTACCTTGCATTACACCAAAGAAACACTCGTATGGCAGGAAGTTTAAACTTATAAAGCGTCTAAAAATATTGATAAACCTACCTACCTGGTTGAGCGACCGCATTCTAATAATCTAATCTTGATAGTATCAATATTAGCGGTAAGATATCAAAATCCTCGGTATTTTCCTCGCTTAATGTCATAAATTCCCAGTCGACTTGAGATTTCCCGACATTGGGGGAATTCCCCAAAAATTGACAACCCAACTGGGGTCTGTCGGACAAATAACGAAAACATAGCAACTATACACTATACAAAGTACGTGATCTATCGAAATAAGTCGGAGCAAAGCGCCATCTACCACTAGAATCGACCACTGCGAACAGTGAATCACAGCCAACTGGTTGGGACTGTTTGGATCTCAGGCCCAGCCACCTCGTGGCCGCTAGATGGCGATGATTCTAGCTGTGTAGTGGATGTGGTCTACTCGCCATTAAACTGAAGAACAGCTGTCCATGGTTGGCTGTCTGGTCGGACGGACGAAAGCAGAACATGTTTATTTTGTTCAATGGCAAGTAGACTACATCTACTACACAGCTAGAATCGTCGCCATCTAGCAGTCACGTGGTGACTGGGCCTCTAAATTACGAACTGGGTTCTGTACAGTTCCAACCCGTAGGCTGCGATTTATGTTCGTAGCGGTAGATGGCTCTTCGCGCACACTTTGGGTAGTATAGTTGCTATGCTTTCGTTCGTTGTCCGAGAGACCCAAACCCAAGCCGAGACCTGAGGAGTAGCCAAAAACTATGAACTGCAGTGTGTTTGGGCTGTCTTTGGTTGGACGGACGAAAGCAGAGCATGTTTACATTAGTAATATACGCCACGCATTAAAATGAAAGAGTAAAGGTAATTTTTCAAAACGAATCAGAGTAGCATGCTGAACTGGACTATTGTTAATACAAAACTTGACGCTTATTCTATATTATTTACTCGTAGATTTAAAATCGATACTTATAACTTCTTACTACCGCGTTACTAAACCAATTTTTATTTTCCAGGTGAAGAAAATGTAGCAAAATCGATAAGTCCAGATGACACAAAAAAAGTTGCTGCATCTACAGCGTGACATTTGTTACGAACAAATCCATAATCCTAGTTAATGTTTTATACTGCAAATATCAATTTTTGTATTAAAGCACAATTGAATCCTACCTGTTAATGAAGTCTGTGTGATCTTCTTTTGCGAATATCCATTTTCTAATTACCTTTATCAATGCTCACTAGAGACAAGTGATAAACAGGCAGTTGCAATTTTTTAGATTTAACTAAAAAAGCATGGATATCTTTTAATAATTGCCGAAAAATAGTATGTTAAAGATATGTCTCAAATCATCACATGTATAAACCTTTTACGATGTACATTTCATAAAAGTCAAGGTTTATCAGTCAAAAGGCTGAAAAGTATGTGCAATACTGCACGCCGTTATGTGACTTGTTTTACTTCCTATACATGGCGCCGCATTTATCTCGCCACGTAAATATTTCGAAAACTGCATTCGACGAAAAACAGTTTAAAACAAAAGTTGCAGGTTATTGGGTAGTTAGGCCGTCGCAAAATATTTTTACTTGAGTTTTCGCCAACACCAGTGGTTGGCATCTTCAAAAGATGTTCACAGTTTGGAGTCCTGAGAGCTTTTGACATTTCTGCGGTCTTAGCTCATATTTATATGTAGCTCGGGCGGTGGGAGAGCTCTTCGGTAATCCGCGGCTGGCGTCACGCTCGGCTGTTGTTTTGCGATTTGGATGACGCAATTTTCGTATTTTTTAATACTGGTAGCCAGGTTTTGTGTACTTTACACGGACAACTTTAACAAAACTGAAAGTACACAAAACCTGGCTGCCAGTATTAAAAAACACGAAAATTGTGTCATCGTAATGGCAAGACAACAGCCGAGTGATCCCGAAGAGCTCTCCCCATCAACCGAGCCACATATAAATATGAGCTAAGACAGCGGAGATGTTAGTAGCTCCCAGGACTCCAAATTGTGAACATCCAACCAAATAACATTGGTTGATGGCCGGGAAAGCTTTTCGCATTCCAAAAGTTGTAGGGTTTCGAGGAAGAGCAAAATGATGGTGACTTTGACTACATTTAAGGTTCTTTCAATGCCAAGTGAAAATTTTTAAATGCCCCGCACTCTTGATTTTTCTCATCAGAATTGAAAAGAGGAGCAAATTTTACGTCTGAACATCATTGTGACCATTGCCACAAGGTCACGTCAAAATTTCCAAAGGCAACCTTTCAGGAAATTTTACAACCTAATGTCAAATATCATTTAAGCTGGACACGACCCTGACTCTGGGGTCAAGGTCACATTCGGACGTAACATTTCCTGCTTTTTCCATTTCCAATATAGAAATGAGATGTTTCATTTGAAATTTTGGCTTGAAGGTCAAGGTCACCCCTGGGTGATTTCCATAAACCTCACAACTGTGCTGTCCAACATTTTTGTTCTCAATCTTGAAATGACCTTGAATAGCCAAGCTCATGACCAAGGTGGTATATATGACAATTTGCTCTTTTAAATTTTAAAACGTGAAATGGTTTTATTTGGAAATATTCACTTGACCTTTAAATGACCTTGAAGGTCGTAGTTAAGGTCACCATCATTTTGCCTCTTGAAACCCTGAAAGATGTTTTGAAACTTGTTTTCAAGAATGCGCAGTTTTCGAAATATTCAGATGGGGAGAATAAAATGGAACACCATGTATACTGAGCAAACACAAGTCTTGTGTCAATTTGACATTCGGTATATTTGGTTCGGTAGCATTTATTAGTTGAAACAGTTGTCACAGTAACTAACAATCTGCGTGGTGTTACAGTTTACAAAATTAACTTATCTCATTTCGACTGGTCTTTGTTTATCTTTTCTCTGATGAGTGTTTTACGATTAATGTATTTCCACTTGTTAGATCGTACAGTCTGCGAAAATCAGAAGTTCGCTAGTTTTGGACTAAAAATAACGTTGAAATCACTTTAAAATAATCTCCAAATACTCTTCAAGGTCCGGTAGAACATTTTAATTCGAATTTAGATACTTGGCGACCCTCAAACATCATATTTTTTAACAGTTTTTAAACACGGATTTTACCGCACGGTAAGTTGGATCAAAGTTTAGTTTTTTATTATAAATGAGTTTTTTGTCCTAACGAATTTTCTTCAGTTTTTTATCATTCCGAACAAAAAAGCGTTTTAGTGTCGGAAAAACCCTAAATTTGGGTATATCCAATGCCTAAAAACTCAGTTAAAAAATCATAATTCGTTTATTAGTTTATTTTGAACCGATTTTAGGGAGATATTGATTTACGCAGACTGGCATGGCGAATTTATTTGATTTCGCAGTTGCATTGTGATTTTTGTTCTTTGTACATTTACTAGTATTATTATATATATTATTTTACAATTCGATTCGTATGTATGTGTGTGCGTTTGGTTTTGAAAAAAGGATTTTCGTACTCTTATCCGTGAAAAGAAAATAATTGTTCCTAAGCTGAAATGGAAAAGGAACAAATCTTTGCTGGAGTGACGTTCTATTAATTGAACGTTTCTGAATTCAGAATGTTCTATAGTAGAACATTGTGAATATATTTATATTTAAAGAAGTACTGTGAGAATAAATCATTTATAGAGAATGTTGTTTTATTAGAAGGGTTAATCGAAACAAATAGTACCTTCGCACGTCGACAAAGTTTTAATAAAATCAGATTTGATAGAAACTACAAGAAACAATATATGGTGGTTCAATGAGAGTACGTCTATATCTTCTAAAGGTTCCTGATTAAAAAGACATTGAATTTTAAACTATTTATAGCATTTTGAGGTTGATTAAATAATCAGTAATATAATAAAGTAGGTCCACATATGTTCTTTTCAATTTTAGTTGAATCATAACCTTGGGAACCTCTGTAGCGCGGTGGTTAGCATGTTGAGCTGGCAACCCGGGGCTCGCGGTTTCGAATCTTCGCCTCATGTTAATTCCGAGCCATGGATGTTGTGTTGTGTGTTGTCTATATGACGCACGTGGGTGCAATATTAACTACAGGTACATTTCATTGCTGGAGCTGGTTTATTATAAGTTACCAGCAGATGACATATGGTACAATGTCAAAGGTCCTTCCCCATATTTGTAAACGTGTAAAGATCGCAAGCCGAAATTCGGGATGATGAAATCCAAGCATGAACAATATATTTTAGCATAAAAGTTGCAGTTGAAAATTTCTAGATGTCGCTGGGGCGCCCTCTTGGAAGATTTTATAAATGGAGAATGAGGGGTCATGTGATACCTCGTTTTGAAGCTCTTTATGAGTACTATTCACTGCCCCATTTCAATCTAAATATTTCGTAAAGAAGTTTTAAACAAAAGTTGTGAGGTTTCAAGGGCGCAAAATGATGGTCACTGACAACGACCTTCAAGGTCAAGTGAATATTTTTAAATGTAACCCCCCTTTTTCACATGGGATCTCATTTTCGGTCAGAACACCACCTTTGCCATAACCTTGACAGTTGTCTTGAAGGTCACCAAGCTATCCAAAACAATTTGCTCTAATTAAAATGTTCGACAGAACAGTTGTGATGTTTGTGGGAATCTTCCAAAGGCGACCTTGGCCATGACCTGCAAGATCTAGTCAAAATTTCCAAATAGAATACTGGAAATGGAAAAAGCAGGAAATTTTACCTTGAAGGTAATGGTCAAAATCATGATGTTTGGACGTAAAGTTCTTCATCTTCAATTCCGATGTGGAAAAGGCGGTTCTGTTTGAAAATATCCAGTTGACCTTGAAGGTTGTTGTAGTCGAGGTAACCATTATCATTTTGCCCCCTAGAAACCCATCAACATTCGTTTGAAACTTTTGCTGTCTCGACTGCATTATCCATGCTCGATGCTGTCCAAGAGAAGGGCTGCCCGATTTATCGATGACTTTTCTCTAACGGACAGTTTTGGGACCCTTTCGCACCGACGGGCCGTCGGCGATCTAGCTCTCTTCTACCGTTATATCAACAGGGTTAGATATGCCAGATGGACCCGCCTGACTTCGGCCTCCCTTTATAACCATGTTGAACTTCGTACTTTTCCCAGTTCTACTAACCTTAGGCAGTTTAAAAATCGATTTATCAAAGTTTCTATAATCTCCTCACAGCAGCTGCGGTGCCCTGGAATTTAGGCTCCTATAGTATGTTCTAAGTGGCGCCCTGTTGAAATTGTTACATGTCGCTTTTACCATTGATTAACATATACTCGTAAGTGCATCAATTTCAGCACACCGAATTTCAGCTTGACTAGTAGGTTTGTTAAGCAACTCCCGAAACATACAATACGAGTAGTAGGTCCTGCATAATTTACGTTTAAACAGTTTTTATTATATTAAAAAAGTAATCGCACGTGCCACAAGAAAATCCTACAAGACATCCGCGAATATCACTAGTCACTGTCTTGGATAATACTTTTATGTAAATCTAGTCTAGCGACATCACACTTTCAACAGACCACCTGTTTCTTTGGGGTAAGCTTGGTCCTCCTAAATAGCTTATAGGGTTGCCAAACTTTCGTTGATACTCATTCAGAAACACAGGTTTTAAGCTTCCTCTTGGCATGCAGTTCTTCGCTTCCGTTGTTTTTGTTTGAAAATTATTTGGAGATTCCATTGTTTCGATTCCATTAGGTTTACTTAGTGGTTGTAGTTCACTATCTTGAGCATCTGAAAATAGTTATAAATTATTTTCATGCCATGGTCTAAATCCGCTGGAGGTACCAAAATCTAAAAACCAAGTAAAAAAGAACGAATTGCTACGGTTTTAACTTCTTTATATTATCAGTATTGCTTTGTCATAAAGGGGTTATTTAAAGGCCAATGAGGGTTAGTATGTTTCGTTTCTCTTCAACATTTTAAAATAGGTTTTTGCATAATTAATTTTGCGACTGCCAAATGTTCTAGTCTCAATGACATATTGCCATAGTTTAATCAATCAATCAATACGTGTGTTCGTTGTACTGATATGCAGCGACCCACGTCCGCTCTGGGTAAAGCGATATTCTAATCCGGTAACTATAGGAGGAGGACGAAGAAATGTCGTAGTGTCCGCACGACACATTACCTCCTTATCCGGTTATTAAGATTTTCGGCTGGTAGTCGGAATTTCACTACCAGACGACGGTACAAGACGTGTGCTATACATATATTTATATTATGTACATCTCTGTAGTGTGCCGCTTGCGGTGATGCTGTGTGCGTATACGAGTATGAAGCGCAGACACATGAACACCGACATTTCGATCGCACATTGCGGTACTCGGATACTGTTCCCGAACCAATCCTGGCTGAGGGTCGTAACAATTTAAAAGTATGCTCGGTTTCCCTCCTCCTTATCTCTTTCCGAGACAGATAGGTGAGAAACGTCGTAGTGTGTTGGATGTAGACGCGGTGCGACGCAATTATATATTTTTTTATGTAATATCGTAGTATTATTGAAACTTGTATAGATTTACTCACCCATATCATCGTCGAGATCTTCAATTTCGTTTGTCATGAGCTTGAAATAAACAAATACTTATAAATTTTAACACACAAATACACCCTTAATTCCTAAAATAATGTATTATGAGCTAACGAAAACAAAATCAGTCTATCACCTAGAATTGACAATAGCCTACAGCGTAAGCACTGATTTTCCTTTTGAGTGAATTATTTTCACATAACTGCCATTATGAAATGATTCTTCTTGCAAAGAAAGCAAACCAAAGCCATTATGTGCGTTTTCGTCCCATTTGGGCAGTAGTGGATGCGAGACAATACATCTAATGGGAACACAAATTCATGAAACAGTAGAAGACGTTAGCGTTGAAATGCGTCTGTTCCCGGGTCGACATGTCGTTTATTCCACAAGTGGTTCAAAAAACAGCTGTTTTCAAAAAGCTGAACTCATATCAGCGCTGAGGCGCTGTGTCGATTTTATACTCTACGCAATGAGGAAGTCTCCTATTTTTTGAAATACCCTTAAAATGCAGTAAAGTGTAAGTACACAACTGACACATTTTTAATATCTTAAAAAATGACAAAGTTATGCTACCCTGAAGTTTCTTATTTGGAGAATGATCTTGTTTGAGCGTGAGACTGAGTGATGACGTCATATTATACCAGCTACAATCGCCACCACAAAGCGATGCGGTTTACGGTAAAAAATGGGTCAGACCTTCGGATTAGAAATACTGGATTGTACCTAGATGTACAAATACAACCATATCAGCTCCAGGAAAACGTTTTTTCCTTGTGCCAAAACAGAAAAAATAGAACCACCTCTTAAGGGAATATCATCATTAGTACTGCTGTTAATCTGATGTTGATGTATTTAGGTATTAAGTTAATATTGAATGAATGATTATAGTAATTATTAGTGTGTACGTCTTCTGTGACCGAAAAACAACCTAATTGGTGTAAACGATAATAGAGATAAATTTGATTATTGCTTTTCTTTCGAGATAATGTGAATATTGTTAGTCATCATGTTGTGGCTGGAGGTAAAAGTACTCCTTGAACCCTGTCTGTATCGACCTGGAGATGCAGGAACCAAGAAACCTGGCCAAAAGTGTATAACCGTTTTGAAATAATCCGCTGTATTAAGGTGTGGCAAAAGGGATTTTGGAATCGAAGGTATATATAATTACTATGATATTGCATTGTATTTCTTGCCAATCGACACATGATTCTATACGTAATTGATGTTTTTTTCTGAAATTAGTAAATTCAAAAAGCCCATTAGAGTCCACTCTATTTCGAAAAGTAGCATGTTTATCAGACACTCATTTAAGAAATATATTAATTTTGGCTGCAGCTGTTTGCATAATAAGCAATTATGCGACATTATACAGTAGTACATAAATTATATCGTAGATATGATTTTGTTTGTACAATTTAGTCAATCTTTCTATGGCAATATTTTAGGACTTTTGAACTAGATCGCGTGTGAGCTGATTCATAAATATTAATGCGTGCCAAAGCTTAAAAGTATCGCATAGTACATTTAACCATTAACCAATATTATGTGCACCTTTGGAATATTAGTGAAATGTATACGCAGAAAACCTTCTTCCACTTTTATTAATTGTATATCTATAATATCGCAGTCTATGCAAAGATACAAACAATATATTGTGACTGATCAGCTTAACCGCTAAGGATGAATGGGATATGCAAAGGACCTCTAGCTGCGTCAGTGTAGGCTAGAAGCCGAACTTATGTAATATGACGTCACGACCGAACCTTGACGCGCAGTGGCGGTCGGCTACAGTATCCAACACAAAAAATAATATAACTTACTTAATGACATATACGCAAGTAGATCTAGCGGTATTTTCGATTACAGGAAACTTCCTAATTATAACTCGTATTCATTCATTACTCGTTAACCTTAACGTTATATGCTTTTTTGTACGTCACTATCCGGATGAGTAACAAAGGGTATATTAACCGAACAAATGGTTTAAAATCTAACAAAATACAGTTGTTTATTCTACTATTTAACATGGTTTCAACCTATTACAACTTTTACGTTGTACAGGGTAGCGACATAGTGAAATGGTAGGTAGCATGGACCGAATTTTCATATCTTAAAAAAGTTCCGACTTTATCTAAACACGCGGTACCTTTAATATCACATAACACATCTCAGGCACAACTGAACTGATTTTGATGAAATTTTGTAGCTACTAGGAATATCGTAAAACTAGGGTGGTTGAAAAGTCTAAACTTTTGTCTTTCTATCAAAATCAACACGCACCTTTTAAGCTGAACATTAAAATGTATTTGTAAAAAATGCTTATGAATGGTGTTTACTAATTAGCATCACATATTGATTGCGACTCTTGGTTTTTTAGTTGAACATTTTTTGTTTCAAATATGTCATGTTTATCAGTTTAAGTGACACCAAACTTAAAATTTCAAACGTTACCAACTTGATTTCATCAAAATTTTACATTATAACGCTTAAATTTTGCCAAAATATGTTTCGGGAATTCCAGGCATTTTATATATATATACATATATATAGAGAATATGATCATGCGGAGAAAAGTATATAACAACAAGTAGGAAAATAATGGGCAAAATCCGCAAAAAGGAGGAAAGTGGATTCGAGCAGAAAATAGGATAGGTAACCCGAGCGATACGTATTTCTGCTGGTTGGCTTCATCAGGCCCGAAATGAATGCACATATGAAACTACAAAAGTAAATACACATGCCCACACATCCGGATACGGGTGTAACCTGAGGAAACGAAGTTGGAGGGAAAAAAAAACGACATACAAAGTCCACAACAAGAGCCAACCTACACATTGTAGTATAAAATGGCTATACGACCTCGAATTTTCAAGGAGACGTCTAACCACCACCACGCGGCCGGATATAGCCACTTGCTGTGGGCTTGAAGTGTGCATTCATTTCGGGCCTGATGAAGCCAACCAGCAGAAATACGTATCGCTCGGGTTACCTATCCTATTTTCTGCTCGAATCCACTTTCTTCCTTTTTGCGGATTTTGCTCATTATTTTCCTACTTGTTGTTTATATATATATATATATATATATATATATATTATATGTGGAGATATTCACAGAAAAAAAAACAATAAATAAAATAAATGAAAGAGAATATTGATGTAATGCACCCTATTTGCTTTTTTCATTAATTTTTTGATGATTTAATTCTACCAACTGATGTTCTGCTTTAAAGGCAAATGCCATTTAGTATGCTAATGCACTGAATGCAACTTTCCAGATCAATTCAAAATTAGTTAGTTTACATGCCCTCGCCACAAAATCCTATGTTAGATTCAATTACATAATGCACAGATGGTATCTACATTATACGATTAAATGCCAAGCCAAACCTGCATACTACGTTGTGTTTATGCAAAACTCATGTGATTATATATAAGTTAGTAGAATTACACTATTAAAAAATTACCACAAAAGGTGGTAAATAGGATGCATAATAATAATTTTGCCATTTATTTATATCATTTGTTGCCCCTTTCCAGCAAAATAATTAAAAATTCAGAGTATAACTTACAGGACGTTGCAATTATTAAAATACAAATAAATAAAAAAAAGAAAAACAAATCCGAGCCTGGAATTCTGAGTTTACAAAACCTACACAAACCACCCTATATGCGTTAAAAATTAATTCAAAGCTTTTTTATTTTCAGGTATGAAAAAGGCTTCGGTTCATACTAGCTATCATTTCAGTATGACTATTTTAGCCCGATACACCCAGTATAAACAGCCCTCACAAGATACGACCAAACCACCAGTCAATAATTTCGTCTATTTATAGGTACACTTATTTTGCTAAACAAGCAAAACTAACTGGTTTTAGTGTGTTAATATAAGTTTTCGGTGGTATTTTGTGACTAGATTCTTATACAGAGTGATCCAGATATATATCAAGAGAAAAGGATTATGCGGGGAAAGGTATATATCAAATAGGGAAATAATGAGCAAAATCCGCAAAAAGAAGGAAAGCGAATTCGAGCAGAAAATAGGATAGGTAACCTGAGCGATACGTATTTCTGCTTTCTTCCATCAGGCCCGAAATGAATGCACATACGGGTATAACCTGAGGAAACGAAGGTGGATAAGGAAAAAATTACACACAAAGTCACCAACAAGAGCCAACCTACACATTATAGTATAAAATGATCAAAATACCTCGAATTTTCAAAGCGCCATTTAACCACAACCACACGGTCAAAGAATCTACAGCTTCTGGCCATTCTATACTACAATATGTAGGTAGGCTCTTGTTGGTGAGTTCGTGTGCCATTTTTCCCTCTCCATCTTCGTTTCCTCAGGTTACACCGGCATCCGGATGTATAGGTATGTGTATCTAGTTTCGTAGTTGCATATGTGCATTTATTTTGGGCCTGATGAAGCCAACAAGCAGAAATACGTTTCCTATCCTATTTTCTGCTCGAATCCACATTTTTCCATTATTTTTCTATATAGGAGTCCAATTAAATTAACAGGGGTTATGTAAATCACAAAACGTGTATCGATTTTGAAATGTAAATACATAAACTAATAATGCAACCATACACGCTTTCGTATGTCAGACATTCAGCACATATTTTTTCTTCGAATCCATGAATCATCTCTGTAAATTCGTGCCGTATTAATATACATCTAATGAAAAATGAATTGATCTAATTACTTAGGCTATTATAGTTAGTAAAAAAAAAACAAGAATCACACCACCTTAAAGCTAACACTAATCAGTTCCCAAGCTTCCTGTTATGCACAATTTCCCAATTCGTCGATCATAAAAGGCAGAGGCTTTGCTAGTGGATTACTGTTGGGTGGAGGTTGTCTCAATCTCCTAGCTGAAGGTGTTAGAGGTACTGGTATCGCCTGTTTGAACAATGTTACGTGATAATAATTAACCAAAACCGAGACATCAGTTACAATGAACGATGAACCCTGAGCATGCAATCGGTTTGAAGCATAGTACAAAAAGGACACGAATGTAGTCGAGAGAAAAAGTACACCAATTTTCGTCATAAAATTGCTATCCTTGTCGTTGCACAAAACAAGCAGAAGGAAATTGGGGACATGAAGTCATCATTGGTAGATGCAGTTGTTTGAGAGCTATGATCATTATTGCACATGTTGTTATTAATATTACCGTATCCCGCATTTTTTACATTTAAGTAATAAAATGACTTAATATATTTCAACATTATACTGCATTCCTATGGAACCTAAACGAGTCACATAAAGCATGTTGTAGCAATAATTTCCAAACCGTTTGAAACTGCCAAATACTGTAGATCGAGTCACTTCGCAAAAGACTGATAATCAATAATTTCTAATTGTCTGGCCAGAAATTTGGTTGCCAGAACATCTCTCCAACGTGCTTTGATTAAGCCCAAACAGCAAGATCGTTAATAGAAAGCTTTTTTTTAGATAAACAGGCAACTAAGAAAGTAGAAGTTTGAACTGCTTACAGGTAGTTGTAGACTTGAGTCAGAGAGAGTTGATTCGCTGATAGTGCTTAGGGGTGCAATGCTTTCTGCGTTTCTTTTACTTACAACTTGTGAATCGGCTGTTTCATCTGTTTCTTCCTCCTCTACTTCTTCTTCATCTTCCTCGACAACTTCCGGCATTGGGCTCAGAAGATCAGTACCTTCTTCGCCATTTTCCCAAGACAGCTCACTGGAACTGTCTGTAAGGGAAGCGGTTACATGTCGGAAAGTTATATGAGACTTATATCCTTTGATTTTCATAAATGTATTCTGGAATTCCTAGTACATATTACGTTTGAAGCTGAATGTTCAAATTATACCCAGAAGTTGCTATCACCTTCTCTTTGTCACATATTCTATCTTAACTATCCTCTTAGTTATAACATACATGAGTCAACTAATACCTCACGTCACTTAACGTCAATATGAATCGGAATTTTGTAGTTTGGAAATAATTTTCGATATTCCGATCCCCCTCATAAGAAATGTAATAGTGTTCCACCAAATTACCTCTAAAGCTAATTCTCGGGCGTTTTTCTCTTTCTCTTTTGCTATCCGCCCTTTTTAATGGTTTTCCTTCTTGCTCTTGTTTTTCTTCAGACACAACGAGATTTTCACCTGGAGCTTCTGTTAAGATTTTTTTACCATTGGCAACGATTACACTTCCAGAATGTTCAGTTGGTATCTTTCCATTTTGATTTGGTTGTACTGAATCAGTGGTATCTCCTACAATCTACGCATAAAATAAACGGTAAAGCATATCCACAGTCACACACCACGTACAAAACCACGGTTTAAGCACAATGAGCAAAATCACACCTTACATTTTAGGACACAAATCTAATTTGATTTTTTTGGTGCTATCAGGGCGGAAGAAATTTCAAGTCCGAAGCCTACTCAGCTCCATACCCCTACAGGGGCCTAACTTGGAACCAGTTTTATTTTTGTCGTGAAATTTTGAATCGCTGACGACATGAACTATTATGGATATTCAGGATTGATTTACACGTGGAGTTGAATAGTTTTGAATAGTATTACATTGTCAACAAATTACATCTAAACACCAAGTGCAAGGTTGAAACCTATACGAGTAGTAGAAAAAAGAGCCTTCATATTTTCAAATTTAATACTGATGGTGGTTAGATCTGATTTAATCAAAGATTTGGGTGTTCCTTATGACCAAAAATATAATATTTGCTCCTCATATTTCTTAAAAAGGCTCAGATGCTCTCAAGTGATATGGTTTCCTTGCCAGGAACTGTAGACAGTTTCACGACATAAGGGCTTAGAAGGTATTATATTTTACGTAAGTGCGTAGAAAGTTTCAATATGTTAGTGTTATATGGAGCCCGTGTTACTAAATTTATATAAACGAAATTGAAAAGGTTAAAAGAAGATCCCTGAACAAGGAGTTAGCAATGGTGAGCTGTGTGACATTTGAAATTCAAAGCTTGGAGTTCCAAACAAAGGTGAAATCTGCTATATTTCTTTTTAAACTATTACATTGCATTATGGATTTAATATCAATGTATCTCCGTTTTCTTCTCCCAATTATGTCACTTTTAAAGCATCTAAAGCTAGAACCAATATTTTAGTGAAGCCACCAATGCATGTTATGTGTAAGAATCTTAATAGTGTAAGCTGTCATTACGATATATTTATATGCTCTCTTATTGTAGTAATTAGAATGGCCTATTAGTACATAAATAGATTTTTTTCATTCACTGTCGTAGACTATTAATTTAATTTGTTCATTTAATTATCCTGTAAATAGGTGACTGTTGGACAATAAATGCTATTATTATTAACTGCCACAAAAAGTTCAAGATCATAAAAAGTTGCAGACATACCGTTTTGTTGTTTTCTTGCAATAACGCAGCAGCCTGTTGTTTTGATAGTAATATACTGGCATCCGTTTCGTACTCCTTTTTCTCTCTATATTTTTTCTCAGTTCTGTACAAGTGATAACAACAAATCACTATCACTAGAATAAAAAACGATCCCAAAACTATGACTATAATGTTTTCTCGTCCATCTTCTTCTTCTGTTGTGGCAGAATATATCGACGTATAAAGAATTCTCTGAGGCGCATCTTGAACCCATGTCTTGTCCGTCCCCTACAATATACTTGTTTTTAATAATTTAAAAAATAAGCTGGATAAAGTTCGATTTGACGGATCCACGAATTGAAATGTTATAGAAGTGTCGACGCGTGGCACTAGTGCTACTAAGATAACCAACTATATCTTTAATTAATAAGGAAATCACTTACAAAATTGCAAGATTATGGATTTAAAGGATCTATATTCGAAATTCTACACAAGTACTTGACAGAATGCTTCTAAAACAAAATGTATGCTAATAGGGAAATACTTGAATACTATCACATTTAGGATAAATGGTGAAATAATTAGAAAAGTTGAATCAATAAAATATTTGGTTATACATATATATTGATAGTAAGCTAACATTTGAGGATCACTATAATTATTTCAAAAATTGCCAAAAAAAGAAACTACTTTTATATGGCTTCTCACATAGCCAGCACATATTCCAAGAAATAGTTATATTATATTTTATTATTAATATTTGTATGTAATGAAGTTGTTGTAGTTTTAAAACGAATGTAATAGTAGCAATCATACTAAATAAATCCTAAACAAACAAACTGAAGCAGTTTAGAGGAGTTTAACGTTTTGCGGTGTAAACATACTTGACTGATATTTAGATTGGTAGTTCCTGGTGTTTTTTCATGAATAACATCAAAATCTGCGCTACACTGCGCACTCCTAACTCCATGCTGATTCGATACATTCACTTTTTCAGTACCAGTTTTTGTGAACAGCATGTACTCTTCCAAGGGCTTCATGACATGTTCATTTACTTGTATGAAAATATCTATAAAAATATATATTTTATTCACGCATAATCAATGAGTTTTATGTCGAAACAATTTTTCAATTATCTGCTCCACTCACTTGACAAACATCCACTGTATCTCTTGTAAATCGCAAATCTAGGATCGTTGGTGTCATGTCCACCGATCTGAACCTCGTTGGCTCCTTTTTCAGGAATATTCGTGAACGTCTGGGCTGGTATTTGCTTCATGGGCGTCAGTTCCCTGTCTACATATAGTTCAGACTCGTTAAAATCCCTTCGATACCATACGGAATGCCTTGCACCGTTAATGAAATTCTTCTGATTGACGGTTGTAGAGAAAACTGCTCCTTCCCTATCTTCTTGTACAGTCAAATATCCTTCTAGGCTTAGGCCCACTAGTAAGTAATAACTTCGGCTAAAAAAATGTAATAATCGAAATTATACAGACTTCACAAATGCATATGTGAATATAAATCCTTGAACATATTAGGCAACTGTAGATTAACTTACTTGTTCTCAGTTTGTAGTAACAACAAAACAGTGTTCTTCTGACTAACATCCACGCTTGAAAATGCAAGCTGGAACTTGACATGATCTACGGATCCATTCAGAACGTACTCTCTCCACAAAATAGACTCGCCGTTAAATTCAGCTCCTTTTTCCTCTGAACAGAATTCTCCATAGTAGCTGGTGTGCTCACAATCGCAAGTATGCTTTTGGTTTCGGAAGTCTTCTATGCATATACCTTCATGTTTGCATGGTACGTCGTCGCATTTCATGTTGCAGTGAGGTATCACTCCTATAAATGGTCAAAATCCTTATGATTTCCATAAGCATGAGACAGCGCTGTACACCGCTGATTCTCTGTTGGTCGGGCAGAACAAAGCAGTATATATTATACCGCCAAAATCGACGGCATCAAATCGGTCAAATGAGTAACCTGTACAGTTAGTTCCAATAGGTAGCTGATTCTGGTAATATATGGCACTTATGCTGTCGTATTTCGATATTCAAAATACTTATTACTATAATATTCCATAAATATAGCCTACCTACATTAATTAGAAGATAGAAAACGAATATAGTGTCGGTAGGTGAATATTCAATTTCGTAGCAGACGGCAAAATGGACAAGGTTATTCTGGTCAAGTCGAGATCCTAGATCTACTATAACAAGCTCAACATCAGCAAACCTCAAGGTCAAAGTTATACACAGCTACGTATGCATATTTTTATTGGATGTTTAAAGAATATTTGGGAACATTGGCAACATTCAGATTTTGGTTTTTTATATTGATTTTATTGGTCGAATATTTTTTTATACTCCAGCTACGAAGGCCTAAGGCCTAAACACCCATGGGGTACCGTGGGGCTATAGGGGGATACATACAGGAGAAAAGGGGGAACGCCACACGGACTCTAGCGAGGGAACACGTGTGCATGCAGCATGCACACATTCTGGCCCCGCCTACGAGATCCACCAGGTGGTACCTCCGCGTACGACAGTCAGATGCAGTCTACCACCTTCGACAATCACAACCTCCATAGCCAAGAAAAAAATTTCTCTTGGGACGGGATTCGAACCCGCGCTTATATTTCGAAAACTATAAACTTTATAGAGAAGTTCTAAATCAAACTTTTGCTCAGAATGTCCCAAAAAAGCCTAAACATGCTTTAACCGGATCGAAAAAATTTTTTTTTAATTTGTTTAAAAAATCGATGCAAATTTGGGCCAGGCACTAAGCAAAAGGGGCCCTTTTTGATAAGATTATGTAAAAAATCTGAATCAGAATATTTTTCCCATCAGATGCGAAGATATTTCCCAGACTATGAGAAACTTCTAATTTCAGATAACCCTAAAGTCCTTATGTCCTTTTATAATTTCGATGAAAATTTCACAGAACTGTTTCTTAATGAGCTAATTTAATTGGCCAAACCTACAAATTGACAATCTTTACGAGATGGCCCTGTAACGAAGTCTATATTTGTGTTTTACAGTAAATGTTTCATTAAATGATTACCTTTCTCAGAGTCACTAACTTTAGAAGGCAAATCAATCATCCAATCTCCAATTTTCAAGCCTCTTAAACATCCTACGTATCCAGGTAATTTAGGAGGATCGTCGGAAACTTTAAGTAGTGTTTCTGGATCAAATCCTCCAAGATTTAGTTGGAAGTATTCTGTAGGTGGTGCTGGCGGTCTCTGTGGTGCTAATACCTCTGCGAGTATAAAACAAAATCATACATCAATATTGCAAGAGTAAAAAACCTAGGCAATTACAATGATGATTTCATTATCCAGATCGTCAATTATTACATAAAAACCTTTTCTAACTGCGCCCATGTTCATAACTTTTCATAATGCCAAACGCGTCTCGAGCACTGGATGAACGCTAAAATGACATCTGGTAATAGCTGCGATATGCGTCATTTCTTTTTACTTTACATGATGTTGAGCTACAGCGTCCAGTATTTGTTAGCCAAACGTAGTATCCATGGCAACTTTCCCAACACACATGTCATCACCGCGCATTTACCATTTTTACAACATAAAAAGTGCGCTATTTTACGTGCTTTCAACATCATTAAGAGAAAATATTCGCATGATCAAATAAAATATGCCCTAGTACAGCTATTACAGAATAAGTGTCTTACCTTTCTCAGGATTCACCCAAGGTTTGTTTGAGTATTTTTCCAACAGTTTCACACCTAATGGAATTGTGACGTTTTGATCATTAACGTACATCGTAGTTTTGTTCTCATCCCTTTGTATTGCTATCTGTGTTGATTTGCTTGTATTTAACTGAGCATAGTTCACTGTTAGATTGTGTATCTCATTCTCGTAGTTGAACAAGAAGACTACTTGCGTTCCATTGTCAATGTATAGATGGACAAAGTTGTTAAGGTGGTCGTTTGCGTAAAATATCAATGCTACTTTCCCGTAAGTCCTGAGATTCAATAGAATTTGACGTTTGAATATATTTGTAAGGACGGGCTTTTCAGGATCAGTGTCATTGATGAGGTAGTTTCTTCGGAGGAAGGATTCGGGGTGAGTGAATGTTACAGCATTAGTATTTATATCTGAAACGAAAAAATTAAACAAAATGTGAAACAGATTAATTACACCGCTCAACACTGAAAATGTTTCGGGTTCAAGAATTTCCGAAGCACTTTGGTTAAACACAAAAATCACCATACAAAGTTCAGATTAGTTCTTCTTTTCAATATATAGAACCTGCTTTGGAAATAAAATCTCACTAGGGATTGTACCCCGGGCAAAAACAGCGAATTCTGAGAAGTTGAAATGACAAATGCTCTGAAGTAGGTAATTACCCTTAATTTTCATAACATCATAGAAGGCAGATAAGTAGGTAGAAATACTGAAAACGGCCTACCTCGATTATCAGTCAGTATATTTTTGACTATTGTGCATTGACGGTTTTTTAGTGTTTTATAAGTTATTTTGTGCTTTTTTGTAAACAATATTTTGATGTACGTTTTAAGTAGTTCTTCAGGTATGTAAAAAAAAGTTTTCATCTTGAGTTTTTTCCCTCAAAACTGTGGAGCTGGAAGTTATGAGCAAGGTGAAAGATTCCACCAATATATATCTAGCATGTTACGTAAAACACGAGTCAATGATCGTTGACGACTGCTGGACTCTTACAAAGATGCTCCGGATTCGACGTACAAAAGATAATCCAAAGGAAACCTCAATCCTGACAGATTATTATTATTACTTTATTGAAAATTACTTCTTTTATCCGTTGGATAATTTTTTAAATTTGTAATTATAAATTACACACGATATTCAATTTATCTTTAAATCGATGTATATAGTGAACTGCTGTGAACGTTAAAAACAAGTGCAACTAGAAAATTTTATAGCCGCATTTATTTGTCTCGACCCGAAATTATTTTGATTCAACTAGTTAGAACCAGGAAACACATTTTCTTGTTTGCCAGTCATTTCGAATATCTTTTCTGATAAGTGTCTGATGTGTAGTATATCTTTGTAATATTTTTGTCCTCAAAATTACCCGATGATCGTAGAAGGATAGTGTCACGCTCCACCCTGACATAGCTCGAATTACCTTTTTAGTTTTACTATACCTACCGATATGTCTACATAATCAATGTTTACCGGATAAATAGTAATTTTTACTTGCTGAACGAATAAAGACAGATTTATATATTTTCCAGATGTCCAACTGTGAGGTCAAAATGTTCAGTGATGTTCTGCAATACTGATTACAACAAGCTTTGGTTTGACAGCAAAATCCATTCAGCATTATGGGATTAGGTGGGCTTAGAAAAGTGTACTTAAAAATAATAAAATTGTGCATCGTTGGAAATACGCTTTAAGTTCATATTGTGGAGAACATTTATGTAATTTGACACATATTGTTAAATGCACAATCGCTGATTTCTAAAATAACAAATACTCATGATCGCGGATTAACGCTATAGAGTCAATACATAAACTCTTAAGTATTCACTTACTCGTTTCACAATGTATACCACTGTAAGCCCAAGGATTAGGACAGATACATTCGAAGTTGCTCCACAATTCCTTGCAATGCGCTCCATTCAGACAGGGATTCGGTACGCAGGACGGTTTGCAGTCCTTTATTATTTCGCTTAAATGAACACTCATATAACTGTAGATGTCCAGAATTTCTTCATTCACTACCAATCCTCGGAAGCATCCAATCAAACCTTGGTGGACTGACGATTTTGGATCCAAAAGGTCACTAGAAGAAATAATAACTTGTATGACAATAATGGGACGATTCTAAGTCCGACAAAAGCTTCAAATATCCATATTCTTTGCTTTGTAGCAGCGTAACTTTATAACTTTTGTTGTGCTAACTTCTCATAATAGGAGATATTTTTAAAAATCGATGTATTGGCGACGGAATGAGGTGTATTCCAAAATGCCCCAAAAGGTATATAAAAACGAATACCTCCCTGAAGATGAATCCTGCCACCATCACGATAAAATTGATAAATAACATCATCCTCCAATATTCCTAAACTTGGTCTTTCAAAATAAGACAGCACAAAGTGCTATCTATAAGCAGAATCGACCACTGCGAAAGATAGACCTGTCCATACTCTGAATAGAGTAGAGTTGCTCAGCTTTCGACTGTTGTCCACCGAGACCAAGCCTACACTATATTGAGGAGTTACCAAATAGTTGTCCATGGTTGACCAAACGAAAGCTGTATTACTAGTTCGTTTCTCAAGTTTTGGAATAATCAATTTTCAAGTCCACGTATCGTCAATTTGTATGGAGATATAACCTCGTATTTTTATTACAAGCTTTTATTTAACTTGACCTGTCTGTATGTTAGTGTGGATCAAATCTTGGAACTGAAGTTTGAACCAGTGAGCTGAAATCATGTACACACGTTTGGTTCGCATGAAAAAAAAATGAATTATACTTTTCAGAATCACCCGTATGATATGAGTATCAAAATGAAGGGGCTTCATGAGAGAAACACAATAAGCAAAATGTTATTCCAAATCCAATAAGGCGACCTCTCAAGATGGCGTTTATAATTACCGTAGTTACCCCTATGATACAGGTATCAAACTAAAGAGCTTGATGAGGGAAACATAATGAACAAAGTGACGTCATCCCAAATTCAAGATGGCGGCTGCCGATGGCGATTAATAATTTCCATGGTCACCGCTATGATATTGGTATCAATTGATAGGGTTTAATGAGGGAAATACAATAAGCAAATGACACCCTTATAAATTCAATTGCCACAAAATATCGATTTATAACTGACAAAATTTTATAATACAAATAAAGTAAGAAGTTTTATGGAGCTCTGTTAATGAAATATATGAAAATAATATAGAAATTTCCAAGGAAGTTACTTAACATCATGAATACTAAAAAGTAAAAAATGAATACAAAAAATTGACCAAACATTTAAAATTTGTTTTTCCGATTGGAAATATTTAAACGATAATAAAGCTCTTTCAAGTTTTTAAATAAAAGCCGTGTTAAGTTTTGACAGTAGGTTGGAAAAAGTGTGTAATACGCTTTTATTTGAAAACTTGAAATGAAGGACCTTCATTATTATTTAAATATTTCCAATCGGCAAATATTGTAAAATTTTTAGTTCATTTTATCAACAGCTAAATAAAAGCTTCTTTTTAAAAATCTGTTTTTTTATTTTATCATTAATTTCTCGTGTCCGTAGTTCTTTTTACGTAAAGTCTCGTAAAAACTTATATGGTTATATTTATGACTGCGCAGTTTGAAATGGATTTATTTGATGCGTTACGACTGTGAAACTACCTCACAATGCAGTTCTTACCTAGGACCACCGCCAATAAACATTGATCCCTCAAATGGTCCGAATTCCTCTTCGGGTTTCAAATTCACCATTTGGGAGTCCTCATTGATCATGAACCTCACATGATATTTGTTATAATCTATCCACACTTTATGCCATTCACCCCCATTTAACTTCCTACCGGATATAATCACCAGTTCCTTGGAGACACCGGTATTCAATGTAAAATTGAACGTTAGCTGAAAGTCTACAATTAATTATAATAAAATAAAAACTCTAGATGATCAGAAGAAGTTTTACTTACCACTACTCAGGGCGACCATGAAGCTAGGATAGTTAGGTCGAATCGGTGGCTGATATAACAGGATTGCTTTCTTGCCGGTTGTCCTGAAGGAGAATGCCAAGTCACCTTTTCGCCAGCCAGGCACTTCTATGTAAGACTGGCTGGTGGTGAATGTAACGACGTATCTTTGAGTATCTGTTAAATAAAATGATAAATTTGAAGATGCAAACATATAAAACTGATAGAGGAACCTCTAGACTCTGCACTTCCCACACAACGCCATCAGTTCATAGAGGATCATGTTCATCACAAGTGAGACCCTATGTCGAAAAAGTTAGTTACGAACGAACGAATGTAACTTAAAAGGATCAAGTCAGTCACTCCACGATATCTAACCGCACAACGAGGCAGTAGGGCTAGAACACTTACCAAGGCTGGCACGCTCGTCGGTCATCCCAGATAGCAGAAACAGGGATGCGTATCCAAAGCATTTCTCTGTCACTCCAAGTTTTAATAGCTGGGACATTTATGATGTGTACAATATGTCTAATAGGTATGTAGAATTGCCGAACTTGGGAGGGTATAAATATACTAACATCAAAAAAAAAGAGATATACCGACACTTCACTAGTAATTTTTGTATCCCTATTAAATTTTCAAAAATGGTCAGGATCCTCTGACGGTTCAAAAAACAAAGTTTGAATGGCTTTTATTTGTTTTAATTTTTGGCCCTTTTCTCCGCCGAAACTGGCTCGATTTTCAAAAACTACAAATCTTTTTCGGTCTTGGTATAATAGTAAGTTTGTGTGAAAATTTTATCAAAATCCGACCTGTACCTACCTTCCAACTTACGTATAGACGGACCAAGAATTAGCGAACAAACAGACCGACCGACGGAAAAGAGTGACACGGTTTTTCGAGATGTACCTACATGTTACATAACATCCAAAAAACTTACCTCATTTTCCTAATTTTTCGCGATTACAATACTTTCTTGCTAATAGGCGTGGGAAGTTAAATGATGTGGAATAAATATTTAAACGTTACATAAACTTGGCAGCCACTCATTTTTGTTTAAGCAGTTCCATATAAAGGTTTGCAGAAATCCAAAAAAATTACATACTACTGACAACAACAAACATAATATGACATAAATAATGACACAATAAGGTAATTAAGAAGCAAACTTTGTACATTTAAGTAACATTTTTAACTACAGATTTGGGAGGTTTCCAATTCGACCCTCACCATTGGGATCTCGGATCTCTGGGTAGCTAACAAAATGCCGCTTAGAAAGAGAGAGAGAGAGACGGAAAGATTCGAATTTTCCCAAAATCGTTTAGTTGTTCCTGACTTTATTTATAGTGGGATTTAAAAATAAATTGCACATTACCATTGCCACGTTTTCTCCTCTACAAGATGACATAATTAGAATTTCAATATAATGTTTCGTCTCTTGTCCTCCAGCATCAACTTTATTTTTTCTTATGTTAATATGCAATTTATTTTGGAATCCTACTACAAATATAACCAAGAAATACGCAACTTTGCCCCCATTCAAGCGACTTCACATCTTTTACAGTGCCCGAAATCCCAATGTTGAGGGTCGACCAGATATATCAGAATAAAGTCATAAGAATAAGAAGCCGAATTGGTCGGTCGAAAAGTAAACGGAAGCCTGACAACCACGCATTTCTACTAGAAACAATTCAGGGACCCAAGAAATGAGTGCAGCAATGAATATATAACATATATATATATATATATATATATATAGGTCTATATATATATATATACCTATAGTTCAGCAGTGAATAACGTCAGCAGCAGTCACTAATATACGAATTTGAGATTCGTATGGGATAACGAAACTGTTATCGACGTCTAATAATCGAAAGCTTTATCTTTTTATTTCGTTAACGGAGATTATATAAGAATCGAATTTAATATTTTTAAAATCTGTATATTGATAAGATTTGCTTGTGTGATATCCCTGTTTGGAAGACGGTATGTTATTGAGGTGGAGGAATCATTGTACATCTACAGAGGTTTTAAAAACTCAACATGCTGCCTGGAGAATTCAGCTCCGAAATGGTTCAGCTCCCAGACAAGATATCAGCAAATGCGACGCCGCAGGGCGGTGCAACCAGCCCCAGTATCAGTAGAGATAGCAATGTTGACAGAACAAGTGGAAAGGCTTTCAAAGCAAATGTAGCAGATACAGCTCCAGGAATCTTGCCTCGAAGGCTTCGCCACCAGCCGCACTTCACCAGAGTCAGTTATGAAATGTTAACGAATTTATGACCCAACATGTAGTCTAATTTAAAAAGTCGCAAACTTTAAGAGATTCATTTTAAGCAGTTATTACTACTCATATAAATATGTTAATAAATAAAAATTAGATTGTAAGTCTATTTTTTAGATAGATAGATAAGCAGTTACGAAAATGTTAATGTGTAATTTATGAATGCGTGTTCCTAGAAATAAAATTGTGCTTAATGATGTTTTATGTTGCTTTAATTAATTAATGCCTGCACTTAGCTTCCCACCTTTTGCACTGTATTCAACTATTTTAACCGCCTAAACAGCGATAAATCGCATGTTACACTCTGCAAATTCTCAAACATGTGGGGTAATAATTAGGAGTACTGTAAGCATTATCTAGCAAGTATATAATGAAATATTTTGTTCGATATATGTATCTGTACTCCGAGACACAAATCAATAAAAATAAAATTTTCTCTCAAAAAAAAAAAATTGAATAATGTAACGAAGGCCTCGCATTATATAAAATCGTTAATCTTAACTGAATATTGGGACATAGTTTTTGCCTTGCATGAATGATGTTCAACCTCAAAATCAGATATCAAACTGCCAAATATATTTTCCTTATCCTTGGAGTCAGCAGTTTTCATAACTTAGGCCACTTTGGAACATCGAGGGTAAATGACAACGATGAAGCCTATATACTAGGAAATCCTACGGCAATGCTGTTTGTGTTGTAAGAACGACCCCGAAATTTGACGCCTGGATTACCAGTGGTATTTTGACAGGGTTGCCATGAAGGGAGATTACTCCCAAATTTAAGGGACTTTTACTTGGCTCAATTTTTTGGGGATATAATATTTCGCGGATTAAAATCACCCCCCGCTCGCTGAACCAAACCTATTCCTTTCCAAAATAACTAACACTTAAGCTCACGTGGTAGATTGTCTATAGGCGCTCATAACCAAACTCACTTGTTTCGACGCATTCCAAAGGCCCCAGTGTGATTCTTCCAAGAGCATCTTCTGGTAGATCAGGTTGTTGCAAAAATACCATTTCAGTGATTCCTAAGCTATCTGCGTGAGTGTAATATCCTTCGTCTGCATACCACTTGTCATCTTTGATATCATCGCAACTGCACCATTGGGACTTATTCTCGCATTTTTTCCCTATTGAACATGGACAGGTTCCCCTAAAAAGCTGCTTTTATGTATCAGAAACTAACATGCATTCAGAAATATTTTATACATTCGGGAATAGGTTTTTATCTCTATCTATTGTACATGAATCTACTACTACTAATCAAGTATTTGTTCATTGAGCTTTTTGAAAGTTGATCGAATCGACGTCGCTTCGCTGTTTAGTCCAGTCTATGGAATTGATGTAAAGATCCTAGATGTTAGGATGGATTCAGTGTATATCAAATATGGTTAATAGATGAAAACATCAACCTGACGGGCTCTGTATTAGAAGTGTACTTATAGATACAACTGATCAATATGATGAGGAAGCATGACCTCTCTAACATATTCAAAGCAGTGCAAATGACTTTAGCTTTTAAAAAAAATTCTGAGTATGAATAATGTCCCTGATCAATTTAATTCAACTTATTTTACGAAGCGGTGATACTACCAAATGCGGTATATAGAGCCCTACTTTGATAGCAGGACAGTTGTTCGGCATCTCTGAATGATAGCCTATTTCAGTAGCCAGACAAGTTTTGTCCATCAGTTGGGCGTCTAATCAAAGGTGAAGTACTAAGTACTCACCATGCTAGCTATTACCCCCCTAAATCATACAATACCTATGTGGTTTTAGACACTTCTCTGACTCACTGAAGCGGGCTGTCAACCTGAGTTGCCGGAAAACCAGTTTCCTGTTACCATAAAGACTAGAGATAGGAAGTTAAACTCATTATTTGCTATCAGTTGTCTGTCTTTACTGGCTAGACCTATACCGTACTGATGATTGCTAAAAAGCACAAAACAACATTTATACGGTTGGTTATGGTCACAGAGATGGAAAGCAAACATATCCTATTCAGCCAGTAAATAGTGTATTATCATGGCGCGAGAACTGATGCCAAAGACCACTCGCAATGCTCGGAAGCATCTACTAAACTGAGAATTCCTGAACGTTCAACGTTGATCACAATAACAGCATGAAACAACGTTGTACAGTCACATAGACGGTCAGCAAATAGATTCTTTTCACCGAACTTATCTTATTTAATATATTTAGTATCTGACAATTATCGACTAACACACACAATAGTACATACTTATTACACATACTTAGTTCTTGCCAATATTTGAGTACATACCTTTTTACATCTCCAATGAAATCGACCGTCTGATTGGCAGAGCTTATAAACCAGGTAGCTGAATGCAGTTCTAATGAAGCTTTCTGACAGTCGTACCTAAAAAGAAGGTACGTTGCTCAAGGCAGAAGCACAGTATTGTCACGTCAAGTGATCTTATGGGCTAACAAGCTATAAAGGGGTGGACTGACACCATGGGTGCTTGTAAGATTGCATGATATCTCATAAGTTCGCGTGATGTGACAATTACATCTTTACGGTTTTATAGTTTTACGTTTACTGATGAAGTATTGTAATCGCGACAAATTTTGAAGATATCATGTTTTTTGGATATTATATGACATGTACATGTACTCATTTTCGTCAGTCTATCTATCCGCTAACCTTTGGCTCGCCTATAAATTCAGAAGTATCGCTCCGATTTTGATGAAATTTTCATATGTTGCTACTATGCCGAGGACGAGGAAACCTTATAGTTTTTGGAAATCGGTCCAGTGGCGGCGGAGAAAAAAGTCAAAAATGAAAAATTAAGAATCGCTCAAACGTTTCATGCGGTCCTGATCAATTTCAGATTTTTTTTGTAGAAATTGAAATTCGAGGGTTGGAGTTTTACATTAGTATATTTATACACTCGCAGCCCCGGTAATTCTTCGTACCTATTAGCCATATTTCACACATCATAGGTTTCTCCATACATTTGTCGTTAAACCAGAATGATAGAGAAATGTTTTGAATATGCGTGTTATTCTGCTATCTGGGCTCAGCGCCCGGCGTAACGACCGTACTGTGGCGATGCTTCGTTGGACGCTACCGCGTCTGACGATATGGGAAGGGGCAACGTGGCCAGATGGACGGTAACTATACCGGTAGGGCAGGGTAAGAATGTCTCTGGACTAATTGTATGGGCCTGTTTGACGCATCTGACTTGTTTAATTTTTGTATCGTAACTATTTTTTTTATTTAATTCTTTAAGAGCTAATGATAGCGTTGCATAGGATGTGCAGAGTCAACCTACTTGACACCATTTTCTTTTCAGGTAGACCTTTTACATTTTCACAATCCTTTTCCAAGCGCACCACAATTGTAACAAGATCATACGAGGGATGTCTTCTAAGTTTTGCATATAGAAACATAGTAGGCCGCGCGGATCAAACGTCAGTACTGAATCTTAACCTCACTCTTTAGTAAACTTAAATTCAAAGTTTCACAACAATACGTGCAGTGTTCTCACTACAGTGAATTTTTAAGTGTCACCAAGTCATTAGAAAAATGGAACTGAACCGAGAACATTTTCGCGCCATAATTTATTACAACTTTCAGAGACAATTATCGCAACAAGAATGCCTTGCTGAGTTACTGTTTGTTTTCGGCAACGAAGCGCCTCATCAGTCGACAATTTCCCGTTGGTATCGAGAATTCAAACGTTGACGGGTGAGTCTTAGCGATGATCCCAAGGTGGGTGCACCAAAAACGGCAGACACCCAGGGAAATGTCGATGTTGCGCGCAAACTCATCATTGAAGATAGACATGTGACATATCGCGAGATTGAGGTGTTCTTGAGGATCTCAAAGACCTCAATTCAAAAAAATTTACATAAAGAATTAGGAGTAAGAAAATTAGTTTCTCGTTGGATACCCCACCTGTTGACTGAAGAGCAGAAAGCAGCCAGGGTTAATTGGTGTCAAAAAAACGCTTGACCGTTTCAATTCCGGAAATTCAAAAAATGTGTACAGCATTGTTAGTGGTGATGAATCGTGGATTTACTGTTATGAACCAGAAAATAAACGACAGTCGGCTGTTTGGGTGTTCCAAGGTGAATAAAAGCCAACAAAAGTCATCCGATCTCGAAGTGTTTCGAAAAAGATGGTCGCGACATTTGTGTCAAAAGCGGGTCATATTGCAGCAATTCCTCTTAATGAGCAAAGAACTGTTACTGTGGATTGGTATTCCACCATTTGTTTGCAAAAAGTTATCACCGAGCTTCGAAAAATCAACCCCAAAAGAAGAATCATCCTCCACCAAGACAATGCAAGCTCGCACACAGCACAAAAAACAAAGCAGTATATAACGGAAGAAAACGTGGAATTATTGGTCCATCCTCCATATAGTGCCGATCTAAGTTCTAACGATTTCTTTACTTTCCCGAAAATTAAAAACAGACTGCGTGGTCAAAGGTTCCAGTCACCAGAAGAAGCAGTTGGCGCATTCAAAAACGCCGTTTTGGATCTGCCAGCAAACGAGTGGAAAATTGGTTCGAGCGCATGCAGATGTGTAGTAATCTTCATGGAGAATAAAAAGCAATAAAGTCATTTAAAACTACCTACCGTGTTGTTTTATTTCCATATGCAAAACTTAAAAGAGATCCCTCGTATATCGACAAATAGATATGAGTGGGGAACGAAAAACAAATTTTTTTGCTATTGTGTTACATTGACTTACCGGATATATTGGCTGCAGTTCAGCGAATGTGAAACAAGCTCCTGCAACATATCAGCACTGAATTCCCTGTACTTGATGCTAAAACTAAAATCTTTCTCAGATGGTGACCTTACGTCCATCTGACTAGGTAGATTATGCTCTACTATGGTTTTGGTAGCATCTTCGAGACTTTGGAACTCACATCGCACGTGCGCTGGTGGAAACCTGCCATTCCCGTCAATATCAATCAAGTACACATCTGGTTTGGTATATCCTAAAAACAGAAGTAGTTTATGATGTGACATCTTAGTTCAGGCTAACATTAGACCACACCTTGAGCACCTGTTGATTTTGAAAAGATTCATCAAACCATAAAATTTAACCTTGAATAACTGAACAATTACCACACTTATAGATATAGTGCTTTTCAAAAAGGTGAAGAAGGTATTTTTGGAAAAGGTCAAGTAAGCGAGCTAAAATTCAGGATAATGAAATTGATATATGAATACTATATTTTAGCCTAAAAGTGGCAGTTGAAAATTTCAAGATGGCTGCTGAGCGCAATTTTGGTTATTTTTTTTAATGGAATGGGCAGTCATGTGACACCTTACTTTGGAGCCCATTACGAGTACTTTATAGCCCTAGAATATTGAATCAATATGTTTCAAAATTGAATTGACCATATCAGCTGGAGGCCCCAGTAGTGAGTGGTGCTGGATTTTGGCAGGGGTGGAAAACTTGATTACGCTGTGTGGAGCGCTTATCTATAACAAGGTCTTGAGGAAGAAGAAATTTAGACAGCTAATGCTCAGAAGTCAGCGCATCGTAATGCTGTTGGTGGTGGCTGGCATCCCGCCAATTGATTTGCTGGCCGAGGAGAGATGCACGCTTTATAAAAATGGCGCCGAAGCTCGAAGCGACGAAAGAGAGGTGCTTTTGTTCAAATGGCAGTAGAGACGGCATGGCCATGGTACTTACATAAATGGATTAAAAGGCTGATCAACCGCGACATTATGAATATATACGGGCATTTTGCTTGGAGTGTAATTTAATGTGGTTACTTGATTTCGCGAGGAAATATTACTCGTATAAGGTATATAGTATATGAGTACGTATCAAGAGATATTATAAAGAGTTATCAAAAATTGTTGACCAACAGTTTTACACCAGTGCTCCAAAGAAATGTGTGAGTACAGTCATGCTCACTGTTGCAATCTGAGGAAATTTTTGTTTCATGACAATGCTAATGGTTGACAAACCCTTTTTGATTCCATTGCACTACATGAAAAATTGTACTTAAAGTTGCTTCGAAGGCGTGGGAAGTATGTAGCATATTTTTCAAATATGCTTTTCAAAAACTAAAGCAATCTGTAATTGGGACCGTAAGCCAATAAACACATGAGCTCTCATTTTCAAGGACAACTATGAAAATATTATTTTTTTAATAACTAATGCTAGACAATGTTAGTGTAGGACATATTATACATTTTTGAAAACCCTCTCCACCTGTGCAAAAAATCGACATGCTGTGAAATGTGAAAAAAACTGATTAGTGAGGACAAGAGACGAAACGCCATATTGGAATTCAAATTATGCCACTTTGTAGAGGAGAAAGGGTGGCAATGTTAATGCGCTATTTATATTGAAATTCCATCTCAAAAAGAAATCAGGAAAAAATAAAAATGGTTTTGGGAATATTCTGTTTCTTTTATCTATCCCCGAAAATACACTGAAATGCGAAGTCTATTTTCAATTTTCTTAGAAACGTAAATGGTGAGAGCCGAGTTTGAAGTATCCGGTATACTCACCCAAAAGCGCTAATTCTTCGCAAGTTTTTCTATATTGGGTAAAATGACAATTCTTCCCCATATATCCTGTATTCGTACAATCACATATCAGTCTATCTTCTTTTACAGAACACTTGCCACCATGCTCACAAGTATTTGGTCTTTTACAAGCATCGACGAACCTAGACAAAATCATAGACACATAAAATCTTACTATATTAACTGTGATGATCCCAAAATAAACCTAGTGTTAAAAAGTTAAAATATAGAGAAATAGATGAAAAAGGCACGAAATAACTAACCTGCAATCATCCAATGTAACTTCTCCAACAACTCTCTCACTTTGTAGAATCGATCTTGGCTCTAACACAGCTCCATTCACTATAATATCCATCATACATCCTATTAAACCTGAATTAGATCTCGAACCGGCAGCGACCTTAATTTTATCGCCTATAGCAAATTTTAAGTCTGCAATCTTCTCATGCTTATGTTTATTGTCTACTGTCAGGTTTAGATCATCATGACTGTAATTCAGGATGAGCGTATGCCAAATACCTACAAAATTTCGTTTACATAAGTAAGTTAACAGTAAGCTCAGCCAAGAATGTTCGACTGAAACATAAGTATGCTAAGAAAATTGAGTGATTCTTCGTCATACTTCAAGATTTTTCATTAATCGCCAAAATGCCTAAATTAGTCTGAGTGATTGACGCATCGTGAATCGCGAGAAACAGCGAACAAACTCTAGCAATGTATTGCCTGGAGTTTGGAATATTCTCCCTGAGTCACTTGGTATACAATTTTTGCAGTTGTAGCGTTTTTTTTTTAATTTTTAGTTCTCTTATTCTTAAAAGTGTTTTTTATTTAATTTATTGACATTTCCAGCTTACATTTTTTTAACATATTTATCATCATATTTTGATGAATATTCCTTCAAAATAGTTCTAACCTGGAGTTTTCTTAACGCTGATCAGATGCGTGACGTTTTTTGTGTTGTCTGAAAGCTCAAATCTTACTTCGTCGTTCACTACCCTGACTTCCCAATATATTCCAGTTTGAGCTTCACTGGAGGCGATAACACTAAGGTTACTGCTCGCCTTGAAGCTTAGAGATAATGACAAGCTATCTGTGTTATTGTTGTGCCACCAAATATGGGATGATGAGAAAGGAAATGTTATGGGAATCTTTTTTACGTCTGCTTCATAAAATTCGGGCCGCAGAATGCCTATATAATGAACCTGTAATAAAAATGACATTGAAATATTTAACAGACTGTAACTTGCAAATGATCATGTAGTTTTATCATTAGTTATGGGGATAGGATCCGACATGTATCATTGTTTATGCAGATTTCTGGTTTGAGTCCCAGAGTTGCTATTATTCTTTGCTCTTCCGTACTTTGAACAAAGTACCAGACACAAAACATATGGAATTTTACCAGAGGTCAATTTTAAGGAAAATTCATCTAGTATGTTGTGCTGATCAAACGTTGTAGGCACACACCCCAGAAATGCTTTCTATTGGAGATATAGGGTGTTAAGGTTTGGTCACTTAACCCCTGTGGTTACGCCAACCTGCACCATTTTACGAAAACTAACCAGTCGTCAACTGTTTATATGTTGAAAAATAAAATTGTATTCGTCATTTATAAATAACCTAGTTTTACGCCGATGTGATAAAATCATCTCGAACTATAGAGGAATACTGATTAGGAGAACACTTGAGCATTCTGTATCTCATTAACAACCGGCATTTTCACTACGAAGTGTTGGCGACAAGTTTTCATTATTCATTATGGATTACCTTCTATATTTTTGTCAAATGCATCCAGTACTTTACCTTGGGGTTGTTTTTATGTAGTTCGTATATTATGGATATTTCATTATAGAAGACGTATTTCAACGATCCAACAAAGTTGTTTGTGGATCGCAATCCCATTTTCTTTTGGAGTTCAGGACCTCCACCTATGTAGATCTCAGGGTCAATGTACAGCAAAGGATTTCCATGGGTTATGTTGAGGGTAACTTGTTCGTCATTCAATATCAAATGTACCTGAAAATATACAAGATGTTTTGATAATGTCAGCACATGGTTTGGTAACATCTAAAACTTATACTATGGTTTACACGACGATAATCCCCTATGTTTGTCTGGCCAATAAAACCACATGTATTGACATAATCTTCTTTACTGTAAATGTTTCGATCACAAAGGTGAACTTGGTGATTGAAACTTTTAAAGTAAAGAATATTCAATACAGGTGTTTTAGCATAGGAGATTACAGACATTTTTGTTCTTACCAGCACATAGTGCCATTTGATATATAATTATATTGTTTTGCTTGCTTCTGTACTGCAAATATTGGTTCTGGTTTGATATTAATTTATTTGCGAATCATGTTGGAAGGTATTGTTCATCGGATGTAATTTGCAAATATTTAAATCACCCTCCGAAATTTTGCACAAATTATGGTACAAATGAATTTTCAAGATGATTTTTTACCTCTATACCGCAAAGTTAAGGTTTTCATTTGCACGACATGTAGATTTTGAGAAAATAAGCGGATTTTCTTAGTAGCATATACACCAATGTCTTAAGAGAACCGAGATATTGGGCACTGCAAACTCAATCAAACCTGAACCAAAGCGAAGCCGGTCCTATCCCTCGATCACGTCCACAGTAAGCCTTTGAGTGTAAGACTAATGTGTTTTCTCCATGACGGTGCACCGCTCCATTTTAGACGCGAAGGTGGATTTCACGTAATGGACCCGTAGCATGGCCTCCGCGATCTCCAGACTTAACACCGTGTGATTTTTTTCTTTGGGGCGAAATGAAACGCTTGTACAAAACTGAGGTGCACACGGTTGACGAGTTACGTCTGATAATTGAGCAAGCTGCTGCATTTATTCGGGTAAGGAACTCTAAAAGCCTTCACCGATGCTTGGCTACGTCGAGCACGCACATGTGTTTTTGAATCCAACGGCGACCACTCCGAACAGTACTTATAAAATACGTTCACCAAGAAAAAGTGACACCGACGTCATATTTTCGATCTCTTTTTTGTTATTTTTGTTATGTGTTGCTCGCAATTTACGACACAGCTGTACTTGAAATTTCAACTCAACTGAACATTGAGTACTTTTTTATTACTTTTTTTTTACTTTTTCGCTCACGTATCACCACACATTAGCTTTGTTATATCAAGCCTAGTTGTGTCTTAAAAGGAAAACCCCAACTTTGCGGACAGACTGTATATTTTTGTTATTTTGTTTGAAACAATCGTTTGGTTGCTGATAAAATTCCACGTGCTATTTTTTTAAGAAATCCACAGGATCATTGGTGATTTTTAATAAGCATTATTTTATTTCAAGCTTTTGCTGGCTTGTAATTTTATCTTGTTAAAAGCATTTCTAAGTATCTTTGTTTGATTCGATTAATATTATACAATCACTATCATAACCTAAAAAATCATAGTTTCTTTATTCGACAGAGAGAGACTCGGACATGCCTACGTAGGTCATAAAACGTGTTTCGGATAGGAGCGACCCATCTACCTCTTTTCTTTTGGACCCCTTTTGGGCCTTATGGAGTCATTTCTCTTTTGGCCCTTACTAAGGCCTTATTTTGGACCCTTGCCTTGGCTTTGGCCACCTACTTGCTTTGGGCCCACACTTTTTGAGACTTGTGAGTCCAGGCAACTCCAAGCTCAGCCGTCCATCAAGCAAGAAGGTTGCAAAGATAAATCGCTATTTTATTGCAATATGTATGTAATAGGTGTATATTCATTGACCTTTTAATGCATGTAATTGTTAGTTTTTATTCATATTGTGATGGAAATGTTTTTAATTAATAAAATTTGTAAACGTTTGATGTGTTGTTCTTCTCTCCTCTCGCATTGCCATTCACTAATGTATGTATCTTTTCAGGGAAATGACGGTTAGAAGCATACCTGGTCATATTCATGGAATATGGTCAAGTTATTCCACTGGTAAAGCTTGAAATCTGGAGTTCTTCCTAGAACAGTCACGAGGGGTTTGTCTCCAAAGTTGACTTCAACAAACACAGAATTGTTGAATATAGATGCGGCTATATAGTGGTCAATACCCTGCTCGCCGCCAGCAGCATACAGCAACGCAGAATCATCAAATCTTGTTTTGAATATCATAGAGAAACGTGTAACTGATGAGTGTACTCGATCTTTCCAGTCGTACACCCTGTAGGAGACATATGACGATCCTCGTAGTGTAAGGACTGTAGCAGCTGCAAAATATAATTGAAAACTATTCATATGATAACAGGATTACTAGAGGCCATTTTGGCGTGATCTAATTACGCGTGAATACGAAATCACGCAATAAATGGATCAACCTTAGTTCTATCATGTTAGCTGGGGCTAATAGAGTTGATAAATTAGTAATATAGCAACCGTTCGTCCGACAATAGCTGTTTCATGCTATTTGGAAACATGGCGTAGGCTTGGTCTTAGGTAGAACAACAAATGAAACTTGAGCAACTATGTTCTATTCAGGGTCAAAGTTACATATATTACCAGAATCGACCACTGTGAAAGTGAAATAAGCAAGCCGTCTGTTTGAACTGTATCCCAGTTGGCGTTGTCTGCCGGGTCACTACTGTGGCCGCTAGATGCCGCCGATTCTGATGCTATAGTAGATACGGTCTACTTGCCATGGAACAAACTAAGTAATATAGCTTTCATTCTTCCGACCAGAGGCGGCGAATTACTGCTACCAGGACTGCCTTATTAATTACTATACCTTGTATTAAAACATTTTTTCCTGATAATAATTAGGAGATAAGAGCTAGTTTTACTTACTATAAATATCACAGTATTCTCCTTCATACTTGGTGCCAAAGCAGTCGCACGTTAGACTGTTGTAGTGGTTGATACATCTAGATCCTTGGAAGCAGAGGTTCTCGATCGTTTTACATTTATCTATACAGCCTTCTTGCACATTTTCATGCTTGGTAGCGATCAGCGGAGATATTGGCAACAAGTCAGATGCTGATTTTCCGGTGCTTAATATCACGTTTTTGATGCAACCAACGAAAGATTCAATGATGTATTTGACACCGTGTAGTCTTTCCTCGGAGCTTAAGCCTGATAAACTATTGGTTAATGATGTATATTCTCATAACAATTTAGAGAATTGTAGCTTTTCATAACATATCGGTCTATTGGTATATGATCGAAGTGCAGAACTGCATTTTTTCATGAAAGCAAATGCACCAAATTATCCTTACTCGGTCGTTACATCGATTGTCTGACAGTCATGACGCTTCGGCCCGATTTTATTATTGACCCCAACGAATCAATATTTGCGCCTTTGGCACATATTGAACCAATGAGAAGGCGTCTGTGAAGTAATGCATCTAATGAATTTGGTCAATTTCTTGTAAAATGTCTCTCAAACTAGAGAAAAATCATACGATTTGTGTAAGATGGGCTCTTAATTCTCATATTAAATCAAGAAATAATTCATATATCACAAAAACCTATTGTTCGTTTGTGTCTGGGCACAAAAGTTGACGTAAATTCCACCAATCAATAAGAAGGATTTATGTATTGACGCAAGTTCGGCGAATCAAAAAGAAGGAATTGAGGCCTACTTAAACCTGATACAGTAGATTGACATGACGCAATACCTGAGCAATTTATTGAGAATAACAGTGACTCATTATTGCTGTACAAAATTCTGCTTAATAAATTCTTTGATGACATAAATAAAATTATAGAATGCTTATTCTTTGACAAACATCGAGCAAATAATCAATTAAGTTTTTTGAATGGTAGACAAGTAAATTCCATATTAACTCGATGTTTGTTAAAAAACAAGCATTCTGTAATTTTATTTATCTCTTCAAAGAATTCATCAAGCTGAATTTCGTACCGCTAGAGTAAAACACTGTTATTCTCAATAAAATGCACATTTAATTGCTGTCATACCAATCTAGATATTGTATCAAATTTGTGTCCATGCTTCCAGTATGGCGCAAATGCTTTTTACCCGTTGATGCATTTTATGACGATGGCCACTAATCTAGGCTCAGGGCCCAATATAAAAATAGGTTTCTGAAGCTAAGCCAAGTGATTTATAACGCATTTTTTTATTTAATGTGGGAATTAGCAAGCTGTATAATCATTCTCTAGTTTGAAAGACATTTTACAAGAAGTCAACCGTACTCATTCGATTTTTTCAAAGACGCTTTCTCATTGGTTGAATTTGTGACACTCGCGCTATTTTGCTTAGTAAAATCGGGCCTTAATAACACAGGCCGACAAAAGTGAGCCTACCCTCTCACCCATAAAGCAGAGTACACTTTCCCGAAAACTTTTGATGCTCTGAATCCGAATCGAATCAATTGACTGTAGTTTCCGAAATATCCTAACCTACAAGTGCAAAAAAGGAAATTTTTGTCTAAATTTAAGGTCATATAGCATGATGAATTATTTCTTATTTCATAAAAAATCAAATGAATTTTTAACGGGAAACATCTATTATTAATTTCTGAAATGCAAATCGCGGAAAATTATAATATAAGTTAAAGTATATCCTCTGACCATTACCTTCAAGGTCATCTTAGTATCAGATAAATTTATACGAATGCTCCTTACTTTTTGTCGAGAATTTAAAAAACGAGACATGAAATTAACGTGTTGCACTAAAATAATGGATAAAAACTGTTCATTGTCAAACTAATTATTGCATTACTTTGAATATTGCATTTCTGTCTTTGAATCCAATCTCCTTCACATTAATACAAATACTTTGCTTCCACGCGAACGGAGCTGTCGGTTAAATCTAGTATTTCATACAAATACATTTTATTATTAAATTTTTGGTGTATTATGATCCAAACCACAACTGTGATAGGCACGTAATCATAACGTGTAGAGTTTCAAATATAGTGAAGACCAGAAAAATGAAAATCCCAATGTAGCATATCTCAACGAAAAAAATATATTTAAGCAAACCCAACAGATATACTTTGAGATAATGTCATGTATTCGATTCAGCGCACCAAAAGCCTTCGGAAAAGCACAGTCTGGTTTCTAGGTAAAAATCTGGTTGGGCTGTGTAATCTTTGGAATTTATACCCTGTAGCATAGAGTTTATTGATATGTGTTATCAGTTGCTTGAATTTGAATACTGAGCTGCAAACTTATAGATGAGAGTCAGTAAAATAGTATTGCGGTATTTTTTTTTTTTTGCTTTAGGACCAGGCCATGCAGCCAGAAACTAGGTTGGTATATATATATCTAATTATGGACAAACACACGACATCACAACATCCATGGCGAAGGCGAGATTCGAACTCGCGACCCGGCCGGCCGGCTGATCAGTAGCACGACACTCTGACCCACGCGGCCAACCGAGGTCCCTTTGCGGTATTGATATTTACCTCCGATGAGTATAACAGACGTTACATTAGCAGAAACGCCATAGTTATTTTCTTTATCTAATCCCTTCAATGTGGTTTCTCCTTTAACATCGTCAACTGTAGCCATCAATCTTGCACTGTGTACGTCTATTCTAACCTGCAATAAAAAAACTTGCGTTAATAAGTTTAAACCCATAACAAATTAGGAGAGCATAGTCAGCAGCGGTGGCCGCAGTAGTAGACTCATAATCAGTCGCCATGCGCTGTACGGGTTCGAATCCCGTCTCAAGAGAATTTTTTCTCTTGGCTATGTATGTTGTGATTGTCCGTAGGTGGTAGACGGTCTCTGACTGTCGAACGCAGAAGTATCACCCGGCGGATCTCGTAGGCGGGGCCAGAATGTGTGCATGTTGCATGCACACGTGTTCCCTCGCCAGAGTCCGTGTGGCGTCCCCCTTTCCCCTGTATCCCCCTATAACCCCATGATACCCCATGGCTGTTTAGGTCTTAGGCCTTCGTGAAAGTTGGAGTATATAAAAAATAAAGTGATTTTTGTTGGACAATGTAGACAATTTGTCATTCTTGTTCTTCCAGTCTGCAAATTGATTCACTAGCTGAATCTCTTTCAAATTAAATTTCAACAGTAAATCGTACTTCTATCAATAATGTTCTGCTTGTAAGTAGATAATAATGTAACGCCTTGGTAACTGGATCAAAGAGGCACATCCGTAAAGTCGACTCTTCGGGTTATACACCACGCCTCTAATTTCATGATTCATTCATATGCCACCGTCCATCAAGGGCGGTATAGCCATATAGCCAGAATACGTGAGTGTTCGACATCCATCGGGAAGAATCTACCGCCATCGAGATGAATCTACTGCCATTTAGATAACTTCGATCAATGTTCGCTCTTGATCTGGAAGGCTTCTGGAATTCATCTCGATGCCGTTGCCAACGATTCACGTGTTTGCCTACTTGCACACACACCGATTTTGGACGGCCGGTAAAATATCGACCGATTTTTTATCGAGGCTCTGCTTACACACGCGCCGGTTTTTTACCGGTGCAGTGCTGATTTCCAATATTATTTTTAATGAATCCCAACGAGTTGTTGCAATGTGGTTACTGTACCAGCGTAAAAAGCGTCTGAGAATTAAGCAAAAGTTCTGGATTCATTTTTCTCTTTGGACTCCATTTCTTTAAAATCCTCATTCAGTTCGCAGCAAACTTGGCTCCATGCTTCTCTGCTAGCGTTTCTGCCTTTAAATATGTCCAAAGCTGTATCCCATAAAACTGGTCTTGCTTCCACTAGCGCAATAAGTATCTCATTATCGATGTTCATCTCTTTATCTATTGTAAACGTATATGCAATCGTAATCACGGCCATTAAATAATAGGTGAGTGTGCAAGCTCCTATTCAAACACGTATGTCTCTATATTCCCGCTACCGGCGCATCACAGTGACAATGACCGGCTGCTAACCGGCTTTTTTCCGGTGCCGGTCGGTGGTCGGCCAGTGTGCAAGCTTGAGTGCCCTCCAATGGTTTACTATTAAAATGTGATCGGCCGGTATTTTACCGGCCATCCAAAATCGGTGTGTGTGCAAGTAGCCTTTGGGTTACCGCCCTTGATGTACGGCGACGTAATTCTAGTTGTCTAAGCGTCGATGTTGATCGAGTTACGAGGGCGTTACAATATAGCTAGACCTCTACTTACCGTTACTGAGTGCCACTGATCTCTATTCAAACCTCTACCAACAGTAAGAGCCGTCGAGTGCTTGCCATACACATGAACTACTTTGAGTTGGCCTTGTTGCACGATAACGTACAAAGCATACGGCTGAAGAGATATCCCCGAAGGAACTTTGACGTTGTGGTATACCAAAAGGCCGTGTGGTAGACGAGTCCGGAACTGAAACGATATCTGACGGCACAATCTGAAAATTAATAAAATAATGAAGTGTATTTACGGTAGATTTATAGTGTTTGTTTACATTTTTTCTGCTTCTTTACGTTACCAACACGCGCATACTATGGTCGTTATATAAATTGTATAAATTATACGTTTGAGCAATGTGTAATATACCGATTCGACACTGCTAGCCTCCACCTCTCACGGCTACAAGCAAGCAGGTGCGTCTAGATCAGCCGTCAAAGAGGCCACATTCTCTCTTTTATGGCACTTTAAAGAATGTTGATAAAAAATGTACTAAGCAGACACTATATGTTTGTCGCGAACTATACAGTTTGGGAAACGTTCATATCGAAGTTGCCTCTTTGCGATACCCGATTTCTTGCACTGTTGCAGCACATCAGTGTAAAACAAATTTTTGTTTTAGATAGGTGTTGCACGAATATGCTTTACTTCACAGCTCCGATGTTTAGATCAATGTTGTGACAGTCTGTGTCACATTACTTATGTTTCCTTAGGTAAGAGGTTTGTATTTGGTTAGTTATGATTACAATCAGACTGCATGTGAAAGGCAGACTATCGGTTGACAATGTTCTCTCATCAATAGTCGTTCAGAAATGTAGAAAACTCTGCTGAATCAAGACAAATAACAGCTATGAACACCATATAACCATTTCAGACATTGAGGCATTCCAGTAAAAGTGTAAGGCATCGAGGTAGCTTCAGCATCAACGTGGCCTGAGTTTGTCTTCAAATTCCGAAACTATTTTTATATGCATATATTAAAATAAGGAAAGTCTATTATATAATAACTTCCTGAAGTACTAAAGTATGCCCTCTTCCTTTGCTAAAACTGACTTTACTTGAAGTGCCATGTTGCTACTGCGACAAATAAAAAAATAATCCCATTAGAGTTGACTCACAAGAATGTTAAACTAGGCAAATTTATATTTTTGTTAAAGTAATTTGATAGGATATGAACTTCATTTAAAGGAAAAGAGAAATCAGTATGCTACGGTATTCTACAATTTATAGATTCTCCTTGAAGCAGATATTAGAATTTATAGTGTGAAGTTTTACTTTTAACTATAAAATGATGATAAATCAAACCTTAGTTGAAACGTCTGAATGATGTCTCCGTCTATTTGTATGAAGGTGTTCGACTGAGCAAACATAAATGTGTTTTGATCGCCTGTTTCTTGAAATGTCAATCGAGGTCCTCTGTCTTTTCGAGGAATCAGGGTCGAAGTGGCAGCTGCTGGTGTCGTTTCGGTAGCTGAAATCCACCACAAATATTTCTGAAATTTTTGAGAATACGTTCTCACCTAAGTGGAAAATAAATAGACATATATTCTATTCACATTCCGATCTTTAGCTGTAGTGCGTAGGTTCAATGACCATTAGATTCCAAATTTGATTTGCTGTCAAGTGAACACTTACACATCAGTGCTGTTGTTTTCTAAATGCATCCAATGTGAACCTTCGAAAAATTATTGTACTAATTAATTATACAAATAAAATAAGAATAGTAGCGACAATCGTCCATTATACGTAGAGGTTTTGCAAAATCCAATACTGTTTTTCGCACAAAACGAACACGTCTGCCATTTTTTTCTAGAAAATGGTATATATTACTGTACAAATCACCTTGCTAGACTGGAATCGTGAGACGTGCGTCCCCCTAGACGTATCTAACTCTCCGCTTTTCAATCGTCGGAATCCTGTGACTACCACTACACTACACTCCTCCCTAGACAGATTCCTAACTCCGCCATTAGGCTATTTCAAGCTCGAATCAAGGCGTATAAAACAATTTGCTCTATCAAAAATGTTAGATTGCACAGTTGTGGGGTTTGTGTAGGTCACTCAAAAGTGACCTTGACCACGACAGACTTCACGATTGTGTTGTCAAATATTTTTGCTAAAGCAAATGGTCTTCAATGTCTTCATCTGACCTTGAAATAGCCTTGAAGGTAATGGTCAAGGCCATATTCGGATTATTTCCAAATCTTCTATAAAAAAGGGGTTCCATTTGAAATTATTCACTTGACCTTCAGATGACCCTCAAGGTTATGATCAAGGTCAAAATCACTTTACACCTCAACATTCTACAACTTTTATTTGAAACCTTTTTTCTAGGATGCGAAAGGTTTAGGTCTGGCGATTAAAATTATATAAAAATAAAAATTATCTGTTGTACTCGTATATTTTATATATTTAAACGTAGACCTTTGTGATCAATTCAACACTCTGTAAACTAAATCTCACTTTGTCCTATTATCTCAATTACTATCATAAAACAGGATAATATAAAGCGAAAGATACTGGATTTGACGAATTTGTACAAAAATAATTGTTTGGATGCTATACATTTTTTATCAAGTGGAAACTGTGAAGTGACCTAGTGTTTCTCAAGCGATAATACATTTTCCATTTCACATAATATATAATAAATGTTAAACCTATCATTCATTTTGGCCTCTCAATTCAAAACTTCAAAACTTTTTTGAAATCAGATATTTAATGCAGTGACATCCGAAATATTAGCGTGCTCCTTCATCAACATATGTGATTTGTTGATCAAAATATCGCAATGAATCAGAAACTTAACATACCGAAGTTGCACTGTAGAAAAACGAAGTCCAATGTCCTGTTTTTAACACCGAAAATGTAAAGGACGATGAGAAATTTGACGTTAAAGTATATCTTTGGCCATGACCTTGATCTTTCTGGGTATTTGAGTGTGTTCAGAAAGTAGCGAAAGAACAATACATCTCAAAAAATACGTTTCATAAAGAAATTGATTGTGTAATAAAGGTATAAGGTTTAAAAAGATTTATGTAACGGTGACATTGAACGCAACCTTGACTATGACCTTCAAGCTCATTTGAAGGTCAAGACAGTTGTCTTAAATGGTAACCACTATTTTTGACATCGGAAGTAAAAAGTGCAAGAAACTGTATGTTCAAGTATGTCCATGAACTTGACCATGATAATTTGAAGACCTTCAATGTCATTTTAATATCATATAAATGTATTAGTAAACTCCTTACGTTTTGTCGAGGATATGAAACACGAGGCATGACTTGTTGTTGAATTAAAATGATGGATAAAAAATGTTCATTGTCAAAGTAACTATTGTATTACTTTGAATATTGCATTTCTTTCTTCGAAACCAATCTCCTTTACATTAATGTAAGACGAACGAATACTTTACACTGCTTCCACGCAAACGGAGGCGTACGTTTAGTCTAGTATTTCATATAAATACGTTAACTTATGAAATTTTTTGTGCATTATAATTCATACCACAACTTTGATGCACACGTAATCATAACGTGTAGAGTATGACGAAAAAAAAACGAAAATTCCAGTGTGGTTGGTTTTCTTATGTAATCCACTTCACAATTCAGAATTCACAAAACATCATCATTATCATCCAGATAATCGCGAAGAGACAGATAGATAGGCCAATCAATCCTAAGGGAGCATTAAAAACATTTTTTTATCTGGTAGATTTATTGAATTGGTCATAAAATTCATCTGTTGGTATATTGGCATAGACAATCTTATCCAAAAATTTTTTTCGATTGTTCTGCTCCTCGGCCATTTTCTTATTTTCCTCAGCGAGCTGTCTATTCTTAGCTTTCTGTGTTGCTTCTATTTCTTTATCTATATAGTAAATCGTCTTCTGTGTTCCGTTGATATAATCATCCATTTCATGTTCTTTACGCTTCTCTAATTCCTTCCTCATCCTTACCTCTTCAATTTGCTTCAGCTGCTCTTCTCTGATTTTCTTCTTCTCTTCTATACTCATTCCTTTGTACATCGAGCTTATCTTCCTTCCAAGACCCAGATTGCTCTGAGCAGTCTCAGGATTCTCGGTTAATAAATCACTAGTTAGATGGTTGTATATCTCGGCCATGTCATCTTGCCTGACCTTCCGCGCTTTATCGCGATTCAGGGATTCTTTTTCTTCAGCAAGGGCTTGGTTGAATTGAAGCGAAGCTACAAATAGTTTCTTCCGACATTCTTGCTCTAATCTGTCCAATTCTGCCGCTCTTCGGCCACGTGCTATACAAGCTTCGTCATATGCTTTTTCTGCATCCCTGCGTGCCTTTTCTGCGTTGACTCTCTCCATCATCTGCTGATTCAACCATGCTTTCAACTCTTCACGTTGCAGTTTTCTCCTTTGGTCACTATCTAGGTCCTCGCCTTCGAACTTTTGTGCTGCCGATGGTCCTAGGCGAGGGTCATCGTCACGAATTCTACTCGGCAGTTGTTGCTTGATGTAATTTGGATTGTTTAAGTCATATTCACGTCTATCTTCCGGTTTCTGGCAGTTCTTCCGGAAGTTGTTGATCTCTTGTTGATACTTTTGTCGTTCCTCCCTCTCTTTCTGTTCAAATGCAATAGCCAATAGATCAGATTTTTTAAGCTGCTCCTCGTATATTAGATCTCTCCTTCGGTCTTCTTCTGCTGCTTTTCTTTTTTCTTCTATTTGGGTTCTTAGGGCATCTGCATCTATTCCGATTTTTCTGGTACGTGGATTAAATATTCTTTTTTTTCTTTCCTCTTCCAAAATTCTACGGCGTTCAAGGGCAGCGGCTTCTCGCCGGTCTCGATCAGTTATCAGTTCAAAATTTAACATTTTTCAGCACTATTACCCAACTCACGTGTCAATAGAACATCTGATGAGTTTTGAGATGCCACAGATTGACAAACCTGTGTTTCCATGGTAACATATCAGTTGCTAAGCGACCGTTTGTTTGTCGACGCATGGTCGATGCAGATATGCGGTACGAGGTGTGCATGATATTAAAAGCGAAGATCCGCAGGGATATTACGTAACTTGAAAAGTGACATTATGTCGTTTTTTTGACATTATGTAGGTTTTCCTGCAAGACGTCAACTTGGAACTAGCTGTCGTTCATTTCATGCTCACTTGGAGCAAGTGCGGAATGAACTATTTGCACACTAGTCTACTTTGTCAACAGGTTGATATTACGATTTTTTTACGTAATAACCGTGCAGACTGTACCATATAGGCCATTAAAGTCGCATGCCCCTTTTTTCAACAGCCTGTCTGGAGGAGTATTCTCAATACTTTTCGTCTGATTGTTTCATGGTGTGTATAGAGATGATGGAAAAATAATGTCATCAGTTTCTTTTTTGCCGAAAAATACATTTTTATGCATTTTTTCTTCAATCGTAACTTGTTAACAAATAATGGTACAGCTTTTTAGAATTGATTACTTTTTTCTTACCACTTTCTCCCTTCAAAAATGTTTTACTGTTCGTCGTCGAAACTGCTTGAGGAGCTACAAGACATTAAGACCAGCTTTATCGAATAGAGAGGCCGAAAAAAGTCCTCTCGTTTTTTGTAGTTTGCAAAAATAGGTCAATAATGTATCTTCCTTGTTTTAATGGAATGAATGAATAGAATGTAAATCAAAGTATACTAATAATATAACATATACAAAGTGCTACTTTTGCCTCTGATACTATTGTTATTGAGCATCCGTTTAACAAACTTTTCTATAAATAATTAGTTTTAGAACATGTCACCAAAAAATGGTCCCACGTTGGCAATACATACTGTAAAAAATCGAGTCACGAAGTTTACTTATTCCTTTCAAATTGCTTTTTAAACGTGTGAAAAATGAAGGAACTCACTTCTCATGGAAGTACACCTATCCAAACACTGCTTCTCGCCATCAAATCTATTTTTGTCATTCCCTCCACAACCACCCCACGAGAACATTATGCATTCCTCCAGCTCGTGGCTGTACGCCCATTTGTAGATGTTCCTGTTGCACGGACCTTTGTCAGGCGGACCTGGACATGGGTGCAGCCCTTTCACGGTGTCAGGTCGGGCGGTTACAGAGAATACTGACACTGCCATCAGTGTTAAGTGTAACTGACATCTGGAGGGTGAAAACATCTTCTGCAGTCAATGCTGTAAGAAAAATAAAAATTATGGTTACAATGGATTCATGTTATCACGTGTAGTTGAGATTATACACCTAGATAATTAAATTACTTGAAAATATGCCATATTGTTTATGTTTCATTACTGATCGGTGGTTTTTACGGACTTTAAGCTATACCACAATTAGGATCAGCGACCTGTTAAATATGAAAATCGGTAGACGTGGAAGTATATTGGTAGTTCTTTTTTAATACTTAGGAAGTACTGTGATCACGAAAAATTTAGAAAATTAGATATTATCTTTGGGTGTTACATTTCTGTCCGACAATCCTTGAGCCTTTTTTAACTTTTAAAATTTACTGCTCAGATTTTGATGAAATTTGACACAACGTTACTATTATGCCAAGGACGAAAGAGCTTTGCAGTTTTTGTAACTATCCAGTGATGGCGCAGTTAAGGACAAAACACGGAAAAATAACAAACGCTCAAACATTTATTTCTGATGTTTCAGAGGCTACTGCTGAGTTTTGGAAGTTTTTTCAGAAGTATAGAAATGGAGGAATGGCTGTTTTAGGAGGTGGGGGACGAAATATCTAAATTATTTGTCGTTAGTAACTTTTTACGTTTGCAACTCCGGTAATTCTCCGCACCTATCCGTACATATTTCAGACGTACATTTGTTCTTAAATAATATCTTGTTTTGATGACAATGCTTCTTTTCCAGTAGGCGTGGGAAGTAAATTGACTGATTGTTCCGGCCAGTTCCCGAAGAACATAGCTCGACCAACTTAGAATAAGACACAGAAGTCTGACAATTTGGTCTGGAAAAGAAAGTCTTCTGGGGGCCCCGATCCCCCTCCCCCAAAATATGCCATTAAAAAATAAACTAGTTTTTCAATTTGCAGAGACGGACACCTTCCTGAACATGAATCCTGAGCGTCACCAAGCACTTTTTTGAGCCGGTAATTTCAATTATACTCTATATTGCCGTTGATGTGATAGGGACCATTAAGGAAGTATCACTAATGACCGGGTCGTCCTCCTCCAAATTCCATGAAGTACGAAGTACAGGTATAAGAAAATTACAATTTTAAAGTGAATGTAGTAAAAGAGAGGTAGGCGAAACGACGGTAAAGGTTTACTGCTAACAGCCCGCACAGTTTCAAGTTGTTGGCTCCTAAAAACACATTGAACAAACACGACAAGATGAAACAACTGTAGGAACAAGATATTTCCAAAAATAATGTTAAAAAGTATATTGCTTCTATGAAGCAAAATTATTAGCCAGAGATGTGTTCCGATATTTATTGTTTATTTACGAGTACTATAAGGTCAATATGCTGATACATAAGCATATGACCCCATATCATTCATATCACTTTAAACCTAATTGCAATAAGTTTGGCGTTGCTACTACTGACAAAAAAACAGGCGGCTGAATACAGACCAACGTTAAACTGTTAACTTATCAAATCATAGATAATAATCATACCCTGATCCAAACTGATCTCTTTTACCTTTGTATAGAATTTATGTCATTCAATGTTATAGCGATAGTAAACGAATTACTTTTCATTTTTTTACTACTTTTCTGATTTGTAAAACCCAGTTTCTGTCAAAACAATTGTTACGTAATAATTATACTATTTTTGAAGGAATATTCCAAAACATTAGTCAATTTTTATTGCAGAAATAAAAACACCTTACCAGAAAATACCGAGTACTAGGAGATATGTCCATATTATTGAATACGTAAGCACGAGTATATTATGTCAATAAAACCATATCTCCATAATTGAATGGATTGCACACCAATATCGTACTTTACCACAATTTGATAAACTACTATTCACCTGTTACATTCAATAGACAATAACAACTAATAAATTCAAAATCAGCTATTGCAAAATGAACAACGAATATTTGTTTTGCTTATTTGTGTTATTGTTATAATGAGTATATGTACACATTTACCTTGACTGTAACACCTTAAATTGATATCCGCGGTTTAGAATTCGTTACAATAAATGTCGGAAATTTGCATCTCAGGTATATTAATTATTGCCTATAATCTGTAAGATAAGCATTCTAATGAGATTCGCATATATTACGTCATAATCCAAAATAGTGGAGTGCGAGTCAACTAAGGACTTCTTTAATAATATGTAAAATGTTTTTGAACAAATAGTATATCTATGGATGTGGCATTACTATCTAATCCCAAAATGTATCAAATTCTGGACATACTCGTATGTTTATACTAGTAATATTCATTCACTCTACAAATACGAGTAACATAAACTGAGTAAACAAATATAATTTATACATACAGGATACCTGTTCATGGATCAATTCGGATGGGTATACTATTAACTTAGTTGTGTCAAATAACTTAACCGTCAGACCGAGATACACGGCACATTCGTTTAGAAATTAGAACATTGTTTCGTCCTCCTCCGAGCATAGGGAGCTGCTAGAGCAGCTTCATCCTTATGAGGAACAGGTATATATTTAGTCTGCACTGTCCCGTGAGAATACCGACCAAAATGTTGAGTGAATACTTTCTTCTGCTTACCAGAGGACAGCCCACGAGAAGACCTTTTTGAAGAGAGTGAACTTGAAACTCTAGAGTTACATTATGAAGTACTAGTAAGGAGCTTCAAAACGAAATATCACACGAGCCCAATCTATTTAAAAATGTCCAAGGTATCGCCTAGCCGCCGTATTGTAATTGAAATGCCACTTTTACGCTAATATGTAGTATTCATGTGTCATCCCAAGTACCAATTTGCTAACTTGGTTAGTTCAAAAAATAAATGAAGTGACAAAGAGAAAGCACTCTATTTTGATTTGACATGCCTACGTGCCTTCTGCCGTGTAGCAAAAGTTCGCTTAGAAAACCTTTAATATCGATAAGACAGTTTGCTATGTTCGCGTATACTATAAAAAGATTCCTCCAATTTTCTCTGATAAGATACGTATTATTATATTGTTACATCAACCTAACTAAATATATTAATTCAGATACGTACACACGTATCACGGAAAATATATCTTAAGATGTTTACTGAAAGATAATAAACGAGATACCGAAAACGAAATATATTTTGCAAAATAATATGAATATGTAACTTATATTCTCTTTCAAATACTCTACTATAAAAGTATCAAAACAGTAGAGCTATACCTATGTAACGTTAAAGCTATTAAGCAAATACTAACAGAGCGAGGAGTTGAAGCGTTCAAGTGGTATACATTCTAGGTTATCTACTACCAAAATTGTATCGGTTATTATGTCAGAAACAACCATACGCTACAATTTAATCATAAACAGTGAATCATTTTCGTCATCAATGTGGTCTTGAGAAAAAAGGATGTTTCGCCTTAGTTCCATTCTTAGACCGGTAGTGAAAAAATTAACAGAGAAGGTCAAAGTCAGAATTTGCGCAAATATAACGCGACTCATATTACACCTACACTTTGGAAGTGAATATGAGGACAGATGATATTAGAATATCCATTAATATATTATATCTATATATATATACTCGATAGCATACCGTAACTCTTGAATTCACTAATTTTGAATGGCTTAAGATTAGCACAATCAAAAGAGAACTGATGATGATGAGTTTCTGGGGGAACTAGTAAGTGAAAGAAATGGTAAAAGCGTGTGAAGAGGGTTACTGGACGAGCATATGCTGGAAAAAATAATTTTTCATTTGTAGTGCTAAAAATCTTTTATTTTTTTCTCATCAAGTTATTTTGACAGGTTATAGAAGCACAGTAAATTCCAAATCAAATTATTTGAGATTTTCGTTTTTAATGAAAAAAAAAATATATTTGTTATAAAAATCTATTATATGGTTTAAGGAAGTCCTACGATTGTCGGCTGGTGTTTTTTTTTGGATGAATGACAATAAAACGGAATTATCTTAATGTGATTAAAAAAAAATAAAAAAAATATTTCTAGGTTTAAATTATTGCTAAAAATTTACAATGCAATGAAAATAAATGTGCTGATTGACTAACCTTTTTATACTATTATTGTTTTTGAATGGAGCAGTTGCATAGCCTACTTTTAAAAAAGATTATCTCTCCAGACACAGTGGAGGGCGGGGAGCGGAGAGATGATTTTAGATATTCAAAATATTGTCAACGAATAATCATAAATATTAAAACGTACTGTATGCTCGGGCGTTCTGAATATAAATTTTGATAAATATCAAATATGTATAATACCTTTGCACCATCTGAAAAATGTTCCATAATTTGAACGATTTACGATTATATGATACGCTTTTTATTATTAATGCTTGCAATAGTTGGAAATAAAATGGATAGATAGGTTTAATATCCCCTTACATTCCTCCTGAAAAAAACAAACACTTGTAAAATACTTCAACAATTGTTTTTAATAGTTCTGATCTTCGTTTAATGACATTTAAATCTATATTAATATCAGTAGCACTCTCAGCACCCACAAGGGAGTGCAAATATACCATATTGCAAATTTATCAAACAAAGACAGTAAATAAGGTGCAAACTCATAGCCATACACGTTATTCCTATTCCCAACAGTAGTCAGTAGAAATTAATCCTTGTATCTACAGATCCTCACGGAAGAGCTTGCTGCTTCAAAGTTATCTGTGTTTTTTGTCACCATCCTTAGGCTGACATATGGCTGCTACGCTTATTGATTTTACCTATAATGTTCCTACTTTCAAAGTTATATAGCAATTAGTAAATTTATCTGAGGCACAATACCTGAGTCCAAAGGTGACTTGGAAATGAAAAGAAAGCAACGGAACGGGGGCTGGAAGATGGCGGTACATGGTCTTGAACCTCCTATAATATCATAGTTTATTGATGTTAATGCACGAGATGTGCTTACTCAGGTCATAACAAAATATAAAGATATATACACAAAGAGATAATAAATAACAAACAATACGACATTATAAATAAGACAAAGAACTCTTCATAAACCCACTAAAATCGTCAATATCAAGAGCTCTTGTCTGATGAGGTTAAAGATTAAACATGTTCAAGCCAAAAAAGTGTACGCCATTTCTGGTTTTAGCGATTCTGTGATGTTTTATGGAAGTAGTTTGACTTATTTTGAGTATTGTATGAATGGATTCCTTGTCTGACTAGCCACTGACTCCGGAAGATTTGTTACATATCTGACCAGCTGTGGATGCAAGACTAATCTATGTATTCATGCCAGTGCAAGATTTGTTCAAATATCAAGCAATTAAATGCAACTGAGGACTCCTTCTCTGCAGGTAAACTGTATATCGACAGCAGCAGTAGCGTCTCAGAAACGGAAGAAAACATTCATCAGCAGAGACTTATGGTGATACAGAAGACAGAAATATCATTATGCGAAAAAAGATTAGACTATTATCAACACGCTAATACATGATTAGTTTGATAAACAGTGTGTGTTCAAAGTTATTTACTGTTTTTGGCGCAAGGTTATTGTGTGACATTAAGAGGTCTTTGATAGTTGCGTACGATTGCAAACTGTTATGTACTTTAATAGTTTTTTTAATAGCATACCGAACGTTTTCATAATTATAATCGTTGGCGATTGGATATTTTGAATATCTAAAAACATGCTCCAGGCACTCAATGCACCTGGAAAGTTCATACTTTTTCCAAGTAGACGATGAAATGGCTCCATTTAATAACAATAATTATAAAAAAGGTTGATCAATCAATGCATTTTCATATCGTTGTAAATTTTTAACGCTTTTTCTATTCAGAAATATTTATTTTATATATTTTGAAATCACAATAAGATAATTTATTCTGTTTTAGTATCATGCAACTGCAATACCTTCAGATTTTTATAAAACAATATTTATCAAAAAGTAGATATTTTTATTTTTAATTTATTAAGGTTTAGTGTCGTTCAAATAGAAGTGATGAAGGTAAATAGTAAATTGACAGATTTTTTGTAATTTTATTGCATTAGTTTGATACCTTTATTGTGTTAGAGCTAAAAAAGTAGCCACGGTTCATTCTCTTAGCGATAAAATAACTTGAGAAGTATGATTAAAAAATTTGGGCATTCACTTTGACTCTGACTTACGTTTTAACTCCCATCTGAATAATGTCTTGAAAAATTGTTATCTATCCCTCAGGCTTCTATTTGCAAACAAACAGATTCTGCATAGAAACATCAAAATTTAATTGTGTCAAAGTTTAGTTATTTCTAAAATGTTATATGGCTTATCCATATATTACCCATGTTTGACTTCTATTAACGCAAAACGTTTGCAGATAATGCAGAATACCTGTGTACGGTTTATCGAAGGCCTGAGAAATTTCGATCATGTATCACACTTGCATCGTAATCTTGCATGGCTAAGCGTTCAAAACCTTTTCAAATACGCCATTCTCAGCTTTACTCACAGGATCATACTAATATCATCCCCTCAATACCTCAGCTGTAAACTTGTTCCAAGGGCGTCTGTGCATAATCTTTAGGTTCGTAACCGTGACACCTTAACTATGCCAATACACCGTACATCACTTTTTAGACGAACTTTCACATACGTTACAATGCAATTTTATATTACAATAGCTTAAGCCAGGATCTGAAGACTATCCAGTCTTCCCGGAGTTTTAAAACTCAGTTAAAAAGATATTTACAAGAATTGCAAAACAACCGCTAGCTTAAGAAGTTCTTTCATTTTCATACTTTTTTTTATTTTTCATTAGTTATTTTTCCGTTTCTTCATAACCTATTATCTCTTCTTCTTTTTATAGCTAAATTGGCATAAAAAGTCCTATTATAATGTAACCTATTAGCTCTTCTTCTTTTTATAGCTAAATTGGCATAAATAGTCCTATTATACTGTGACTTAATCTTTGTAGTTTCACTTTTTTTTTTGTACAACTTGTTTTTTTTTCCACTTTTGTACGGGGTTAGATGGTGGAATAGCAGGTGCTAAATCTCGCCCCATGTAATGTACCATGTTTTGGTCAATAAAGACGATTATTATTATATTATTATTATTATTATTATTATTATTATTTGTAACTATTTTTCGCGAATAAAGAATTTGTTCGGAACCTGTTTTTCCTCGCACAATCTATATACTCGTGGAGCAACCCTTTTCATACGTTTTCACCGAATGATTTGTCCACTTACAATTCTCCCAAGCATTTTACTATATTTCTTAGGTTAAACAGACTGGCTATTTCTTGAGGTAGCATAGAAAGTGAGTGAGATCATAAAGGAGTCTTGAGGCTTTGTAGATGATACCGCCTGTATATCAGTAGAAGAACGATTACTACCTACTGATCAAGCATATAGATTACTTTGAGATAGTCTCTCAAGAAATGTAAATTCGATTTGCTGTCATCTGAACCACACTCAGCATAAACAGTGAAGGCCAACGTATGGTCTTATTTTGTTCCTATGGAATAAAAAATAAAGTTCCAATTGACCGCTTACCTAGAAAAAATCTTTATACTTCCCGGCACTCAATCCGGTTTTAGAAAAAAATATAGTACAACATCTGCCCTACTTAATCTGCAAGACAATATTTTAAGTGCCTTAGATAAGAAAATGGCACTAGCCTTAATCTCTACAGACTATTCGAAAGCCTTTGACAGCATCAATCATCAATTATTACTTGCTAAATTAAATTACATAGGTCTTGACAGTGTATCCCTTTCATTTTGGACAGTTACCTTCAACAAAGAACTCAGTGTGTTTTTCTCAATCAAGAAATGTCTCAAGTGACAATAATTCCCTCAGGCGTACCTCAGGGCTCTGTATTGGGGCCGCTTCTGTTCCTCATATATACGTTCGACTTAAGCAAAAGTATTGATAATTCTCATGTCCAGTCATTTGCAGCCGATACGCAATTGCTCCATTATTTTAACCCAGATAATGTCAATAATACTACTCAAATTTTACAAAACGATGTTAATCAATTAATTAAATACTCTTTAGATCACAATCTACTTATTAATCCACAAAAATCTAAAATGTTATTATTTTGCGCACAAAGAAAAACATACAATGTAACACAGATCTTGAACTTCAGATAAATAACCAAATTTTGCAATTTTCTTATTCTGTAAAAATTCTTGGTGTTGTTTTTGAAACAAAATTAAGGTTTATTGATCATTTTAAAAGTCTATCTCAGAAAACCTACCTACGGCTGCACACTCTTATAGCAAACAGGTATTTACTAAATTTTAAGTTGCGTAAAAAACTATGTGAAGCATTGGTCATATCTATACTAAATTATTGCAATATCGTATACTATACTTGTTTAGACAATTTCACTAAAAACGTTATTCAAGTTATTCAAAACAATTGTATACGATTCATTTTTGGCTTACGTAAATTTGATCATGTATCGGCGAAATATCCCGTTCTAAAATGGTTAAAAATTAATGACATGGTCAAGTATCACTATTCAGTTTTTGTTCACAAATTGCTGCTCACGTATAAACCTTATTACTTGAAGGAAAAAATTTCATTTAATAATGATGTTCACTGTAGACCTCTCAGAGAAAATAATATTAGAATACCCCTGCATACGTCTACACTTTTTAAACGCTGTTTTTCTTACAATGTTGCTATTATTTATAATGACCTTCCTAAAGTATATAAAGAATTTTCATTACCTGTCTTTCGACAAAAAGTTAAAACATTATTACTCAACCCTCCAAACATAAAATTTACGTAATCATTCATTTCTTTTTTATTCCATCTTTAATTCAGATTAATAATTATTTTTTGGTGCATTTGGGTTTGGAAAGTATGCCTTTTTTTCTTTTTTTAAATTTTACTGTCGATGTAATGAACGAAATCTGTTTGTGGATAGTGTATTCTTTTGTACATCTGCTAGAGACTATATGGTTAAGTGTAAGAGTAGCAGCATGCTAAACTTCGCCATGTAAGTCTAACATTTGGCTATACTACAATGTAATTGTGGATAAATAAAGACGTCTATTATTATTAATATAAGTGCGATGGAGAGATATACACCTATTCCCTAGTTATGCACTCGTATGGGGCCAATTTTGACTAACAATTTTTACTTTATCAAATCAAGTCAATTATCCCTTTTTTATACCAAAACGCAGGCAGAAGGCACCGCGGCTGCTATGAGGAGCTTGAAGAAACTTTGTTAATCCGATTTTTGAACTGCCTAGTTGGTAGACATGGGTAAAGCCTCCCTAGGTAGATTGTTCCACAATTTTGATACCCTAAGCTGCAAACGAAGTTCGACACGGTTAGGATGGGAGGCGGGTCAGTCTGGCAGGCTAGTCGCGCGGCGGCATCGTGAAGGAGAGCTTTGAAGAGCAAAGCCCGTTGGTATAGCGGTAGAATAGAGCTAGATCGCCGACAGCCCGTCGATGCGAAAGGGTCCCGAGACTATAAGAGAAGAGTTATCGATGAGTCGGACAGCCCTTATCTGAACATCGAGCATGGATACTGTAGTTGGGGCAGCAGCACCCCAAACATGTGAGCAGTACTCGAGGCTGGATATTATCTGGGCCTTGTACAGCAACTGCCGCTATTGACCAGAAGATGTGTTCGTGCCAGAAAGGTTCTCGGTGAGCTGGGCTCTGACCAACCGGAATAAACGGATCTTTAGTATAACACGCCTATCCATCGAAACCGGATGAGCTGTAGGGCGCTTCTTGTCAGTAAGGTACAGTACCGTGTTTTGGAGGCACTAACTGTACCCAATTGCATTGCGCCCCCAAGCAGTGAAAACCTCCAGATCTCTCGCCAGAGAGGAAGTCGCAGACAGTATTCTTTTCTCCAGCTCATCGGCAGAGATCGGCTTATCACTCTGAAGCCCTACATGTAGAGTGCTGTCATCAGTAAAGCTGTAGATC